GTGGGTGAGTGGATGGGATATATGGCCACCCAACACAGCACAGCACAGCACACGCCACAGACAGATGGACGAGACGAATCCCGTGTAAATGTGGACTTGGTCTCGTCGGTGCGTGAGTGCAGGATGGGTCGCATCGACCTGCCCCCGCCGGCCATCATCAAGCCCGTGGAGCTCTGGACGGGCAAACAGGTGGTCAATGTGCTCTTGCGGCCCACACGGAGATCCGACGTCCTCGTCAACATGGAGGTGGAGGAGAGGGACTTCAGCAAGGCCGACGCAAAGGTACGGAGAAATGAACACAACGAACTGCATGCAGCGACCGGCGACCTGTGTCCGTGTGTGTGGCCGGCGTGCAGACGCAGTCGCCCGTGCTGGATGCTCGTGACGGGTACGTGGTGTTCCACAACTCAGAGCTCATGTGCGGCGCACTCGGCAAGGCCACACTGGGGGTGAGTGAGTGAGTGAGTGAGTATCACTCACACACCACACTGCACTCCAGACACCACCACCCTCGCTCCCTCTGTTTTGTGTGTCCACACGCAGGGTTCGAAGAAGAGTCTCTTCTTCCAGCTGATCCGCGACAACAGTCCCCAGGTGGCGGCCGACTGCATGGGCCGGCTCGCCAAGCTGTCGGGCCGCTGGCTCTCCCACCGGGGGTTCACTATCGGCATTGACGACGTCACGCCGTCACCCGCACTCGTCACAGGGAAAGAGGTGAGGTCACATTGCCACATCCACGCATCATTCACCATGCAGATTGTGCGCTTTTCCTTCCGTCTCCTTCACGCTAATTGTTCAGGAGCTGATAGAGCGGGGTTACAAGCAGGTGGACCACTTCATCTCTCTGTACAAGAAGGGCCAGCTGGAGTCGCAGCCAGGGTGCGACCTGGAGCAGACCCTCGAGGTCAAGATCAAGAAGGTCCTCGACGAGCTCCGCGGCGAGGCCGGCCAGAAGAGCAACGAGATCCTCCCGAGGCTCAACAAGCCCCTGATGATGTTCCTCTGCGGCGCTAAAGGGCAGCTCATCAACCTCTCTCAAATGATTGCGTGCGTCGGGCAACAAAACGTCGCTGGTCTGAAGCCATCCACCATGCACCACACCACACCTCATCCCATGCACACGCCTCACCCCTCCTCTCTCCCTCTCTCTGTGGGTGTCTTGTTGATGCAGGCCAGCGTATCCAGAACGGCTTCGTGCGCCGCACTTTGCCGCACTTTCGGCCCAACAGCAAGGTGGCCCGTGCGCGTGGGTTCGTGTCATCGAGCTTCTACTCTGGTCTGGGGCCAGATGAGTTCTTCTTCCACACCATGAGTGGCCGGGAGGGCCTGGTCGACACGGCCGTGAAGACGGCTGACACGGGCTACCTGCAGAGGCGGCTCATGAAGGTGTGTGTGTGTGTGTAAGGGACCGTGGGAAGTGCATGTGGGAGGAACATGTGTGTGTCTTGTTGTGTGTGAAGGCGCTGGAGGATTTGTCGACACAGTATGATCGGTCGGTGCGGACCTCATCGGGTCAGATCGTCCAGTTCGTCTACGGCGACGACGGCCTCTCGCCTTCCATGATGGAGGGAAAGGTCAGCGGGATCACCCTCACAACTCACTCACACACACACACCACACAAGGCAGCAGACACGTACACGTGCCTTGTTGGTCATGGTCGATCAGGATGCGCTACTCCGCTTCAACCACCTATATGACTTCGTGTCGTCCATCGTCCGCACTCACATCCGCTCGCAGCCTCCTCTTCCCCCCCTCCCCGCCCCGCAACCCCCACCAGCAAAGGAGGAGGATGAGGAGGAGGAGCCCGTCAGCACCAGAGAACGACGCAAGAGGCGCAAGAAACGCAAACAAGAGAGGGGGAGCGAGCCCCAGCCTTCCCCTTCCCCTTCCCCTGCCCACCCACCCCCTATGCCCGGCGGCCGTCCGCAGATCCTGCCGCCCATCGATGAGACGGCCAATGTGCGGCTGGTCGCGGCCACTCTCGGCTTGCCGGACGGCACTGTGCCGGTCATACAGTGGGGGGAGAGGGAGGGCGGCAGTGACAAGCCACCTGGTCCAGCTGGTGCAGCAGCTGCTGCTGCTGTGGCTGGTCCGTCGCATCAGCTCATCCCCTACGAGCGGTCGCAGGTCGATGACGCGGCCGTGGAGGCCTTTGTGGGCCGAATGGGTGCGACGCTCAAGCGCAGCATCAGCGTCTTCGATGCATGGCGGCGAACAAATAAGGCCAGGACCGACCCTCCCAATGAGCTCTTCCGCACCACGTTCGGCCCGCTGCTTGCAGAGGCCGCCATCCAACCACTTGCGCCGTCGGGGATGGCCTTTGTGCCCCTGCTGCCCTACGAAGTGCTCTCATGGGTGCGGTTTTTCCTCCCCAGGACCAAGACGCTGCTCCCTCGTGCACTCGCGGAGCATCAGCGGCAGGTGGCCAAGGAGGGCCCCACCCACCAGGAGGACACCGGCAAGCTGCGCATCTTCAATGACGAGCTGCTCTCCTTTTGGCAAGACAAGGCGGCCGAGCTCGCGGACTACCGGTCGTCTCGAGGCCTGCCGCGTGCAGACGACCAGCAGTCGTATCAAGAGGCGCTGCGGCCGGGAGAGACGGGCAAGGGCGGGCTGGACGAGATCACGGTGCTGCATATAGCGGAGTTCCTGCGTGTGGGATGGCAGAAGTACGCAAGGGCCCTGGCGCAGCCTGGGGAGGCGGTGGGTGCCGTGGCTGCACAGTCGATCGGGGAGCCGGGCACGCAGATGACGCTCAAGACATTCCACTTTGCTGGTAGATGCAGGGAAGGGCGCTCGGGGGGATGGTGTGCGAGTGTACGTGTGATGTGATGTGTGGTCCCGCAGGTGTTGCGTCGATGAATGTGACGTTGGGTGTGCCGCGTATCAAAGAGATCATCAACGCGGCCAAGACCATCCAGACGCCCGTCATCACCGTGCCACTCAAAGACAAACACCTACTCTCGAGAGCAAAGGTCAGCCATCAAACACACACCAAAACACGTGGGGCACTGATGTCCTGTGGATTTATGTGTGTGTGCCAGTACTGGAAGAACCAGATCGAGAAGACGAAGCTGTCGGACATCTGTGTGTCGATCAAGGAGGTCTACAACACCGACAGCGCATGCCTCACCGTCAAGCTCGATCCCTCCGCCCTCGACAACCTCTTTCTCACCACACCAGATGTCGCCATCGACACGGTCACTCCCCCCCACACACCCGGCGTGGTCGCTCCCTCCCCACATGCATTGTTGCGTGGGTGTGTGTCGGCTTTGTGTTTCAGATCCGCAAGGCGATTCTGTGTCACCCGCCTTTGGCCAAGCTCAAGTTGCAGGACAAGAACCTGGAGGTGGACACCACCAAGTTCAAGCTGTACATCACCACACCAGACCACCTCAAGGACAGAGACGCCAACTACTTCACGCTGCAGGTCAGCAGATGGGTAGATGAGATGGATGGATGGATGAGTAATACACAGACAGACAGACAGACACGCATACACACACGCCACGCACAGAGAGAGAGAGCGAGAGAGAAAGAAAAGGCACACAAAAATCAATTGTCCCTCTCCCCACTGTGTGTGTGTGTGTGTGTGTGTGCTCGTTGTAGGCCATCAAGACCGCCCTGCCCGAGACGGTGATATTGGGCATCAAGACCATCAAGCGGGGCGTCATAAACCAGACGGAGGTCAAGCCCGACACATCAGCACCGGCGTCGTCATCAGCCACCGGCAAGAAGGCGGGCGGCAGCGCGCCCGATGAGCCGCAGCTGGAGTACAGTTTGGCTGTGGAGGGATACGGTCTGCAGGAGGTCATGAACCTCAAGGGCGTCGACGGCCCCAAGGTCAGGACCAACCACGTCATGGAGATGCAATCGGTGAGCCACCCGGTGACACATGCATTGAATGCGCAGAACACCCGTGGACGCATGGCGTGTGTGTGTGGTGGGTTGGTGTGCAGGTGTTGGGCATCGAGGCTGCGCGCTACACGATCATCGAGCAGATCCGTGCGTCGATGCGTGCGTACGGGCTGGAGATCGACGTCAGGCACATGGACCTCCTCGGCGACGTCATGACCTACAGGTACACATGGGATCAGGAATACAGCCTCGCCCATCCACCCACGGATGTAACTGCCGTGTGTGTGGTGTCCTCCATTCATCAGGGGTGAAGTGTTGGGCATCAGTCGCTTCGGCATTGCCAAGATGCGAAGTTCGACGCTGATGTTGGCGTCGTTCGAGGAGACCAACGAGCATCTGTTTGAGGCGGCCTTCCACCACAGGCAGGACCCCGTGGCGGGCGTCAGCGAGTGCATCATCATGGGCAAACCCGTGCAGCTGGGTACTGGCAGGTTCGACATACTCTACGAACCACCCAAGAGGTCAGCGGATGCCACAGCGTGACAGCCACACCGATCATTTGCATGCTTGATGTTTGTCTGTCCGTCTGCCTGCGTGTATGTGTGTCAGCGTGCTCCCGCGGCGTGCTGCGCCTCTGATGAGTCAGGTGCTGAGCAGAACTGTGATTGCCGACTGACTGACTGACCGGCGGCCGGTCAGTTCGAGTTGAGTTGGAGCTTGAGTCCGTGTACAGTGTGTAATGTACGTGTGTGGTTATCATTCCGGCCTGTGCCGTGTGTTTTATCGACGGAAGACTAGTAAGGCAGGCATATATAGAGAGATGCGCATAAGTATCGTCCTTTGTGTGTGTCAGAGTGACAGATAAACTGAACATCCCATCCCGGTCTCACTCTCAGTCAACCTCACGCTAACACTCAGTCACACTGCCAAGCTCTCACTCACTCACTCACTCACTGACGAACACTCTCCCCCTCCAAATGACCTCCTGTCTCCCCGCCCATGCAAAGCGTCCAAACCCATAGTGACGAAATCTACCAGCAGAGAGGAAGCACAACCGTTGGAACCGATCTCGCGCGTTGTGCGATCTCGTCTAGACTTTTTCTGGTGCTTTTCTCCCCGCCCTGTCTTGTGAAAAAGCAACGCGTGAGCAGCAATGGCGGCCCAAGATCTTCAAGCGGACATGCTGCTGGAGGGGAGATGGCGTGTGGTGAACCACGTCGGCGGAGGCGCCTGGGGTAAGCAGATCTGATCTACACACGGCAAGCCACAGGGAGGACACTGGATGACCAAAGAGAACTCTTGTCGTCCTATAGAGTCCACAATGACCGTATGTGCCGTCTTTTGTGTGTTGTTGCCTGCAGGCGCTGTGTATGTGGTGCGAGACGAGCACCAGCCGGAGGGCCACCTGCGGGCCATGAAGTACGCAGGCACGGAGAGCGGCAGCGTCAAGGACCTCAACGGCGACTACAACACCCTGACGCAGCTGCAAGGTACGGGAGCCAGGAAAAAGTCTGCTGTGCCAACCCCCTATAAGCTCGCGTCTCGTCTCTCTTTTGTGTGTGCTTTGTGCAGGCACCAAGGGCATCTGCAACGTGCATGCCCACTACAAGGCTAACGACGCGTGAGCTGAGCACGCAAACGACGGATGGGACTCAAACAATCCAGCGAGATATCGAGTATTCTTCTCTGTGTGTCCCATCAGCCACCGTCCATTCTTCGTGATGGACCTGCTGGGCGGGGACCTGCTGCGGCTGCGGGAGGCTGCGGGCCGCTTCACCGTGGCCACGACGGCCAAGATCGGGGTGAGAAAGAGATATAGAGAGCCTTACAAATTTGCATGTATGCGCCAATTGCTATCTGCGTATGTGTGTGTGTGCAGCTTCAAGTCGTGGATGTGCTGGAGAAGGTGCACGACGCCGGCTACATCCACCGGCAAGCGGCAAAGAAGACTCCACACATTGTCTGAGTGCTCTTTTCCCTGTCCCTCTGTTTGTTTCCAACAGCGACATGAAACCCGATAACCTCATGACGGGCAAGGGTGAGTGAGGCATAGACACACAGACGCCAATGGGAAGGAGGGGACACCGGATGTGTATGTTGTGTTGCATGCAGGCGGCCAGCAGGGTGAGGTGTTTTTGGTGGACTTTGGTCTCGCCAAGAAACACCTCGCCGCCAACGGCCGGTGAGCCCCATTCACCAAAACCAAAGAGACACACACGGTCAGACCTTCCTTTGTCTCTTCATGTGTGTCGCTTGCAGCCCCATCAAGGCCCGCAAGGACGCCGTCTGCGCGGGGACAGCCTACTGGGGCAGCCCCAACGTCCACGCCAAGAGGGATCTAGGCCGCCGGGACGACCTCATCAGCCTCTGGATTGTCCTTCTCGAGATGATGCTCAACGACCTGCCGTGGGCCAACCGCACCGTAAGGAGAGACGGACACGACACAGAGAGACACACATGCACACGGTGCTTGTTCCTCTGTCTGTCTGTCTGTCTGTCTGTCTGTTTGTCAGAACCGAGCAGACATCAAGAAGGATAAGAAGGAGCTGTTCGCCAAGGTCGAGGCCCTCCACAACGGCCAAGCCGCCGCCCCGCCCTTCACGTCCTTCTACCTGCGCCGCGGCCACCAGCCCGCGGACCCGCTGGCTGAGGACCCGCTGCTGAAGGACACGGACGAGCTCGCCAAGGCCATGCCACCCCAGATGGTGCGTGTGAGTGAGACAGGAAGGTGCATTGGGCTTCTTGTGTCCCTTGGATTCTCCTGCTCTCCCTGGTGTGTGCAGCGGCAGCTGTGGGTCGAGCTCAACAGCTACAAGTACGACACCAAGCCCAACTACAGCTACATCCGGTAAGATTGATTGCAAACAAGGCCCACGCACCACTCATTGTCCTTTCTTTTGGCAGGTCCCTGCTGCAGGACATGTTCGAGGCGTATGCCCATCACCACAAGGACAACTGGGACATCACCAAGGAGTTCGGCCAGGGCCCAGGCAAGTGGAAGGCCTCCCAGGAGGAGGCCGCCCTCCACCATCCCCTCCCCCCACCCTCGGCCCCTCATTCTCACCCCCACCCGCCCGCAGCTGCTACTGCTGCAGCAGCCAAGACCAAGGCCAAGCCACGATCCCCCTCCTCGCAAGAACAAAGGCGAGAAGCGGCCTCGGGCTGAGGACGAGGAGGACGAGAACGAGGAGCGGGCCGGCAAGAGGAGGGTGCGTCGGGAGGTGTCTGCTGTGCCCAAGCCCCGTGGCCGGTCGGTGTCTCCCCCACCCAAGCGCGGCAAGGCAGCGGCGAAGGCCAAGCAGGTGCGCAAGGCGCCGACGAAGAAGGATCAGCAAGAAGCCCGCCAAGAAGCCGCCAGCCAAGGAGACCGGCAAGAAGGCGAGCGGGAAGACCACAAAGCCCGGCAGGAAGACGCCCAAGAAGAAGGTGCAGGCGGCCAAGACGGGTGCGGCAGCCGGTGTAGTGGAGGTCGATGACGAGGTGTCGCCCGGTGCCCCATCGCCATCCGTGTCGACCAAGAAGCAGCGGGGGAAAGGCGTCGCGGACAAAGTCCGCAAGGCGCCCACCAAGAAAGTGGGCAAGACCAAGAAGGCGGCTGCCAAGAAGAAGACGACGGCGGCTGCGAAGAAGAAGGTGGTGAGGCGGGCTTCGGCGCCCAAGAAGAAGGCGGCCAGCGCTCCCTCTGCACGGGATGTTCGAGCCGAGCGACGCGCCCGCAACAAGGGATGAGGGATAGGGAGGGGGGAGAGAACCGAAAGGGGGCTGGGTATGTGGGGTATTTTGATGTGTGGCGCAAGCAGGCAGGCAGAAAGAGAGAGAGAGAGGGAGAGAGAGAGGGAAAAGCGGATCGCCAGTTGATGTCGGTCGTTGGGATTTTCCAGTTCCATCAGTGTGACGTGATTAGGGGGTTGTCTGTGTGCGGGATGGGATGGGAGCAATCGGGCGCAAGAGACACGTACCTCTGCCTGCGCTTTGCGGGATTCTGTGCCGTGTGTGTGTGTACTTGACATGTGAGAAGTTGGTGCTAAAATGTTTTGAGTGCTGATGATGGAGCTCCTCGGTGTATATTAGGCAGGCAGGCAGGCAGGCAAGGTAGTCGACGAGATGTCCTGCGACGCAGGCAAAACCATCTGCTTTTTTCAGTCGTTAGCGAGATCATAGGACCACTCGAGGAAGAGACACGTGCCGCTCGCTGCCTGCGATCTGTGAACTTGTCTGTGTTGTAAGTGTGTATGTGTATGCTTGTGCCTAATTGATGCCCCCCTGACACTATGCTCGTATCAGGTGTGTTGGTGGATTGACCATAACTATACAATCCATGTCACGAGCAGTCCACATCCTTTTGTCACTGCAACAGCCGCCATTCATTCCATCAAGATGTTCATTCACACCATCCAGACCACGCCCGCCACACCCACTGAGCTATACAACAAAGTGACCATCCAACCCTCTCACTGCCCTCTGCCTCTATCTCTGTCTCTTATGTACATGCACACACACGAGGAACGCAGTCTCCACTCAGTGTGTTTGCCATGTCAGCCGTGGCTTCGCCAGGCACCCCCCCACCACACCCACCCAATCTTCTCGCTCAGGTGATGGGCAGTTTCTTGGCCTTGCAGTACGCCTTGTAATCGGCCTCCGTGAGTACATACCCCCAGTGTTGCAGCGTCTGCATCACCACACCACACACAGTCGTCTCTCAGCCAGGATCTCAAGGCCAACACACACACATATGCTCACCCACCTGTCGGATGACGGGTGACACCTGGACGTCGTCGTATCGGGTGCCGCGCCGGTTGATCTGCCCACACAGCTGAGAACGGAAGCGACCGGTGGGACCCATCACGCCTGAACAGACAGAAGAGCGGCAGCAAGGAGGATGAGGACGTGTGTGTGTGTGTGTGTGTGTGGAGACAACGTATGTGTGGACGTGTGCGCGTATCCTGCCAGCTCCTCAGGGTCTGTGTGTGTCAGGACCTTTGAATCGGCTGATCTGCCGTTTGTCGTCCGAAGATCGCCTCCCGAGGTAAAACCGGCAGTACCTGATAGCGGACACACACAGAGTGTAGCATGGCAATGAAGGGTGTGTCCCGTGTGTAGTCTGTGTCCGTCCGCCTACCACTGGAACGCGCCGTAAGGGTCCTGCTTCTTGATCCAGCCACTACTCTCCCACTGGTCGAGGCTCTGGCCGCTGCAATGCACCACACCATCGTGACAGACACGTCCGTCATTCCTGACCCTTTCCCTCTCTGCCTGATAAATACATGCATCCCCCCACTCACCATTTGACGTCGTACTTGTTCACCTCTTCGCGGTAGGTTTGACTGGTCAGCATCCGGCCTCTGTTCATGCCCTCAAACCACTCCTGAGGGAACTGCAAAGGGCATGCAGGTGTCAACAAGAGAAAGGTATCAACCAGCAATCACCATCCACCATCCGTGTGTGTCCTCTTCCTCACCTCGGCCAGCACTTGCTTGGGGTCATAGGTTTTGCCCGTCACGCTGGAGTAAATCGAACGGAAATACGTACCACCTGATGTGGACACACCGACGCCACACATACCGCATCACACTCATACATACCATACACCAGTTCACTCATCTGTATGCTCTGACCGAATGAGCCGCGCTGCAGCACTTCCGCTGGGGTGAGGTTGGGCTTGAAGTCCGGGTAGTCCTCGAACACTAGCGTGCCGTCGGGACGCCGCTTCGGTACCGGGGCACGCTCCGCATAGATCTCTGATGAGCCGCAATAACAGGAAACGGATCCCCGTTGCATGCATCGCACATTCCCCACGCACCTGTGTCGAGTTTGACGCCACGATCCATATGCGATGCAGCAGCAGCAGGAGCAGGAGCAGGAGCGGCCTTCTTCACTCTCGTCTCCTTTTTCTGGATTGTCTTCGTGACCTTCCCGGCCTCCTGCTGCTTGGCCTTGGGCTTCGGCTTGGCAGCGGCGCCCTTGACCATGAAGACGTGTTGACGGATGCAAAACGCCGTCTGGCAGCCTCCAGGCCTCACGCTACAGGGCAGGCTGGTCGACAGAAGGAAACTCCGGTGGACGCAAAGCAGCAACAGAGACCACCTATTCATCCATCTATCAACGCTCCCGGATTTTGCGAGCTCAGCGCCAACGTCGGTGCGAGCTTAGCAGCAAGGAGAGGCTCAGGCCTTTTCCAGCGTGTGATGCGCTTGTGGTCTTGAGAATGAAGCTCAAGGAGTCAGATCTATGAGTGATCTTGCTGGGTGGCGAGTTTGAGCCACCCCCTGCGGCACGAGCAGGGATGGTGCGGCTTGGCCCTCCCCCCAACCGGCTGTCCAGCCATCGGTTTTCCCTCGTCTTCACCGCCATCTGCTCTTTCTTCCTCACCCTCGCCCTGGATCTTTTCGAGCACGTCTGTGTCGCCCTGTCAAACAGGCGGTCCGTCGACAACCTCCGGGACCTCAGCAGCCCTGACCGGGCGGCCTTCGTGGCTCCAGCGGCACTCAGGCGCTTCGGCGGATCAAGACGGCGTGTTTCAGGGCATCGCAGAGCACGGTGGCGGATGGATGACGACTGTGACGTTTTTCTTCTGCCGCTCGACGAGAAGCAGCGGACCGAGCATTTGAGGTCTCTGTCGAGCGTTCGAGCGTCAGACCTGCTGCTGGCTTCCTCTCTGCTCAATGACCAAAAGCGGCTGCTGCTACGCGCGAGCCCCTCCAGCACCGCCAGCCCTCCCCATTCCACGATGTTTGACCCCATGGATGAAGAGGAGGCCCAGTACGCGTCAGAAGGACGACACGACACCACCCCAAGGATGGTGTCGGTCTCGCCACACAGCCGGACGGCTTCATCACCCATACCCCTCCCCTCTGATCCCGACCCCGCTGGCCCTTCGTCGCGTGCCTTTCGTGAGCGGCTCGAAGAGTCGTGGCAGGCCCAGTCTCACCCATCATCAGCCCCACCCCTCCCCCCCACCCCGTCAGATTGGAGGACCGAATTGGAGCGGCAGCTCGAGAGAGAGAGGATAGCGCGGGAGGAGAGGGCTCGTGCGGTGCTAGAGGAGCAGCTCGAGAGGGATCGGCGGCGCGAGCAGGGGAGGGCGCAGCGGCTGCTGCACATCATGGAGAGGGACAAGTGCTCGGCTGAGGAGGCCATACGGAGGCTCGAGGCCATCGAAAAGGCGGAGGCTGAGGCACAGCAGCGGACGGAGCTTCCCCTGCCCACACAACATCGAGACGATGATGATGACATTGACGTCCTTGACGATGAAGACGAGGAAGATCAGCCGTCGGACATCTCCATTGCCACGATGGTGTCGACGGCTGTCACCGAGATCGAGACCCCCACCCAGCCGTCATCACGGCCCCACATGCCACCAGAGGCGAGTGTGCTGTCGGCTGCAGCGGCAGCCCACGAGATGGACAAGAAACGGAGAAAGAAGGAGCACGTCGAGCGGGGGAGCGTCAACATGACAGCCGATCTGTCCGACTTCACTTCTCGCCATGTGTTTGAGGATGACGACAGCGTCCGGCTGCTCAACGGCACACTGGTTGATAGAGAGGTCCTGGAGAAGCTCAAGGAAAAGGACGACTTCCTCAGGTCAACCACACACACACACACACACAGAGAGAGAGAGAGAGAGAGATATGTTCGGCTGAGCTGACGATGCATCCATCTCTGTGTGCGTTTGTGTGTGTGTGTGCAGGGAGTGGGAGAGGCTTCGCGACAGCAAGGGCCTGCGCTCGTTGGAGAGCTGGGCGGAGCTGGTCAACACGACGGTCGACTACCTCAAGGTCATCATCCCCGAGGTCATGCAGATCCGTGCCCTCCTCCCGCCACAAGAGGCGTCCAAGAAATCACGGAGGAGCATGATCCAAAAGGTCAGCCAGCCTTGACAACTCCTCTGCCACCAACCAATCTGCATCTCTCTCTGTGTGTGTGTGCAGGAGCGAGAGGAGTGGAATCTTCTGCGGTCGTCGCGTCGTCTGCGTCGGGTGGAGGATTCGATCAAGCAGGTGGAGCTGACGCTGGGCCGGCCGCCCACGCGCGTCGAGTGGGGCACGGCCATGGGCTTCATCACCGCTGATGCCAGGGAGGATGGCTATGACAAGAGACTCAAGGAACAACTGGACTACATGAACAAAGAGGTGCGTTACTGAGTGGGCGTTCGTGTGCATGTACGTTGTGCGGCCTGTCTGTGGTCAGTTGAAGCGCCTTGAGGACGATGAGGCGGTCGTGATTGGCTGGTTCCACGACCTCGTCAAGAGACTGGCCACGTGAGACGGAAGTACAGATAGGGGGACTGAGAGAGAGCTCTCTTTGTGTGACCGGCCGGCTCTTCATGGCTGTCTGTGTGCTGTACGTGGCCTGTCAGGCAAGCTGCTTCCAAGCCCCACACCAATCTCGGCTTCATGGACTTCATGACGGGCGGCCTCGAAGGTATGGAATCCACCTAAAAGTACACCAGACAAAGTCTCTGTCCGCGTGTGGCTGTGTGTGGCACGTGTGTGTGCAGCTGTGCAGAAGGCAATTCGCGAGGTGCCTCTCGAGAAGATTGAGATGGGCAACCTGCGGCAGCACGTCTACATGGCCATCAAGAACGCACACCTCGCCCAGGCTACAGAGTTCAGGCAACAGGTACGCAAGCCACTTCAGTCAGCCGCACACGCAAACGACGAGTTCTCATTCTCGTGTGCGTGTGTGTCAGCAACATCACGGTGTGCCCGCCCACTACTTCACGCTGGCCAAGAAGGCGAGGGACTACGAGAGGGACGTCAAGAACGAGCAGGGCCGAGTGCCCAACCGTAAGAGCCGCACACCTCCACGTCTCCCTCCAGCTCACCACATCTCACACCAACCTGTGTCTGTCTGCCTGAACAGACGCTGAGACCGCCAAGGCCCTCGACGTCTCGCCACAGCTCTTATCGTAAGTAGACCGACGCCACATGCATGACTAAGGCGTCCATTCCTTCATTCATTAACCCCCGTGTGTGTTTGTGTCTTTGCGTGTGTGGTTGGCGCAGCAAAGTGAGGTCCGAGACGCGGAAGATGCGTGACATGATGCAGGACGTCAAGTTCAAGTCGGACGACGGAACCCCTGAACGGCTCCACGAAACACTCGACGTACGCGCGCCAAACCTACCAGCAATCACGAGCCGACGCACCTGGATGACACTATGTTGTGTGATTGATGTGGTTGGTGTGGTTGGTGTGTCCAGCTGGACCCCGACAACCCCGGCGGGCCTCAGAAGTACCTGGCGGAGGAGCGGCGCTTCCTGCACATGGTGGAGCACCTCATGACGCAGTCGTCTCTCACCGACATGGAATACAGAGTGGTACGTACGCACTCCCACACGGGTCATGACACTCCCACCCCTCATCCCTCCCTCCCTTGCCTTGCTATGTGGGTCCAGATGCACATGCGTCTGGGCGTCTCCCGCACCGATCGCCGTGTGCACTCGGCCGAGGACGTCCGGAACGAGCTGGCCATCACACCGAGGGAACTTGCAGACATCGAAGCCAACGCTTTCTACAAAATGAGGAAACAGGTGGGTGGTTGTGTAGGAAGAGTGCACAACACCCTAACTAGCACCCAAGACTTGCTAACCGAGTGTCGTGCGTGTGGTGGCCTTGCACTCCATCCATCCATCTGCAGGAGACGGAGGATGCTTTGGGTGAGGTTGAGCCGCAGGTGCGTGCGCAGGCGTCGTTCGACCCCGAGATGATGCTGGCGGTGCTCTCGGAGGTGTCGCACATACAGCGCCTGTCCGAACAGCTCATCACACGGGGGGGATTCAGAAACACAAGTGAGTATGCGATCGTGCACCCAGCACACGACTCACCACAGCCATCAGATTGACGTGTTGCATGTGATGTGTGCGTCTCGGTAGGGGATTTGGACCCCAGTCTCGACGAGAAGGCGCATATCCACGCGGCGGCCCTGCTGCTCAACCAGTCCAACAAGCCCGCAGCCATCGCTGCACGACGCAAGCTCATGGAGGCCAGAGGCCACAAACCTCTCCGTGCCCAGCAGCAGCCCACCCCACCCCCTGTCCCACCCCGCACCCCGACAGCCCACCAGACGCCCCCTCCCCGGCCGCAGCCAAAGCTCTTCGCGCCGATTCCCGTGGAGCCGGCGAGAGCGGCCAGGCAAGAGGAGCCCCTGCTGGCAAAGGTCAAACGGGAGAGGGCCGAGAAGAAGGGCGGTGGCAAGAAAGCGGCGAAGCGGAGCACTATGACGTCGGGAAGGAAAAGGACGAAGGCAATCTGATGATCTTATGGAGGAGGGATAGTAGGCGGACGAAGGGGTGTCAGTCTCGTGTGCAGAGAGGGGGGAGGGACGGACGGGCGACGAGACCATGGTTTCCATCTATCCATCCATCCATCCATACTCGTACATAGACACATGTACCCACCCACATGCCGGCACGGCATGAATGAGTGCATCTACCTACCTCCCTACCTTTCTACCAGCCTGTCTCTTTATCTCTGTGTGTGTGGTGTGTGCGGGAGGGGCTATGGGATGGGAGGGGGTATGGGATGGGATGGGATACGAGGGGGAGGTAGGTGAGAGGGCGGTCCATAGCGCACCGGTCCACAACGCTCACGCACTCCCTTTTTCTGTCAATCACTCACGCACTCGCTGCCTACCAGCCTGCCTGCCTGCCTGCCTGACCTATGCCTACATCAGCCGAACCCGCCCATGTATAGCCTGTCGCTCGTCGGTATGGGTGGGTGGTTGCTTGGTTTGTGTGTGTGCAGCCGGCCGGCCGCCGGGCAGGCTAAGCTCTCGTGTGAGGCCGGCCGGTAAGACACATCAGCGAGGAGAATACTCGCAGAGAGGGCTTTTTGGCGGTGGCTGGCCAACCACAGTTTTTTCCCGCTTTTAAAGCACTCTGAGAGATGAGGAGGGATGCGTGTGTGTGGGCAAGCAACTGCAATGGAGCTTGGTACCCTGTTTTCGATGTGTTGCGGTTCTCGTGGCTGTCTGTCTGTGTGCGTGTGTGGCGTGGATTTCAATGGGATTGTCCTGGCCTGGCGAGAATGACGTTGTAATGCTCACTGGGGCACTGACGTGCTGTGCTCCTTTTGCTGCAGCGGGGCGGGGGCTGCTAATGTGTGTGCGTGTGTTGCTTTCAAACCACTCACTCACTCACCCACTTGTTGTCGATCGTGCAGCCAGCCAGCATCTCTGGCACTGTTGTGCTGTCCTGTGGTGCCTCCCTCCCTCCCTCCGTCCCTCCCCCCAGCTCACTGTAAACACAGCACTGCACACACCCATACACACACATGTATTGCTGGCTGGCTGGCTGCACGGCACGGCGCGGCACGCACCTTGGTGCGCGCTCTCTCTCTCTCTGTGGGATTTTCAACGACCTGTGTGTGTGTGTGTGTCCGATTCCGGTCTCTCTCTTGTGCGTGTTTCTGTCTGGGCATTCCCCTTGAGCACCGTTCCCCTTTGAGAATGGCGCCCGAGGTGGGACTATGACAAGGCGCACGAGAGGCGACCGACTGGCACTGACAAGGCAGTTGCCTCTCTGTCTGTCTGTCTCGCTCCGTCAGTATTTGTGTGTGGTGGGGTGGTGGTGGTATGTGCAGATGGCACACAATGACGATGGATGAATGGATGGACGAATGGATGATGACCCCTACATTGCAATCAGTTGTCGTGTCTCTCTATTCACCGGCCACTGAAAGTCATCCCCACGTTGGCGGATCCGTAAATGCGCTTCTGCGCGTGGGCGGCCGCGGCCAGAGCTAAGAGTTCTCGTTGGCTTGACGGCTGCCGCAGCTGGTCCTTTCATCCGTTTGCATCGTCTTCAACGACGTCCTCTCGATAGACGTCGTTCTGGCGAGTTGCCCTCGCGGCGCCATCATCATTCGTCCGTGTTTGGTGAGATCTTGGCAGGCTGTCGGGTAGTGGATGCAACAGGTGCAGAGACGCGTCCGGGGCATGCCGCGTGTCTCGCTGGTTTTCCCCTCGTTTGAGCTCCGCTTACCCGAACACCGGTTGAAACAAGGTGATAAGTGTACTTGTCTGTCTGAAAAGCCTTACAGGTAGGTCGCTCTGTTTTATTGCTCGAAGAAACGCATTAATTGCCGTGTCGCTCAGTCACTGCGGGTCATTCATGAAGGGTCAACTCTCGACCCACACGAAGAGGCAGGTGCCCGTCGAGTTCGATCCGTCTGCGGCCCGGATGATTCGTGTCTCATGGTTTCTACCATTAATACTTCTGTGCCTTGCTTCTCCTCGCTTCCTCTGCTTCCTCCTCTTGTGCCTCTTCGCTTCTTTGCCTCTTCCCGCTCTCCTGCAGGAGCTCCGGGGCAAACTCTTCCACCAGGCTGTAGGCATGTGTGTCGTTCAGCTGCCGCACACCAGCCGCGACAAAGAAGAATACGCATGGCTGCGCGTCGACAGGGAGGCTGTATTCGAGCAGGTCGAGGGACGGGTTTTCCCCATCCCTTCCCTGAGCACCTCTTTGTCTTCAATCGTCACGAGCACCAGACGGGCTGACTGAATGAAACACATGATCTGTTTGGTGACACACACACCAGGAGAGAGACACACACTTGTACCATCAATCAAGGCAGCTGAGCCCGTACTGAGTCCATGTAATGACCTGGTGGGCCGTGCTGCCTGGGGGGTAGCTGCGGTCGATGGTCACTGATGGGGCCAGATGGGGCAGCAGCAGATCGGCTTGGGGGTTTTGCGGGCCGCCAGCAATCCTCTCTCGCTTCTTCACGCACTCACGAGTCATCTCTTCGACTTCCGGCCAAGCCTTGAGGATGTCGAACACTATGCGCAGCCAGGGCGGCATCTCCTTCTTCAAGCCGCTCTCCTGCTCTACGGCCTCGACCGTTCTGTTGCGGAGCTGCTCGAGTGTGTCGGCGCCATCATTAATGCCGACTTTCTTGTAGAGATTTAATTCGGCGGTTGGAAGAATGTCCGCGTTCCTGTCAAAAAGATAGCTGGTCATCTTCTTGCAGCTTGCCCTGCCGTCTTGCTTCGCCCGAGGGGCATGCTGGAAGCCAAAGGATTGATAGTAGAAGCCTGACATGCACATGCCGACGAATTGAACGGATCGATGTGCATGTCAGAGCCTGTGCATCATCTGCGCGTACCTGCTTTTGAGAGCACATACATGTCCTTGATGCTGCTGACGTCAGTAATTGTCACCTCTTTGCAGCCGTAGGCAGGCGAAAACTGGTCAATCCATGATAGCATTGCGACCATCATGCTGTTGCCAGACAGCTTGTCGGCCTTCTTCAGACTGGACAGAGACACAATAATACATAAAAGGGCTGACAGCTTGTATTCTCGGTCATGCACATACCCCGCCAAGTAGCAGGTGCGCGGCCCCGACCAGCGTTGGATATCCAAACGGCAATGACCACCTGTCACTTCCAGCCCCTCCACCTGAAGGAGACGTCTGAGTGTTGTCGTATGGTATTACGTAAGATGGATTGAGCGTCGGTCGCTTCGGAATACATACCAGCTGCAGTGACACCTTAAGAGTCCCTCTAACACCTCGGAGACGCAAGACTACACCGAGCGTGTCTTTGCCCCTGAGGTTCTCCTGGATGCGCTTCCTGAACGCCTCAGGGACCTTCACAGAACAACTGCAATCGATGCATTCATTGCAGCGGCCAAGACCAGCACGGGATACCGTCTATCTGTTCTTATCCACCTGATGTCGATTGGCTCCTCAGGGAGGTCCTCGGGCGGTTGTGAGCAGCTCACCAGATCCCCCACCGCGACACGAGACGAGGAGACTTGTTGACACAGCTGACAGAGGATCAGGGCCATGCAGAGCGACCAGGTACAGAGAGCCATCGGGATCCGAATCATCCGATCAACGAGATGGAAGCAATGGGATGAGGACTTCACGGCTGCTCGTCTCTCGCGATACGGGAAGGTGGGGGCGTATCCTGGCCGCCCCCACCCTGAAACCCTTAACCCTGAAACCCTAACACCTCTGCAGATCCGCGCGGTTTTGACGAGGACAGGCCGCCCGGCCAGATCAGGCGGTTGAGAGGCCAGGTAAGAGCCTTCAAAGAGATGCTCTTTGCCACAAAATTGGATCTGTGGCGCAGGGCGTCGGTCTTCGCGCGCATGCACCTGGGTACACCTGGGCAAGCTACTCAAGACGGCACGCAGCCACGGATACGCCATGTGGCAGCTGGCATTCGCCTGGTGCTACACACGCCCATTCGTAGGCCACGCCAGACCACGCCACACACTCGACAGACACTGTTGCTGCTGCTGTGTGTGTGTGTTGGTCGATTGGCTGGGAAGCGGCTGCACCGCCATGTGGGAGGCGGGGCGAGGTGAGCGAGCCAACACAGACAGACAGACAGACAGACAGACAGACAGACAGCCAGTCAGACAGCCCACCCCTTCAAACCACCCGCCGCGCCCTTACACTCACACGCCAGAGAGGACGGACACGCACCCCACCCCCTCCCTCCCCCACGCAGACATGCAGTAGCTAGTCGCACGCGCGAGGGCGATAGACAAGCGAGAGCGAATCCATCCAGACACATGACTGAATCCAACAATGCACCAAACCCCACACACACCTTCTGCCTGCCTCTCCGTCTCGCCCTATCTCCCCCGTGTGTATTCGTTGGCCTGGGTGGGTGGATGTGGTGTCCTTCTGCACGACTGGCTGCGTGCTTCTCTGCCTGCCTACCTGCCTGCCTGCCTGCCAACTCGGAGACATCATAGCGTGAGTAGATGGGGGGGTCTGCGTCCGCCCATGCGTGTGCGCGTGTGCGGGACTTGTGTGTGTGGGTATTAGGCGTGGCCGACTGCCGATTGACGTGAATGGCATACACTAGAAGAAAGCCTTCCATTCCAAAACAAGTGTCCGACCACAGACAGATGATTTAAATCATCACAACTCCCTGACAGCGCTGGACGCAGAGCAGTTGCGGATCAACGACACAAGTCCACACACAGACTCAGTCAAATGTAGAGAGAGAGGGGGGGCGAGACCGTCCGTCTACTTGATAATCGTGTATTCTTCAACTAGTTCCCCCAGAGCCTCTTTCGTAAGGGGTTTGCCCTTCACATCTGCTGCACCAGCTTCTCTGTACTGGCTCACGACGTCAGCCGTCAGAACGCCTGTGAGGCCTACGATGGGGATCGGTGCACTACCACTGGCCTGCAGGCAAACATGCTGTGTCTCCAATGCTGTGTCTTTGTTGGTTCAGACCAGCACCTGCAAGAGGGCGGTGATTTCTCGTGTTGCAGTGATTCCGTCCTTGATCGGCATGTTGTCCATGAGGATCAGAGAATACCTTTCACCGGCACGGATCCTCTCCACAGCCTGCTCATCTGCACTGATACATGCCACGACTGCTGGTACTGATCTTCGTCGGACTTGCCCACCGTCTGTCGCGAAATGATGGGCCAGGCCAAATCGCTTGAGCAAGAACGACATTCCAAACCTGGTCAGACACAAAGGGAGCTGACAGGCGTGCATAGAGCCCCTCGACCTTGTCACCTGACGGTTTCGTTATCCTCAACAAGCAGCACCCTCTGCAATGCACAGTTGCCACAAGGTGCGGACCATTTGCTCATCGACGCACCGTTCTTCCCACCGCCGTCAAGTGCTTGGTGTCGGGACTATCTGCGTCTGTCATGGGTGGAGGGAGAGACGATTTCCTGCGTCTTGGTGTGGCAGGATTGGTCACAGAAACTGAACATGCTGCTGCATCCCTGGACCTGAATGAAATCAATCACATGCTCTGTGCAGACGGCAGCTCCAGTGCGATGTCTCTTCAGTGTACTCCTGGTGTCTCGCCGAATGGCCTGTCATGTCGTCTTCCCACTCCATCTCCCTCTCCGAATCAGCAGCGACCAGAATGTTCTCACTGTGATGACGGCGAGAAGCGGTAGGCGAGCGGGTGGACGGTGCGGAGGTAGAAGAGTCCCGTCGCTCGACGAATGTGCTGTCGATGCGCTTCTTGTCGGCAGGAGAGAGACTGGAGGTGTGACCTGCGTCAAATAGCGCTTCAAAGAAGAACTCTGACCCCTGGTCGATACCAGCGGATTTGACACCTACACAAGCCATTCATCGTCGTCACGGACAATCTTACCCTTAACCACCACCACACCTTCATCGTCGTCAAGGGTTACAATTGGCTGCTTCTTACCCGTCCTGCCCTCTCTGTGTCGCTCCATGAAGGCTTTGGCGATGGATAAGCCAAGGCCAGCCCCTCCCCCTCGCTGGAGATCGGCGGGGCGTAGCTGTGAGTATGGCTTAAAGAGCTTGCTGAGGTCACTTTGAGGGACGCCGGCACCGTCGTCTTGCGCCGATATTCGCAGCCGTGGGCCAACTCCTGGGCACCACTCAAGCATCTGACACTGCACAATGAGTGTTCATAGCCATCAGATTGATGGCGCTCTCAAGGCCAGCTACCTTCATGGTCACGGTCTTGCCCGGCGGCGTGAACTTTCGAGCATTGCTAAGGAAATTGACAGCAACCTGAGAGCACCAGCGCATCCGTGTCTTCTCATTGCCTCCCTCCATGTATCTGTGCGTCTCTGCTGGCCTGTTCTAGCCTTGTTTCGTCTCCAACAATTCCTCCATCCCAGCGATCATCAAGCTTAGCGAGCAGTCCAGCGTCAATCCGCATATAAAAGGCGATATTCATCACTTCAAAAGACAGCCGGTGGGTGTCATAAATCATCAGCAGCCATCTGAAGAGATTGAAAGGCCTTAGATGGAACTCAAATCGGCCCGCCTCCAGTTTCTCCAACGTGAGAGCGCTGAATATCGGAACAGACAATAGATGTGAGGTCAGATACACAAATGCCGTCTCATCTTTTATACATGTGTACTCATTTGTGATGAGCGTCATCCTGCCCATCTGCTGCCCAATTGTCGCCAGCATTGTGTTAAGCCCTTCGATCCAAGACACGATGTCTTGTTTGCTGCCGTTCTCCACATCGTCGTGGGTCCGTCCTTCTTTCGCAGATCTGCTCACGGCATCGTGCTGGCTCTCCCGTGAGGTAGTGCAGAAAGGCAGTTCCTCAGCTTTCAGCCGAGCGATGCACTCGTGCAGAATCAGGGACCCAGCAGTCAGCGGATTTCGCACTGGAGAGGGAGAAAAGACAAAGCTTGTTTGTATCAGCGTGCCTCGTTTCTTACGTTCGTGTAAGATGTAGGAGACACATGCGTGGTAATTGGCTTCCGTCTCTTTCTGTTTCGTGTGGGCCCTGTAAAGCTCAAAGTCCCGCTGCTCGCCGAGAACGACGCCACAGAGCACCAGCATGACGCAGAAAAACTGACCGGCGATGCTTTCGTTCATCCACCCAATCATGTCACCCGTCCATGCGCGACGTGAAGAGATACATAGGTAGCGACCGAAAAGGGATACGAGGATGTCAGCAGTGCAGAAGAATGCCGCAGACGGCAGCTGCACCCTCACGGCAGAGCAAGAGAGTGCCGAGTGTCGTTGTCTGCCTGCCTCTGTTTTTGAGACACGCTTACGTCGAGACGCACGAGAAAGCATGCAACAGTCTTGATGAGTATGCTGCAGATCCCCAGAGACGTCAGTGCCTGCTCGTCAAGCTCCATTTGCACACAGAGCACCGTCGCAAGAGCGCTGACAAGCAGGAAGACCCCGACCACAAGGAAATGAAGACACCGCACCAGCACATCTTCGCTGACTCGATAGCTCAGCCACAATGACGCCCCCAGAAAAGGCACAGATGGCAGGAGATAGAAGCCCACGTCGGCAAACCAGCTGGGGATGAAAGCCCCGGCAACGAGGGTGAGGAAACGCATCACCAAAGGTAAGAGGACGAAGAGATAGAGAACGCTTCGGGCGGCAGAGATGTAGATGGCTCTCGTTTGCTCCTCGCGCCACCGAAGGAAGGCGGGATCACGCAACCTCTGCAGTGATCCGAGGAACTTGAAGGTCTCAATCAGGCCGTTCATCCTTCGATGAAGCTGCGTCTTAAAGCGGCCGAGGGAATTCATCGCAGAGTCGACTCAGAGATGGAGAAGGTTGTAATGCTGCGAGGGAAGGTACCGAGGAAAAGGTCTCGACCAGGGCAGCTTCCTCGTGTAACGACCACATTCAACTGTGGATAGGAAAACCTTACGGGAGAAGGAACAGCTCGTCCTAGTAGATGGAATGATGTGATGGCACAAAGTTGACAAGCAAGCGCTGATTTGAAGCCGCAGAGTGGTAAGAAGAGGCAGCAGGGGTGCATAACTCATCGCTGCTTCCAGATCTCTCATCTGTGTGTCGTGCTGTGTAGTAGTTGGTTCCCCTTCGTTCCTCCCCATGTCGGCGGACGAATTTATGTTCATCGACGAAGAGCCCTCAATTGGTGTCCGCGACATCCAACCGGAGCAACACAACCACTGGCATGCCGACCGGCAGATGCGACCACCGCCTACCCAGCCCTCACTCACGTTGGACAAGGGGCGTGTTCATTTGGAGAAAATTGGAGGACAAGACGCCATTCGGCCTGATCAGTCGACAGAAGAGCGTCACGCCGTGGACGAAGGAGAGCAGGGGGACAGCGGGAAGGGCGACGACCCTGCGGCGGGCGGGCAGAGGCCTCACGTGGATGGCTCAGTGGTCGACGGGGAAGACGTGAGCATCGACAAATCCGCCGTCGCCACTCCGCCGTTCGCACTGTCGGATGCCATCGCGAGGTGGAAGTCCACGTTAACGCCCACTCAGGGCGCAGCCCGGCCCCAGTCCCCCGCCAAAGGGCCTTCCAACGACCCCACGGCCACGCCCACGCCCTCCAAGCACGCGCACGGCCACTCACCAGGTGTGGATCAGGACACGGCGGCCGGGCGCTCTTTGGCTGTCGCACCACAGCACGCGTCGTGCCGTGAACGGCCACTCAAACGTCGACTGTCGCCACAGCAGGATGGTGATAGCGAGGCTGACGCCTCAGGGAAGGAGGCCAAGAGGGATGGCAGCAGCAAGGTGTGGCTCAAGAGCATAGAAGAGGCCACAGTGGGGTGCTTCGCGTCTGGCTGTGGTTTGCGGCGTGAGTTGAGGGCTGTGGTGGCGGTGCTGATGCGGGACTACTGGACACATTGCAACAATGTGTTGCGGGTGGAGCCGCAGATAGCGGGTATGGGTCTGATGCAGCCGGACGAGAGGGAGGCGATGGGCAAGCAGTTGACTGACTTTCGGGAGCAAGGTATATGAAGCTCCACATCACCAGCGAAACCCACACACGTGATTGACAACCCATGCATGCTGTTTGGTTGCAGGTCGTATGCATCATGTGAATGCACTGGCCGGCGCCCTTTACACCCTCATTCCCCCACTCCTGGCCAGGCCCGCACTCTTGACGCTCCTCTCCCTCCCCCCCGATGAGCACGCCGAGTGCGTCAAGATCATCGCGGCCGACATACTCGAGAGCCGGCTGGTGCCTCAGGGGGTCGACACGACACTCACCCGCACAGAGCATTGCGCTGATGCGTTCCGCGAGGGCGTCTTGTCTTCGCGCTTTGTGGTCGAGCGGGCGACGTTCCTATCGTCCATGCCTCCCTTCGGTGTGTTCGACGTCGACGAGCGGTTGAGGGCGCTGAGAGGCACCGACACACCTGAAGGTGCGAAGGGACGGGAGTGGCAATGTCAGTGGAGCGCAGCGACTGCCTTGTTCTCTCTGTGCGTGATGTCTGTTCAGGTGACAGCCGTGCACCCGAGGAGGCCGTTCCAATGCCACAAGATGACAGCCACCAGCGGTTCAACGAGGCGGCGGAGGCCACATCGCCAGTGGCCACACAAACTGCAGCAGAACTTACCATCCTTCCCCTGCCCTGCCGGGGGTGGCAGTTTGTCCCCGGCAGCAACAGCAAGGCGACGGGCGACGCGAGCACGACCTGGGACACGTCAACGACTGGCCGGTCTAGCTGGCACTCGCTCACCGACCCCAGCCCACTCACATCCCAGACGCCCACCAACACAGCCGACCTGGTGGCGACGATCCTCTCGGCCAATCCACCGGGCATTGGGCAGAATGCCGGGTGGCCTGGCGAGACCGAGGGGTTGGGGAAGGGGGGGAAGCCGCCATTGCATATGTGAGGGCAGAGCGAGGGGGACGGGGAGGGGGGTGGCATAGATAGAAGCAGTTGAATCGCTATTATGTGTTTTTCGGTCTGCATCGATTGCTTGTGAAGGTGTTGGTGCGTGTGTGTGTACAGCGAGGACGTCTGGATTCAAGTAGTGTTTGTGAGGACGGACAGGTGTGCCAACCGGATCGTGTACCCTCCATCCCGCACACCGCAGTGCGATATCCTATTGACTGACGTACAAAGCTGCATCTAGGAATCACACGCAGAGTAGCAAGCATAATCACAAGAAGGAAAAAGCGCACGATGCTGGCTGGTCACATGCATCATGAACGACAAACTCTCAGCCGTGTCCGTTATGTCTGCCCGTTCTACTCTCTCTCCCCTGCCTGCCTCAGTCGTACTCTACTTACGGTGGGTGGGGGCACCTTTCACGACCGTCCATGTTTGCCGTGCCGCAGGCAAAGCAAATGAGCAAGTCTTCTAGAGACCCGGCTATGCGCACAGCCTCAACAACAATACACACACTTCATTGGACACACACACACTCCCTCCCCGACGCATCCATGCAGAGCCGCCAATCATCTTCCATGCGCCAGCCATCCCACGGCGTCATCTGCCGGCTCAGGGGCCACACGAGGGCCTGCAAAGGGTGGTGGGGGAGGGGCAGGGGGAGGCAGCTTCGGTTTACCTGCAAAGAAGCGCAGATCAATACACATCCTGCCTGCCACGCCATGAGTCCTCCCTCATTTACGTACCGAATCCGAACATGGGAGGCGGAGCCGCTGCTTTTGGTGGAGGGGGCGGGGGTGGGGGAGGGGGCGGCGCGGAGAGCTCAGGTGACACAGAAGCAGGGATGATTTGCACGGCAGGGGGAGGTTTGTCTGTGTGTGAGAGGGCGCGGACACAAAATTAGAAATGACCTTTCTCACCCACCCGATATACCAAACGACATGTCTCCATATCTGACTCACCGATTGATGGTCTCTTTGGCGGGGGAGGGGGCGGAGGGGGTGGGGACGGTGGGAAAAGCTCCTCTACGCGACCTGATGTGTATGACAACATTTGAATGTTGGGAACGAACCAATAATGTGCAGGTGGGTTTGTTGAACGTTCTGACTGTGTGTCTCCCATCCCACCTGGTGGCAAAATTGCCTCTGTGGGCGCCTCAGCAACAGGCGGGCGCTCTTCCAGGAGGTCAGGAGGCGCAGCAAATGGCCTTTCGTCCACTTTGACCTCCTCTGCTGCTGCGAGGGGTGGCTCTGCAATTCATCGCCGTTGAGATGAGCATCCTGAGACGTCACCGCTTCCTTGTGACTCACCTGGAGCAGCCACTGGAGCCTCTGGTGGTGCTTCTGTGGTAATAGGTGGCTCCTCTGCCTCTGCTTGTGGTTGTGGTTGTCGCGATGGCGGTGGCGGTGGCGGGGGTGATGGGGTGGGCCGCGCTGATGGTGGCTCAGGGGTTGCCATCGCCCATGCCGGAGGGGCCCTTCTGCCCTCCGTGTCTTGGAGACGCTCGGCCTCGTCTTCAGGCGCCTCGGTCGGCTTCTCTTCTTTCTCGGGTGGTTTCTTCCTCGGCGCAGGTGCGGTGACGAATGGGAGCGGCTTGAGCTGCTCTCTCTCCTCGAGCTGCTCCTCAACCATGGCAAGGGCGGCGATCAGGTCGGCATCCGCCTCTCTCTCGGGGCCCTCTTCCTCACGCACCGGGATCTCCTGCACAACACACAGACAGAAAGATAGACAGACAGGTGAGCCACGTGGACACACGTGTGTGCAGTGATGATGCACTGATGTGTTTGTTGTGTTGGCTGTGTGCACGTGTGTCCGTTTGTGCATTACTTGGTAGGCCGGTACCGGTGAGGTAAAGCTCGATTCCAAAGGCATCCCCGGCGGAGGCGGCAAAGGCGGCGCTGGCACCGACGGAGGGGGCGCCCGGGGGACCGCCAACGCTGGACGGGGGGCCTCGGTCTCTGAAGCAGTGAGGGAAACATGCACCAAGGAGATGCCCCTCTTTCTGATGAGAAGGCCTATATGCCTACCTTCTTCCTTCTTCTCTTCCTCGACCGATGGCATCTGCTCGCGTCGCTTGGCGGCTTTCCGTGCCTCTTTTCTTTCTTTTGCCGTCTTGAGAATGGACGCCCGGCGTGAGACGCGTCGCTGTGTGAGGAGGTTGAGCGTGGCGAAGTCTGAGATGCGCTGGGTGATCTTGACGGTGGCGAGCTTGAGTTTGGCCTTCTCGGCCTCGACGTCCCTCTCGCCCGCCAATGCACTGCACGCACTCGTAGAGGAGGAACGATGGCACATGGCGAAGGTGACCTGAGTGCGTACGATTTGTGCCTGCAATATTCACCCTGCTTTGATCCTCGGGTTGACGTATCCCCAGTAAAAGATGCAGCAGCCGCTGACGGCCAGCAGCACCGCACTGTACACGGCACGGACAGACAAGGAGCGAGGAGATATGCAGAGAGACATGAAATTGTTCCTCTCTTGTTGCTTCTCGCTGTCTGGCTGACCCAGCGACAATGAGATAAATCCACCATGGGGTCTCGCCCCTGCCGCGCACTATGGCAGCCTCAGCCGTACTCGGGGGAACTAACGAGTCGCGGGACGCATCGTCGGGGATCTGTGAGTGAAGACACGGATCGCATACATACAAAGTGCAGGCAGGGAGGCAGTGGCTTGTGGTTGTCACCTGGAAGAGGGCGAATTGTGACAGGTGGCAGATGCGGACGCTATACACCAGGGTTGAGGGAGACCATGAGTCCCTCTTGAGTCCCTCAGGGCAAGTCAGAAAAGCAGGCTCCCACAACTGCAACGCCGTAACAAGACAGACAAGATGGACGGATGTCTGTCCACACAGGGTGGTCGTCGCTCGGGCAGCCGTACCTCGTACACTGGTTCGAAATAGAAGAGAAAGGGCACTTGGCGAGACGGCCAGCCTGCAGGAAGGTGCACGGGGAAGGACAGAGGGTACAGCGCTGTTTTCTTTTGCGTGCGACGTGCTGCCTGACCGAGCGCAGTAAACGTGAATTGGATCGTCAATGGCGCCTTGAACACCAAATACTCTTGACGATAGATAGCACAGGAGCGATGAGTGGGCGGAAGATCAGTATGGCTGTTGTCCAGACCAACCTGCAGTGGCGCCTGACAGGTGGAAGTTGATGTCTGAGCAAACCTTGACGGCGTCGTTCGCCTTGCAGGGATTGGGGTCAGCTGCATACACCGATGGACACACGCACGAAGGACATGACATGCACCCGTCGGGGATGAGATGGGAGAAAGGCTGGCCTTGCTGACTTACCAGTGCCGTTGACGGATCGCACCTCGATGACGGCGAGGTCGTCAAGCATGAACATGTCTGCAGCACATACACAGAGGGATGGATGGGCAGGCGCATTGCTGAGCTTACGCTGTCCACGCGACGACTGACTGAGTGACTGACCTCTCTGTGTCTGCAGTTCCCACGCCGTCGGCTGCTGGTTGGGGCTGAACAGCGGCGGCAAAGAGATCGAATCATATGTCCTAAGAGAGAGAGAAAAGGGGAGACCGGGTAGTTAGATCATCTAGCTCATCTAGCTGCCTGCCGCCACCCATTTTCAACCCGTTGGCATTGAGGTATATCCTTGGATGGTAGTAGACACGCTCCACCGACACTCCCTCACCTGAGGGATCAAGAGCAGCCAAGGACCACCCTGGCCGTTTTTGTGGTGTCTCCTTCCTCCTGCCTCTTCACCGACCGAAGTGAGTGTATGCGGTAAGTGTGAAGACGTAATCGAGACCGAAGTGGAGAGGGAAGTCAGGCAGCAACACCTCACTACCCTCCAGATTGGTCAGAGCGTCGCTGTCAACGAGACACACACGACACATGAACACATCGATGTGCGCATCCATGCATGCAAACACACATGGATTCGGTGAACCCCCATCGGGCCTCGAGGGTGTAGTTGGCGGCGCCCGTGAAGCCAAACCACCTCACGACCAGCGACGGGCTGTCAGACGACGGCGAAGCCCCCACACTGCCGGCATTGAGCTCCTCCGTCAGAGCCGGCCGTCTGTAGGAGAAGGCAAGGTCGCCCTTCAGGGGTGCGCCGGGCGCTGCATGGACGGCAGCAGCGAGAGACAGACCCAACAGAGTCTGCTGTCCTTATGTGTGACTTCGTCAGTCCTTACAATAGATGACCAGCTTTCGGTCGCCCGCTTCCTCGTTGACATTGGCATTGCCGGCCTGCGACAGAAACGAGACATAGATGCGATGCGATATTCCCATATATATGTCTGTGTGTCTCTCTGGCTGAGGGAGGGAGGATACGTACGTAGTCAACGGTGAGAGTGGTGCCGTTGATGTTGACATAGATCTCCGAGGTGCTCTGCGGCACCGCCTCCACTGAATAAGACTGGTCGACACAAACGAACATACACGCAGGAAGAGGCAGAAAGTCTTGTCAGTGACGCTGGTATGGATGACTGATAGGCAGGCGCTTACCTGGTCAGAGAGCTTGGTGAGCGTGTCTTTGGTCAAGTTGACTACGCCGCCTGCACACACGCACACACACACACACAAACGGAGTCATGCATGAAGTATGTAATATATTGTGTGCACACCGACCCTCAAAAGTGGGCATGACTGCATACAGGTCTCGCAACGGCTCGGACCTGACGCAGCAAGATATGTATGTGGGTCACCTCACCGGTGCACCTCTCCTGCTGGCCTGAACGTCCTTTACTGACTGACCATGTGACAGTGACGGTGAAAGGGCTGTTGGCGTACTCGGGAACCGTCAGATTCACCGACGGAGGCGTCGTATCTGCCCCAACCAACACGTAACAATCAGCGACAATGTGGATGCGAATTCGATTATTTGGCAGATTAGTGAGTCACCATATCGGAATTCGAACTCCTTGCCGTTGAATCTGAGCTGTCCCTGCGGCATTATCTTGACGGTGAATGGGAAGTCCTCCTCGCCGTAGCCCGGGTATACCCCAGCGGCCGTCACATTGGTGTCGTCAGTGTCAGTGTCATTTTGCCGCGTCACATTGAACTTGGCCAGGAATGCAGTGTTGTTCAGCTCAGCCAAATCAACTGCACGTCCACACATACATGGATGGAGAGAGGCCCTTGTTCACGTCACGCAGCCAGCTGTTTGTTGTGCTTTTGGTGTGCTGACTGAATAGATAGGGCTCGATCTCGACCAGACGATTGACGTCCACAAAGCTTGTGAACATGTCCCTGTGGGTCGATGCATGGTATGCAATGGGAGGGCAGGCGCATACACGGCCGGGCGTCTGATCCCTCCATGTGTCTCACATGACATGGCACTCACCTTCTGTGTGGAGACGTGAACTGGATGAACAATCCGTTGGCCACCTCTCTGGTGGTCAGCGTGCCGAAAGGGTTCACTTCCACAGGAAAGGATATGTCCACGTCAGGCGCAACATTGTCTGCACAACACAGATACAAATTCAAAGGCGCGTACACGGCTCCTCTGCATGATATTGTGCCAATGCAAGCCGCTCACAGAAGAGAAACGAGACGTTGGCAGTTAGGGCGGTGTTGGGGTTGTTGTTGACGGTCGCCACGCGGAATGCGGGCAGATAGATGTTGATGGGCCCGGCGTGTCCCGCCCCTCCCACGGCATCAAACGAATATGTGTGGTTGAGCGTGGGGTGCTTCTGCTGGTTGGACAGGACCACCCCAGGCGATGTCTCGAGGTCAGCAATGTCGAACGGCACACCCTTGTAGTTTGGCCCCAGCTCCTGGTCGAACTCAATCTGATGAGCCAGAAACACCCATGTGTATCTGTGTGTGTGTGTGTTTGTCATCCATTCACTTTTCCATCGCTCACCTCGCAATAAACAGCGTCGAAGTAGAAGATATCAGCGGTGTTCGTGTCTCCTGGGTTATCGTATGTGCGGATCACCGCACTGGGGCCAGCCATGGTGAGGTCATAGGGCTGCGGCAGAGACAGATTGCGGCAGAGAAATTCCGACACCTCCTCACATTGGCAGATAGTGGTGGTCGGCACGTCAAAAGCGCTCGCGAGGGGCGGCGGGTCGCACCTGAACTTGCCAAGTGGACAAGGGAAGTGCATGATATCGGAGAAGAGAGGGTAGTCAACTCTCGTGATGCTGGGGTCGAGATGGCCGAAGCAGTCGGTGCCCTGCCCGTTCCCGGTGACGATAAAGCCGGACGACAGCTCTGCATCGAGCTCCTCCCTCAGCACATCCCGGTCCACCCCACAAACTTGCTGCAGCCCGCTGGTATCCTCCACAGCGCCGTCAAGACAGGAAGCGCCACAGACAAACGAGCCGTCACCCTGGTCCCCTCCAAGCCCTCCGCCAACGCCCCCATTGCAAACACACTCGCCCGTATCAGCGTTGCACGCTATGGTGCCGTTGAGACATGTGAACGTATACACGTTGTCGTGGGTGTAGCGGTAGGTCAGCTCATCGCCGGCCAGCGTGGTGATGGCGAAAGACCAGTCCGCCGCCTCGCTCAGCTGCTGGCAGCGAAGCCGCTCCTCGATAGAGATGCCAGTGCAGTAGGCCGTGCGGTTGAGCTGGCTGTCGTATGTGTTGTTGGTGCAGTACTGGCCTTCATAGATGCCCTTGTGGTAGGCCAGCGGATCGTCAGCTGTCTGAAGGCCACGAGGGAAGCGGAGAGCAAATGCCGCTGGGCTCAGCAAGCACAGCGCGGCAAGACACCAGCAGCAAGATGATGGCACCGCTGAGCCCATTCCGTCGCCAGAGAGCCTTTTGCACTGCTTCGCGAAACCACTGCATGCATTGGGGGCGCCCCCCATCCCTAGCTCGCACCCGGCGTCTCGTTTCAGCATACCTCTGTGGTTGATAAGGGCTGGCGACCTACAGACTAGAGTGGAGCCAGAGATAGATGGATGAGCATGACATCCACAGGCCATATGTCAATATGGCATGGACGGCATCCATGGGTCGATGACTATATGACGGTCGTACTGTTTGTGAATATTGACATCAACAAATACATGTACACAAGCGGGTCACCGCAAAGTACACTCATCCACAGCGATGGACTGTACACTTCCCTCAATCTCCCTTGCCATCCCGACCCCCATCCCTTGGTAAACCATCCCTTGCCTCAACCTCAGCCCAGTGCGGCAGGGGAGACAGGTGCTGTCCTCGAGGCTCCATGAGGTCATTGAACATGTTGACGGCCGACCGCAGATCTCGCTGCAATGATTGCCGGGTACATGGCCGCCCCACAGCCACCGACCTGGTATCGCCATCCTTCCCCTTGTCTCTCCACCGGATATACAGTTGGTGGCTCACGGCAGGAGGCTTTGGCCGATCGAGCTGGGTCACCATCCCCGGCCGACCCCCTCCGACGCCCGTCTGCGCCAGCTGATCGGCGAGGTATTCCCTCGCCTCAAGGAGGGACATGACGCTTCCCTCAGGAATGTGTGATAGGGGCCGGCTCAGGGCGGAGATGGGCAGCTTGCGGCCAGGGATGGGACTCCCCGAATCGGGGCGCCACTCTTCGTCACCATCTTGCTGGATGGGAGGGGATGGTGTGTCAGAGGGGCCAGCACGTGTGAAGTCGGCTGGCCAAACAAATAACAGCTGGAGGTGCGATCAATGGCAGTGACATCTCACCTTTGTATCTGTCGAGGGCTTCTCGCTCGGTCTGGCAGCCGTCTTCTTCGATCAGCGACAAAGGCCAGGGAGGCTGTGGGAGGCCGTCAGCACCTCAACAGGGCACCGCCTGCGCAACACCTCAACAGGGCGGCGCGGAGAGAGGAATGAGGGCGAGAAGAATGGCGATGGGCCGGCTGGGGGCGGCCGAAACTGGAATGAGGGTGAGGAGAATGGCGATGGGCCATGAAAGATGTGCTGGGTCTGCCGTGTCGGCCTCGCCCCATCTCCAGCGTCGGGGGTGCCTTGGTTGATCCGCGGTTCCCCCCTATCCATCGCAATGAGTGGTCACGGGATATGGGGCAGATCCGACTGACCGTGCGAGCCTGCAAAGGAATCGATATCCAATGCGTGTATGAGTGGCTGTCCATCGGTGCCCGTTCTTTCGCTCACCGTCAACGGATGGCACCGCAGCAAACGGATGGTGGGACGCGCATATCGTCAGTGCAACTACGATAAGGATCTCACTCTACAACCGCACAGACACAGATTCGACACTTCAACAGCACCTACAGGAGCGCACGTCGATCGGCGCCAAGCTCGCACGAGATCGAACAGCGAGATCGCCTTAGCATCAGATCCTCGAAGGATGCATGTGCTAAGGCGTCCGTCGTCATCGCGGCTCTGCACCGCTCGGACCAGCAGATCTGCCGAAATCCTTCCTCAGTGTTGCGCTGCGCGTCTGTTCTCGACCTATGTTGACAGCACGGACCGCAAGACGGCCGTCAGCATCATGGAGGACCCCGCAGACATCCTCCAATACTTCATTCAGAACTCTGGTCGGTCAACACGCAAAACAACGCTCGAGATCTCACCAGTGAGTTCCTTGTTGTCTGTTATCGTGCATCACCAGACATGGATGCGCCAACATTGGAGACCACTCTGCGGTGCCTGGGCCGCATTGCCATCCGCAATGGCGCGCGGCAGATGGAGTCCATCACTGCCGATGAGCGGTTCCACCGGCTGCTGGGGACGATAGGCAGTCGGCTTGAGGAGGCTAACGGGAGGCTGCTGGCCATGCTGGCGACCGCCATGGCCTACTTCAGGAACCCTGGTGGCGAGCTGCTGGAGCTCGTGCACAAGCTGGGGGATGTGGTCATGCGCCGCGAGAACGCATTCAATCCCAGAAACCTCTCGTCACTCGCACTGGCCTTCTCCACGATGGGTGGGGGATTGGGGTGGGTGGGTGGGAAGGGCACATGAGTGTGTTGGTTGGGTTTGTCCTCTCCTCTCTTATCAGGTCACCGTGACCCGAATTTGATAGAGTTCATTCGCGTGGAGGCGGTCAAGTACATGCAGGACTTCCGCCCCAACGACCTGCACGTGATCATGGACGCCTACAGGCGGTGGGGGGTCTACAACAGGGAGCTGGCAGACATGCTCGTCGAGAGGATGACCGACGAAATCGACAGGTACACCAGCAAGGATGTCATCATGACGCTGCACGTGCTCTCACAGGTACGTACGGGCGCTAACACACGTGTGCAATCACACACATATCTCCATCCCTGCGTATCTCCCTGTGTGTGGTGTGGTGTGGCTCGCTGCAGGTCGGTCTTGCTCGCGGCTTTCTTCTGCGCCGACTGGCCACGCTGGCATTCGAAAACCTGGGTGTGTAGGCGAGAAAAGACACTCACACGCGCACAAAACGCACACGCTGTCGGATGCGAGGCTGATTCCTGCCTGTCTGCATATAATGTATACAGGTGACTTTGACACCCGTCAGCTGGTTACACTCTTCTACTCCCTCTCGCGTTTGCGGTTCCTCTCGACCCAAAACTGCGACGATCTGATCGATGCCCTCAAGATACGCGACCTGGACCCCAAGAGCATAAACCTTGACTGCATGGCCATCGCACAGGTGACATTGACACAGACAGACACAGGCAGACTGTGCGGCCCACGTACATCGATCGATCTGTGCGTATGGCATGTTGTGTGCAGATTCTATTTTCCCTTGAGACGGCCGGCTACACGGAGAACCCTGCCATCATTCAGTGCCTGGTCGACGCGTACCAGCACAAGATCACCGAGGGCAAGGCGACCGTGTCGCTCCTTGGAAAGGTCCGGTCCGCACTCACACACGCACACTGTCCTGTCAGTCAGCACGTCGGGTTTGACCAAGCGTTCGTTGTTCTCCCCTGCTGCCTGGCTGGCTGCCTGCACCCAGGTCGACATGGCCCATGCGCTGTGTTTCTACAACCTCAAAGGTGGGCTGAGCAGCAAATGAGAGCGCATGCCATGCATCACCTCAAGGTGTGTGTCTGTGTGCGTGTCGTTGGCATTTGCGTATGTATAGGCACCCAGCCGTTGCTCGAGAAGACTCTGCAGGACATCTTTGCCGGACAAGTCACACGAAATCGGTAAGACACTACATACATACGCATGAATCTATCCTTCATGGCTGCCTGCCTCCCTGCCTCTCAGTTTGCTGCACACCAAGCTGTGGGAGGTGATCGGCGCGCTGGAGGTGGAGCAGAAGGGGATGCGTGTGGACATCCCCGTGCAGTGGCGGGCGGCCTGCGATGAGACCGACCGTCTCGAGCAGGACAAGACCGAGACGTCCCGCGTCCACTCGGAGGTGGTCCTGGTGCTCGACAACCTCAAGGGCAAATACGCACTCAGCGTGCTCAGGAACCAACGAGCAGGTCAGCCAGTCGGTTGGTCAGTCTGCCATGCAATGCGGTGTCTGTCAGGGGGGTGGTGTGTGGTTGTGTTGTGTGTGGTCAGGCTACTACCGTGTGGACTTGTATGACGAGGAGACCAAGATAGCCATCGACCTCGACACCGTCAACAGACCTGTGGGGAGGCTCCTCAAACACAGGTAGGTCACAAACACACACCCGCTGATGGTCTGCCGGTTGGTTTGCACAAAACTTGTGATCGTCGTCTCTGTGGACTGACTGTCTTGCTTAGGCACATGTCGCTTCAGGGTTACCGCCCCGTCTCACTGGACTACTGGATGTGGAGGAGATGCAGATCGGAGGTGGGCCGCCGACTCACCCACACACACACACCAGCAACCAACCTGCGAGCCAGCATGATGTCTGTCTGTCGTATTGCCTTGCGTGCAGGAGGACCAGACTCTGTTTCTGAAGCAACTGCTGACGCGGCCTTTGGTGGATGCGGGGCGGCTGGATGCGTCGGCCCTGCCTTCGGCCGACCGGCCCCAGCAACAGCAGCAGCCAGCAAAGACGGCCTTCACAGACAGTGCGTTCGTGCAGAGTGACGACGAGCGGCGGCTGACAGAGAGCGAGAGTGAGGACAGGATGAGTATGTGATGGAATGGGATCCATCCGTGTGATGTGAGTGGATGGGCCCTTCTTTGGCTTGTGCGAGGAGTGGATGAAGTCACTGACTGCACTTGTGGGTGCTTCAATGTCGGGGGATAGATAGGCTGGCGTCTGCCAGTGTCGTGCTAGTTGGTCTGCTTGAAATGGTCACCATCGATTGGTCGTAGCCAATGGATGGCGCACACTTCAGGGGGCTGACGAGCACTCACTGGCAAACTGGCAAACGACACGAAATGGATGGATGCCATGCAGAGAGCCGGGTCCATGAGTCATTCTTTGGATCAGAGACGCAGGCAGGCAGCCGCAGGGTCTGACAGAGACACGTTGAGTACAACGTGAAGACACGTCATAAACACGTATGTCCCGTCTCGCAAGCGCGGCTGCATTCCGTGTCTGCCAGTGGACGTTTACATAGCCAAACTCACACCATTGGGGTAGCTTCTATCGACCACTCAACGGTGTCTGAGATCGGCGATGGGAACGGCCTCCAGCGGACAAGGAGCAACGCACAAGTAGGTCCATGAGATCACATCGATCAGGACACACACGGACGCCAACCCAACCGCCCACCCACCAGCCCGCTCCTCTTCTGACGTCTCTGTGTCTACCCTCTCGCTGTGTGTCGGTCTGTGCACGACGTGAAAGACAGGAGGGCGGATACGCGGTGTGATGACGACAGAACCCCGCAGCAGACACACACCCGAGACCGCCGACATCGACCATTTCAAGTACGCCAACCAGTCAAGCAAAAGAGAGACGACACATTCAGGGGCTCATTCAGGAGCTGCCCTGACCCGAGGGGGCAGAGTGAGCTGAAAAAGGGCTCCTCCTCTCGTCCCCCACATTGCATCGCACACGATCACATACATATACGTGGCGGTATACGTCGAGAAAGGCGATATGTTATGTTATGTACACTTGGAGGGGAGCCGGGCAGGAAAAACACACACACACGCAGACAGACAGACAGACACACGGACGGATGGCTGTGGACACCATACACGACACCAGTAGCGAGCGGGTGTAGTCGTCACCTCCCACGCACCGCCACAACCCCTGGTGGGCGGATGGCCGGTTGCGTCGCAACCATCGTCACGCCAGGAGAGTTGGCACGAATGGGACGGTGATGACCTGACCAACGGCCGTACGCCTTGCTTGAAAACACAAATCAAAACTGTCGCAAGACCATCATCGTCATGCAGAATGGCAGGCAGGCAGCCCGTGAGGTCGGTCGGTCACTGTTCTTTGAGCCACTTGAGCAGCTGTGGGGTGAAGTAGGATATCACGATGTCCGCACCCGCACGCTGAATGGACGTGATGGTCTCCAACACCTGACATGAGAAGACAGACCGTTGCAGCAAGGCAAGGCGACCCTGGTCTGGTCGTCCGGCCTCCCTCCCTCACCGCTGTCTTCAGGTCGAATGCTCCATGCTGCGCACCGAAGTACAGCATGGCGTACTCACCCGACACCTACCATTCCCGACACACAACACAACCATCCCTCTCGCCATGTGTATGGTTGATTGATGCATCCATGTAGGCGGGCGACTCAGTTGCAGCCCTACCTGGTAGGCGGCGATTGGCAGGGTGGTGCGGTTGCGGACCTCCCGGATGACGTCGAGGTAGACCCCCGCCGGCTTGACCATGAGGAAGTCCGCGCCCTCGTCCGCATCGCGCACCGACGCACGGATGGCCAGGCCACGGGAGCCGGGGGGAAGCTGACAGACAGAGGGACGGACGGATGGATGGAGAGACGCCAGTCCATCTCATCTATTGTGTGTATGTGTGTGTGCGTCCCCGATCCCTCCCTGTGCCTACCCACCCTACCTGGTATCCCTTTCTGTCTCCGAATCCCGGTGCAGACCCGGCGGCGTCGCGGAAGGGGCCGTAGAAGCACGACGCAAACTTGGACGAATAGCTCATCACAGGGATCTAACGGAACATCACGTACGTACGTACGTACGTACACCAACCACACGAACGTGTGCACTTCAGTGGTGTCTGTCGTGGGTGTAGTGTCGCTCCACCCGCTGCCTCACGTACTTACGTGTTCGTATCCCTCGCTCTTGAGGAGCTGCTTGATGGCGGCCACCCGCCCGTCCATCATGTCCGACGGCGCTATCACGTCCGCACCTGCCTTGACGTACGCTAGCGACACCTGGTTGAGTGACACACGCATGGACAGAGAGAGGACCAAACACACCAAGTGTCATTCATATTGGTTGGACGAGAGATGGTGTTCTGGCTGGCTTATATTATATGGGTACCTACCTCTGCGAGCCTCTGGATTGACTGCGTGTTGGCGATCCTGCCGTGAGGATTCAGCAAGCCGCAGTGGCCATGATCTGATCAATAGGTGAATGGATCAACAAGTAAGAGTAGGTCACACACAGTCCGTCTGTCTGCCTGACCGACCTACCTGTGTATTCACAGAGGCAGACGTCAGCGACGAGGAGAGTGCTGATGCTGCGGATGACAGCGGATGCACTAAGCAGCTGCAGAGCCAACACCACAGGACTCTCGGGGCAGTCCGCCCAGCTGCCAGTGCTGTCTGCAGCGGAATTCACACATATATGCACAAGCCAAGGCTACATAAACGAGACACTCGTCCCCGTGCTTGCTTCACCACACCACGCACCTTTGACAGACTGTGGGACGACCCCGAAGAGCAGCACGGCCCTGAGGCCCTCATGCACCAGACGCTCCACCTCAGACACCACACGCCTGATGGACCAACACCATCCATCGACAGTGAATCAATGAGACAGAATGGACGAGCGCAAATCTCTGTCTGTGCATTCATTGTGTGAGTGCCCATCCCATCCACACGTGCGTACCTGTATCCGTATCGGCATTGCCCAGGCATGGAGGGTATCTCCTCACACCCATCCGCCTCATGCGTCACGAACAGCGGATACACCAGGTTGGCTGGCGATATCGGCGCCACGCCCTGCCACGAACGCAAAGTCCTGCTCGAGTACCCCTGATGCAGACAGTGGGCAACCGGCGGCGCAGAAGTGCCCGACGACTCGCCGCCTCCCGTCAGCCGCGACGTCGCAGCGGGCGACGAGCATCCCGACGTGTGGTGGGTCCAGGCCTCGTCTGTGGAGCGGCGGGTGTGCGGGATGGGAATGCGGGGGGGAGGGGACACCTCCAGGCTGGCTCCTGACGGCATGGGCGATGACAGCGTCTTCGCAGGACCACCAGCGAGGCAAAGAAGCGCCTTGTCACTCGACAGAGCCATCACGATGAATGGAATGGTCTATGTGGGGTGTCAAGGGACGGCGACACTCATTCACACGATGCCAGTTTGCTCCTCTTATTTTCCACCTCGGAGGGAGCGGTTTCACGAAATGTCCTCCCTACCCGAATGCAAGCCTGTGCAGATCTCCGCATGACTTGAATCTGCATGAGCCAGTCTCTGTTTGTGCACCTGCAGCCACAGCTGAGGCGCTTTTCGACGAGATCAGCGACGATTCCTGCATGCTGTCAGCAGCACTGATGCAGCGGCTCTGAGTCAGCTCGTGCAACAACGGCGGCCTGCCAAAAGACTCACAGCAATGGCGGAGTGCTCGTCTTCACCGAGGCGGATCAGGCGGCCGCTTGCCATCCTTTATCTTGTTGTCCACCTTCTGCTGGTGGCTCTTGCGTCATGCGCATGCGCCGCAGTTTTATTGGAGAGAGAGCGGCACTCGTCAGCACGGCAGCCGTCATGCTGTCCATCTTTCATCATCACAACTGGGGTGAGGTTACCCCATGTGGATAATAGTAGGAGGGGCGACGGGCTGGTGGGTGGCCGCACACCGGGTGCGTCGGCTGCGTCGAGTGGTGGTGCGCAGCAGCAGGTGGTGCAGCGGGAGAGGGAGGCCCTTAAAGTGGGGGATGCCGTTCAGGTGGTCGGGGAGAACGTCACGCTGTACAGAGTAAGTGCCATTCATTCATATCATTCATCGACATGCTCGAGCTCTTCTCTCTTTTGTGTGTGTGTGTGTGTGTGCAGTCACCGAATCAGAAGTATCTGGTGCGTTCCATTGACCGCGGGAGCAGCTTGAGGTGGATAAACAACCGGCTCACCAGGCAGATCGACATACTCTTCTGTTTATTCACATTTGAAAAGGTGGATGATTCGCCAGATTGGCGGTTCCCGTGGCAAGATGCTCAACAACCTCATCGACGAGCAACCTGCCCTCGGCAGAATCATGCAGGAGAATCCCGATTTTATCACATTGGCCGCTTCCAATCCGACGCTGATACAGGTGGGTGGACCAGACAGATATGGAATCATGTGGGGTGTCCATCCCATCCATGTACGGCAATCAATCTCGTCGTGTGATTGAATCAGATGGTGTCTGGAGGCCCGTTGCTGCGGTTGCTGCTCAACTACAGCGAGCAGGTGAAGCTCATCGCCAGCCGGCCCAGGCTACTCAACGCTATCGCAGGTCAGTCAGGGGGCGATGGATGGAGGGATGGAGGGATGGATGCACCGATGGGGCACCACACCACACCACACCGCGTTCATTGTGCGTGTCCTGTGCTTTATCAATCAGATGCTCCGGCCTTTTTGCGTGCCGTTAGTCGTGTGCCTGAGATCCTTGATGCCGTCGCCTCCAATCCTGGGCCCATCATGAGCCTGGCTGAGAGCCCCGCCCTGCTGAGAGAGATCGCCAGAAACCCATCGCCAAGTACGTGTGGCGACACACGTCCACGCACACGCGACGCGTGTGTGTGTGTGTGTGTGTGTGTGTGTTTCGCCTTTTTGCAGTAAAGGTGATAGCTGAGGCGCCAACTCTCCTCAAGGCGAGCCACCATCGCACAGACACACGTGGCGTCATGCATGCGATTTGACGTGGCTGCTCATTCCTTCCTCCGTTGTCAGATAATTGCAGAGAATCCCGGTCTGCTGCGTCGTGTGGCGGAGAACCCAAACCCCCTAACCATGATCTGGCGAGTCAATCAGGGAGAAACAGACACATCATCACGACACACGCAGTCACGCAAGCACATATTTTTGTCTTTATGTGTGTGTGTGTGTGTGTGTGCGTGCGTGTTGGCCGTCAGGACGACGCCTGTGCTCGTGCAGATGGTCAGCAGGCGGCCGCCGATACAGACTCACACCGTTCACCGAGAGATGCGAGAGGTGTGCATCCATGTGCGCGCGTGTGTGTGTGCCGCCAGGTGACGGAGAATCCCATCCTGCTGACTGTCATCCCCCAGAACCTGGCCCTACTCGCAACGGTCAGGCGCGCCAACCACGCACTCAACGAGCCATCCTTTCTTCCTCCCTGTCCGTGTGCGCAGATCGCTCAGAACCCCACCCCAGTTATCCTTTTGAGTGTGGGTGTACACACACCGACACGCAATGATTATCACACACACCAAGGTGCCAGCCAAATCAATCATGTATGTCCGTGTGTGTGTTGTTCCAGGAGAATGACAGGCTGCTGCGGGTCATCGCGCGCAACCCCTTCTTCCTCGAGTGAGTGAGGAATCCCGGAGAAGCTGGCATGGCAAGCGTGTGTGTCACGGGATTGTTCCTTTCTCTCCCGTGTGTGTGTCGTTGTCAGGGTGGTGGCTGACAACCCGGGTCTGCTGCAGGCCGTGGCGGAGGACCTGGAGCCCGTCAAGGTCCTCAGCGAAAACCCCAAACTTCTCCACGAAATGGCGCAAAAGTTAGTAAGCCAGCTGCTTGTCCGTCCGTACTGGTGCTTGAGCAAGGGTCCCATCATGGGCCTGTGGGTGTGTTTTGTGTGTTTTCAGTCCCGGTGTGCTTAAGCTCATCGCCGAGCAGCCAAACCTCCTCAGGGTACCGTACACACACATACAGACAAAGCAGCCAGCAGCAGTCCGACCATCCATCCAACCATCCATCCTTTCTGTGTCTGTGTCCGTGTCGTCAAATGCAATTCATGTGTGTCAGATCTTGGCAGCGAACCCCAAGCTGGTCCAGATCGTCAGCGACAACCCAGGCCTGGTCGAGGGACTCGCCATGGCCGGCGATGTGGTGAGCGAGAGAGAGGGAAACACACGCACACCCCCAAGCCAGAAGGCATCATCCATCCAAACATCCCCGTGCGTAACCAATGTGTGTATGTCTGTTGATCGAATCGACCAGGTGTCTCTGTTGGCCCGGCAGATCATCTCCGTCCGGTCCCATCCCATAAGGGTCGATGGCTTGGTGGGCGTTGTGGAGGATGTCACGGCCTGCTCGCCCAAGGAGGCGTGGTCGCCCACACAGGGAAGCCAGAACAACGGCCAGGCCCGCTCGTCGCAGGACGGTGTGCGCGTAGCGATAGTGCGGTTCCCCGACCCTGAGGATGAGCACTTGGCGGCTGCGTTTGAGCCGCATGAGCTGAGACACTTCCATGGGATGGGCAAGGTCAATGGCTGGGAGGGTGGCGGCAAGAGGGCGACCCAATGACCAACATACGTGATTATAGGAGGGGTGTTAGCTAAGCTTTGGTGCGTGGTGCGAGAGAGGTGTGTGGTGTGGTGTGGTGTGGTGTGCTCTGCTAAAAGGACGAAGGAAAGCTGTACATCAGACAGACAGACGTAAGGGACTGAATGGGGAGGGTCAAGACATGGAAGAGACCAGACCCACAGAAGTAAAAAGGGTGGTTGCCATCGTGATTCTACGCAAATTGACTGACGCAACAGACTGACAGACAGACAGACATGCACGCCGCTGAGTCACTCCCCAGCCCACCCAGGTCATCTCATCAGCTGTACAGAGTCAACACAACCATCATTCATTCATTCAGCCGTCAATAAAGAGGAGCTCCCCCTCCTCCCTCCCTCCCTCCCTCCCTCCCTGCCTCCCTCCCTGCCTGTCTGCTACACAATTCAGCCCCTGGGTGTGTCTGTATCCTGTTGTTGACTGCTGGGCCAGGCCAGGCCATTTAATCATGTGTCCCTCTTCATGGTGAGTTCGCTCATGACGACTGACGCCTTGCCCTCCTTCTCCTGGTACACGTAGAGGACGATGTTGGGCCCCTGCACCGCCATCAACATGAACGACGGAACCACCTCGCTGAACAGACAGGCAGCAGGCAGCACAGAAGGAGGATAAGAAGACATCACAGAAGGCTGGCTATTCCCCATTCACTCTGCACTGCACTACACTCACTTGCAGAAGGACTGGAAGGCCCCCGTCGCCGACCCGGGATTGATAAAGAACTTCCCCTGATTGATACATGACCAACACCGCACTGACTATGCCCGTGTCCCTCATCCAGCTCGTCCATGCCCGCTGGGTGCCTTCGTACCTGCACTTCTGCGACGCTGTCCTTATGTGTGTGTCCGCTGACGAGCACGTCGCAGTCGAGTTTCCTCTGCCAGTATGAGAGTGCCTCCCGGTCGCCCCAGGGGATCACCTGATGGCCGTGGATCAGACCCACCTTGAAGTCACCTATGTGCACCACCTTCGTCTCGGGGAAGTCAAACCCCTGAGGGGAGGGACACACAACCAGCACCACACATGACCGACACACACATGCACACACAAGGGGGTGTCTGACTGGCGGACCGTGTCCATATCGCCCTTGACGATGTGCAGGTTGCCCAGTGCCTTGAGCTGCTCCAGCACAGCCTTGGACCCAACGTTTCCCGTGCACAGCACATGGCGAATCTTGTCAGTCGGATACTGATCATGACAGACACCAACACACACAGCAAGTAATGCAGCACACGCCATCCGATGACGCCGCTGTTTCTCCGCCGGTTGCTTCACTCACTGACCAGCAGTTCCTGGAAGCAAGACGGCATCTCAGATGCCCTCTGAGGGATGTGAAAGTCGCCTATCAGCAACACAAGCTGCACACACACCAAACACAGACACACACACACACACACCGCCAGTTTAGCTACTCCACACGATGTGTGTATGTGATGTGCTGCTGCTTACGTCACCGAAGTCGGTGAAGTTGCTCCCCATGGCGGAGCGCCGCTCTACTTCTTCTTTTGGAGTGTGATGAGTCGAATCGGCAAGATCTGCACCTTCAAACAACACACCGCCTTCCGGCCGTCAGATCCGTCCTAAAGGGCGTTGTGTTTTCAGCAGCAGTCCAGTTTTGCGAGCTCAGAAAGACGAAGGGAAGAGTTGCGCAGATCTGGCCCTACACAGCTCTCTGTGGCGCCAGCCCGTGATGTAGGATGAAGATCATGCCATCTTGACTCATCCATCGTCACGCCCGATGTTCTTTCTGGTGACGCTGGATGACCTGGTTACGGTGGAGCCGGGGGACCTCGGCAAGTCTCATGTGGACCGCCTCATCGCCGCAATACAAACGCGATACGTCGACAGGGTGGGCAAGAGAGAGAGAAACACAGGCACACTTTGCAATAAGGGCTGGGCTCTCTTGTATCTGTGTTGGCTGTATGCCTGGCTGCCTGTGTGCCCGCAGATCATCCCCGATGTTGGTCTCGTGATAGCCTTTTACGACTTCCTGCGGATGGGCGACGCTCCCATCTTCCCGGGCAACGGGTCCGTGCACTTCAACTGCCGCTTCCGGCTGGTGGCCTTTCGGCCGTTCAAAGGCGAGATACTCACAGGCCGGCTTGTCCGGTCGGCACCCGAGGGGCTCACTGGTAACCAACCAACCAACCAACCAACCAACCAGGGCGGGTCGTGGTTTGCCTGATTGATGGCTGGTGCCTGTGTCCGTGTGTGTGATGTGTAGTGTCGTTGGGTTTCTTTGAGGACATCCGCATCCCCTGCACTCTGCTGCGGGAGCCGTCCGAATAGTGAGGGAGGAAGGACAGCCACACACATAGAGAGAGGAAGGGAGGGCGGATGGGATGGCTCGGATGATTGCGTGTCCATGTGGTCGCCCCCTACATCCCATCTCCCTGTGTGAGGTGAGTGCAGTGACGATGTCGATAAGGTGTGGTTTTGGCGGTACGGCGAGCACAGTTTGTATCTGGACCTGCTGCAAAACATTCGGTTCAAAGTGGAGGAGGTCCAGTTCCACAAACAAGACGGTCGGTCGGTCGATGGGCCAGCAGACAGACAAACCACACACTGACGAACATGACAAGTGGTGCAGCTGTGTGTGTAATGGATTGCTGTTTGGCAGGTGGCCAGCACCCGGTTGCTCTGTCGACTTCGCGACGTCTGCCGCCGATGACAATCATAGTGAGCAGCATGGCATAGCCACCAGAGGGAGGGGCTGCGTATATTGCATGGTCTTACTTGTCTCTCCATCCGTGTGTGTGGTGTGTGCACTGCAGGGGTCCATCAACAGCGACGGATTGGGGCTCGAGTCGTGGTGGCAGACAGAGTGACAAAGGCGCTGAGTCGCCGACTGACCTGACCGGCTGCTGGATATTGTCATCATATATTTGCATGCCCGGCTTAGACAGACAGCATGACCAATCAGTCTGTCCTTCGCAGTCAGTGGCTGTGGTGTGCGAATGGAATGCCGACAGACAGAGAATGTTGAGGATACACAGTGTTAGGAAGCTTCTCTTGTGTGCCTTCTGCTGCTAGCCCATTGCACGGGTAAAGACATGCCTGTGTGTTTGTGTGGGTGTCGACGTGTTGTGGGTGGGTGGGTGGGTAAGTCTACCTGTATCTGCATCTGACTGACATACGGACCCATCCCATCAGCAGAACAGAACTGTGTGGTTCATTCCGTCCGTCCATAAAACACGGTCTTCACTCACAGACATGGACAGGCAGTCAAGGAAAGGCACACAGGGAACGGCCAATCTTCGTTTCCTACTCATACATGCAGTCAGTCGGGGAAAGCACACATTGCAACGCGACGACACCACGCCAGCAGAGTAGAGAGGAAAAACCCGTTGCTTGCCTCGCTGTGCGTCACTCGTCTCTCTCTTCCCCCAGCTCTAAAACGCCGATGGACAGTCTGTACACTCCCGGCCGAGACCCGCAAACACGCGATTATCTATCTACCTATCTATTTATCTATCTATTCAATCACCCATTCAATCACATTACTCGTCCTCGCCCCGCCACACCTTGCCCCCCAGGTGATCCCCCAGCGCTCTCATTACGGTGGTGCGCGTCTGCTCGTGAGGGGCATACTGAGGGGCATACACGGTGGTGTAGATTGAGACATAGCGGAACTTCCCCGAACCAGCCTCCTCCCCCAGCCGAATGATCGCCATCTGCCTCTCGCCCATCGCCTCACTGTCACACACCACCAGCCGATCGTGGTGTCCATCCCCGCCCTTCTTCTTGTCGAACACGGCCGCCCCCGCCCCCCACTGTGCCGCACTGCTGGGAGAGGCCGCCAGCAGATCACACACACGCCGGGATGCAGCAGAGGCAGGACTGCCAGACACCCAGAATCTGATCCGATGGATGTGGCCGCCGTCGGTCAGCCAGTCGAACAGTCCGTGGGCCACCATGGATGTGTAAGTGCGGTATGTCCATTGGTTCATCTCTGCGGGCGGGTCGGCGGGGTCGAATGCGTCAGGAGGGAAGAGGTGACTGGCACAGGTGAGGACGGTGGGGAGACAGTAGTTCATGCCGCCGTAGTGGCAGAGAATCTTGTCGCCATCCATCAGGGATCCCTGTTGAGTTCTGTGATTAACCTTGAGCCCCCAGCTGAGTATCTTCCACTGGCGGATCGCCTCTGTCGCGGTGAGAAAGGCCGCGCGGCTGGCGAAGACGCCGAAGTTGCCATTTCCCAACACCAGCGGCCTCTTGTCCCTCACCAAATACAGCATCTCCAGCACAAGCTTCCATCTGCCCCACTTGCCGCCCCTCTCCATCATCCACAGCCAGCGGCTGAGCTGTTCGATCATCAGTGCTCTGATGGCCAGTGTGACGGCCACCCCCTGGGCGAGCTGGGGGGTGGGCACCTCCACAAACACACCGAGGCCGAGTGACGCCACCACAATGGGGAGCAGGCGTGTGAGGATGGGCAGGAGGATGTCAGGCGTGAGCGAGATGGGACGCACAGGGGAGATGGGCGGCTGCCGGTTGGTGTCGATAAGACGGAAGTAGGCCAGCTGGGAGTAGCTCCTCACATGTTGGGCGATCCTCACCATCAGCGTCGCGACGCCCAATACGTCTCGGAGGTTGGCGCCCTGCTGCTGCTGGTGGTGGTTGACCAACGATGCATTGGTGGCACCTACAGCACACGCACACACACATTTGGACAGCTGTGTGTCTGCATGTCAGTGTCTTTCGCTTGCAGTTGAGATGTTGGTTACCATTGGCGGCAGACGCAGCTGACGAGGACGGCTGGTGAGTAGAGCCAGGGCTACCAACAGCAGCAGTACCCGACATCCGTTCACCTGCACAGATCAACACCAGCGTCATATTAGTGAATGCATGTTTGTGGATGGCGCCTCATCGATCTGTGTCCCTCCGAGTGGCCCTCTGTCCTTTGCCGTACCCTAGTGCGTCAGGAAGCTACGAAGCAATGCTCTCGTCCTCTCTGGCCGTGTGTGTTGCTCGACAGCACCAACGCGCCAGAACGTCCCGCAAATCTGCCACCAACACGCAGAGATCACACGGGCTGTCGCCACTCATGGCCTCGTCCCGTTCTGGCCCTCTCTCTCACCTCAGTTGGCCAGATCAGCGGGACTCAGACAGATTGGCGGCAGCATCTGTGCGGATCGATGTCATCACGACCGCTCTTTGGGCATCTCCCGGACCCTCCGCACAGTGCTGTTGTCACTAAAAGCCACAAAACACGCGGGTTCGGAAGTTAAGCTCGCAACTGCGAAGTGAAGCCAGTCGTCTCGCAGTCGCCGGGGCGACGGCGCTGTTCAGAGGCAAGGGAAAAAGCGAGTGTCCGCAGAGGTGCCTGCAACAACACACGTTGGTTCAGGAGCGGCTTCGTTCCATCACTCTGTGGTGGCTTACCCTCAGGGTGAGCCTGCGCCATCGAGAGAACTCTTGAAACGCTTGAAACGAGAGCAGCCGACTGAAACCAACAAGTTTGCTTCGGCGGGGATTCGCTTTCTCGCCGCGAGACAAAGAGACAGTTTGTCTTTTTTTTCGGTCTTTTTGTGTTCCATTCCCGCCGTATCTCCGTCGTTACCGATTCCTTGCGCCCGACATAGCCCGACACCGGCACTGGAGCGAGGCTTCCCCGTCACTGAAAGGCTGTGACCGACACAGCTCAGCCATCCACCGCCGGACCGTCATCAACTCCCATCTCCTGGCGAACGTCACTTCTGCAGCCAACACTTCGCCGCTGCACCCACCCATGAGCGCGCCCAACCTGCGCCGCCTGATGGCCACAGCCGTGGAGGCCAATCCCGATCAAGCTAGACCCCGATGAGACGAGGAGGCGACTGCGCTGTTCAGAGGCGAGAAAAAAAGTGAGTGCCGCGGTTTGAAGCTGCACCCCCGCCACCACCAGCACACACAAGGCGCCCCACCCGTGTATCACAGGGGCGGACAAGTCCGTGGAGGACCATCTCGTGCTGCAGCGCGCAGTCGGTCGACTCCCTCCCTCGGCATGGCCGATGTGGCCGATGAAGTCGAGCGGCCTCCTGGTGACGGCGCGGGGAAGCAGAGGAGGGACGGTGGTCAAGAGGACCGGCAGGATGGCATCGAATCACCACTCATGTGTAGGTGGTGGGAGGGAGGCAAGGGAACGGTGTGCATGTCGTCAATTCACCTTGTGTCTCTCTCTCTCTCTCTCTCTGTGTGTGTGATGTGTGTTGCGTCGATCAGGTTTGGGGGGCACTGCAGAGCATCTCACCAGTTCGTCAAGTGCTGCGGCAGCATCCACTGGCCACCCGCAAAGGTCGCACACCCGGTCGGCATTCGCCGCAGCCACCAGCAATGGCCAGGAGGACCTTGTGGCACAGCTCCAGGCGCAACTTCTGAAGCTGACAGAAGAAACAGCAGAGAAGGTGGGAGGGATGGAGGGAAGGGAAGGAAGACACCGCCGGCTGTGTACGTACACCGATTGATGCGCGCCGATTGGTCACACGCCTCTGTTTGATGCGACCAGGATGCACTCATCGCGGCGCTGCAGGCCCAAGTGGGCGAGATCACGGGCAAGGCCGAACGCGTCAAGATTGCCTACACCAAGCAGGTGCCAAGCAAGGAAGGAAGGACACACCGTCATATGCATCTCCCCTATGCATCTCCATACACTGCGCCTGAAGACTCGTCTCGAGGAGACCGACCGAGATCTGACGCGTCAGGCACAGCGGGTGAGTGAGAGGACGTCCGTCAGCAGCTGAATGCAAGGTCGATGCATCCACCCATGGACGCGTCTGTGCTTGGTTGGCTGGTGCAGGTGTGTGAGGAGGAGCGGCAGCAATCGGCGCAGCTGCGAGAGCAGGTGGAAGTCATGGAAGCAAAGGTGCACAGAAGCTGGCACACAGACAGGGTCATTCAGGCACTGATTGATGTGTCGATGGCCCATGCATTCAGATGGCCCAGCTGGAGCACGACCTGAGAGAGAAGGTGAGTGACACGGGTGTGTAACACCAAGCCACATCCATCCATCCATCCATCTGTTCTGTGTGTGTGTGTGTGTGTGTGTCAGGTGGCAAAAGAGGCCGACGTCTTGAAGAAAATGGAGCGTATGAACAAGGACTAGCGTCAAAAGGTGGGTGGGATGGACGGATGGATGGATGGGCGGAGGTGTAGACGAAATGGTGAATGCATGGCACCATCTACTTTCGCCTTGCATGTCTCTCTCTGTGTCTGCGTCTGTGTGTGCAGACACGGCAGGCGGAGCATCTCGAGCTCGACGCCCAAGCCAGCAGCCGCGAGTGGCGTGAGTACATCGGCCTCCGCCGCCGCGTCTTCAATGTCAAGGCCAGGCGGCTCCACGCCAGTAAGCACACCCCGCCAGCCAGCCAGTCGACACACACGGGGCGGGAGAGAGATTGATGCTCGCATCCTCCAATACTCACATGTTGTGTGTGTGTCTGTGTGTGTGCCGCTGGTGCTTCAGAGTTTGATAAGTGGGAAGCCGCCCAGGCCGAGATGGCGTCCCGCGCCGCCAAGGAGTTCCGTGGCCTGCAGGCTCCTGGCACGCACTAACACACACCCCCATAGCCACAGCCAGACGGCCATACATCCCCTCCTCTCTCTGTGTGCCTGTGTGTTATCCTTCCCTCAGCTGGGCCCTATGTGCAACTGCCCCCACCGGCCTTCGCCGCGGCCAGCCTGCCCCCGCCTGTGGTGCCGCTGCCGCCGGCGGGGACATTCGCCTTGGAGATGTTCGCCCTCCTGCCGATGGCCGAGGTCCCCCGCATGCTGCACCACATGCCGGAGTTCGTGCACATGGCCTTCACGCAGGAGCTGAGCATGGCCATGGGACTCGAGTGATGCCCGTCAGCGGTGAGTGAGTTGGGAGGGAGGGTGGGGTGGTCACACACACACACACGCACACACACAGAGAGAGAGAGAGAGTGTCTCAGCCGTGCTCATGGTCTCCCCTGTCTCTGTGTGCTGTCTGCAGGGCCTGTAGATTAACTGTGCTGTTCCGTTAGTGGTGCTTTCTCAAGACTGTCTGTGTGCCGCGCCCCCTAGCTGCCCACTTGCCGCTCTCGACTTGTTGCCTCTTGGAGTGATCCGCCGGGGTCGGGGCGGCAGTGGGCGGGGGCAGCGGCACCATGAATGACCGACTGACTGACTGACTGACTGACGGGATGGATGGATGGCTGTAGTGTGGCTGGCTGGCGCTGTTTTGTCTGTTTCTAGTGATGATGTCGGTGTGTGGGTGTGATGTGCTGGGGGTGTGTGAGGGTTTCTCCGTTTTATGATGTGGGTCGTCCTTTCTGAGTGTCTGTGTCGGTCTGTGTGGAGTGGATGTGTCGCCGCGCCGCCCATAGCTGAGCTCACTGCCACCGGCGTGTCTTCTAACCTTCGCTCTGGAGAGTGTCGGCTCTGAGGCCGTCGGTGGCAGTGAGTGGGGCGGCGGCAGTGGATGGATGGATGGATGCCCCTTGCTCACTACGCCACACCCTCCCGGCACACCGCACCCCACCCACCAAACTAACTAAGGGGGGCGGGGGAGGGTGAACACCGCAGAGAATGACATCTTGATAGATACGGAGGATTGCTGGAGGGACGGATGTGGGTTATGGTGGGGGCTGTTATGGTCGATGCGATGAGTGTGTTTATCGCGTGTGAGCGTGGTGTGTGTACCCCTTGGCTGGCCGGGTGGCGGGTGTTCCCTGCCTAATGCGTCTGTGTGGCTGGGTAGCTGAGTGGCGGGGTGTCGTGGTGGTGCGTGTCGCTGTGCAATATGGCTGCCGACGGTTGGTCGGATGGCCAATCGCCGCCTACATTTTATATCTGTGAGTGATGGCTTCTCCTCATCCCGTCTCATGCACTTTCTCAGCGTTGGTGCGTGTGTGTTTGGCTGCCGCGGGGCGGCTATGACATCACAACAAATACGTACGATCAAACACGTCGGCTGCGAGAGAACCAACTAGTTAAGACGCACACATCTAAATTACCGAAGGCACCAGTAAGTATCCTCAGATGCTCTCTCTCTCTGAAGGAATCTCAGCGATGCATCCAAGCTACACATACATACACACACAGACACGATCTTACTGTCTGCTGTCTGTGTCTGATGGTCACGATGATATCAACACACCCACTGAACTGCGGGCCGTTCGCGTATACAGATAGCGCCGAAGCGCCCCCCGCCTCTCCCGACCCTGCTGCCGCGGGGATGTCAGCTTCCCTCTCTCTCTCGTGTGTGTGTGTGTGTGTGTGGACACCTCATCAGGGCCGACATGTGCTACTGAGGGTGATCGCGGCGCTGTCCATCATGCAGTTCCAGCCGAGTGAAGGGCGTGGCAGAGAGTCCCACACCATGGCCCCGCTACGGTCTACTCGCCGGCCGCCGTCAGTCACATCACCGCCTCCCACCACTGCAACCACAGCACACGGGCAGGAGGGCCATTGATGTGATGGCGCGTTGTGATTTCCGTCTGTCCGTCTGTCTGTCTGTCTGTCTGTGTTGGTTTGCCCACCTCGCCCCGCCTCCGTCATGGCGGTGCAGCCGCCTCGCAGCCAATCGACCAACACACACACAGCAGCAGCAGTAACAGCGCCACAGAGGCAATTTTGGCAAAGAGCATCTCTGCATGCAGTCCTTACCTGGCCTCTCGCGAACCCTTCGGCGGCCATATAATCAGTGTTGACCGCCCGGATCGGCAGCCGTGTTAGTGTTGGGGTTTCAGGGTTAAAGGTCGCGGCGGCCAGGATACGCCCCCACTGCCGACTTACCCCGTTTCGGCCACCCGTTTCGTGAAAGACGAAGAGCCGTGAAGTCCTCATCCCATTGCTTCCATCCCGTTGATCGGATTCGGATCCCGATGGCTCTCTATACCTGGTCGCTCTGCATCGCCCTGATCCTCTGTCAGCTGTGTCAACAAGTCTCCTCGTCTCGTGTCGCGGTGGGGGATCTGGTGAGCTGCCCACAACCGCCCGAGGACCCCCCTGAGGAGCCAATCGACATCAGGTGGATAAGAACAGATATAGACGGTATACCTTGCTGGTCTTGGCCGCTGCAATAAATGCGTCGATTGCAGTTCTGTGAAGGTCCCTGAGGCGTTCAGGAAGCGCATCCAGGCGAACCTCAGGGGCAAAGACACGCTCGGTGTAGTCTTGCGTCTCGAAGGTTTTAGGCGCAATCTTGAGGTGTCACTGCAGGAGGTATGTATTCCGAAGCGACCGACGCTAGATTGACCATACGACAACACTCAGACGTCTCCCTCAGGTCGAGGGGCTGGACGTGACAGGTGGTCAATGCCGTTTGGATATCGAACGCTGGTCGGGGCCGCGCACCTGCTCCTTGGCGATGTATGTGCATGACCGAGAACACAAGCTGTCAGCCCTTTTATGCATTCTTGCGTCCAGTCTGAAGAAGGCCGACAAGCTGAACGGGAACACCCTCATGGTTGCGATGCTCTCATGGATTGACCAGTTTTCGCCTGCCTTCGGCTGCAAAGAGCTGACAATTCTTGACGCCAGCAGCATCAAGGACATGTATGTGCTCTCAAGAGCAGGTACGCGCAGATGATGCACAGGCTCTGACATGCACATCGATCCGTTCAATTCGTTGGCATGTGCATGTCAGGCTTCTACTATCAATCCTTTGGCTTCCAGCATGCCCCTCGGGCGAACCAAGACGGCATCGAAAGCTGCAAAAAGATGATCAGCTCTCTTTTTGACAGGAAGGACAGTCTTCCAACCGCCGAATTCAATCTCGTCAAGACCATCCTGTGGGCGGCTATGGAGTACGAGAAGATGGGCAGGATCTGGAAGGAGGTTCTCGACGACAACATTAATGATGGCGCCGCCACACTCGAGCCAGTGGCACTCGAGCAGCTCCGCAACAGAACGGTCGAGGCCGTAGAGCAGGAGAGCGGCTTGAAGAAGGAGATGCCGCCCTGGCTGCGCATAGTGTTCGACATCCTCAAGGCTTGGCCGGAAGTCGAAGAGATGACTCTTGAGTGCGTGAAGAAGCGAGAGAGGATTGCTGGCGGCCCGCAAAACCCCCAAGCCGATCTGCTGCTGCCCCATCTGGCCCCATCAGTGACCATCGACCGCAGCTACCCCAAAGGCAGCACGGCCCACCAGGTCATTACATGGACTCAGTACGGGCTCAGCTGCCTTGATTGATGGTACAAGTGTGTGTCTCTCTCCTGGTGTGTGTGTCACCAAACAGATCACGTGTCTCATTCAGTCAGCCCAGCTGGTACTCGTGACGAGCGGAGACAAAGAGGTGCTCCGGGAAGAGATGGGGGAAAACCCGTCCCTCAACCTGCTCGAATACAGCCTCCCTGACGACGCGCAGCCATGCCTATTCGCAGTCGCGAGGGGTGTGCGGCAGCTGAACGACACACATGCCTACAGCCTGGTGGAAGAGTTTGCCCCGCAGCTCCTGCAGGAGAGCGGGAAGAGGCAAAAGAAGAGGAAGCAGAAGACGGATGACACTCAAGAGGAGGAAGCAGAGGAAGCGAGGAGAAGCAAGGCACAGAAGTATTAATGGTAGAAACCATGTGAGACACGAATCATCCGGGCCGCAGACGGATCGAACTCGACGGCCGGGCCACCTGCCTCTTCGTGTGGGTTGAGAGTTGACCTTTCATGACTGACCCGCAGTGACGGAGCGACGGCAATTAATGCGTTTCTTCGAGCAATAAAACGTGACCAGCGAGACACGCGGCACGCCCCGAACGCGTCTCTGCACCTTTTGCATCCACTACCCGACAGCCTGCCAAGATCTCACCAAACACGGACGGATGATGATGGCGCCGCGAAGGCAACTCGCCAGGACGACGTCTATCGAGAGGACGTCGTTAAAGACGATGCAAACGGCGGATGAAAGGTCCCCTGCGGCAGCAGCCGTCAAACCAACGATTATTACGCTGCAGCTCGTATCCTGGCCGCGGCCAGCGATGACTGTGGATGGGCGGTTTCAGATCTCAATAGTCCTTACAGAGCGTTATGAACAGGCGGGCACACATGGCATGGTCAGAAAGCGACGAACGAACAGAGGACATCCACATGTAGAGAAAGCTGCCTGCATGGCTTCGATCTGCGGAAAACATCTGCTGCTGCCTCCAGTATAGACACACACACACAGAGTGTACGTACAGATAAAGACGCCCCAGCTCTTGAAAGCACAGCAAAACCGCAATTAATGCATCAGTCAATCAATCAATCAAAGCGGCCCGGCCGCACACACAGCGCAATAAGAAGGAAAATTGGCCGCCTGTCTGTCTGTCTGTCTCTTTGTCAGTCGATGCTGACGAGTTTGAGTGCCATGTTTTGAAACGGCTTGAGCTCGATCCACAGCGGCCCGCCTCCGCTGTGGCACGACCAATACGGGTCGTGGCGGTTGTAATCCTGACACACACACACACACGTGGCGTGTATGCACCAGTCCATTGCATTGTCTGCCGGTGGTGCTCACTGCACTGACATGTATGCCAATGTATTTCTCGTCGATGGAGTTGTAGATGACCTGCCACAGGCCGCCGCACGGCACGTGTATCTCGCAGTGGCACTTGCTGCTGAACGGCGCCTCGCTGCGGATGAACACAATGTCGTTCAAATGGTCACGGGGGTCGCCGCTGTCCCAACCTGCACACACACATAGCCACGCACCCATGTAGACGAATGAATGAATGGATGCACGTGTGTGGCATCGATGGAACACGCTGACCTTTGTCTGATCCGAAACGGATGATGGAAAAGAATTTGAGCTCATTGTTGCTGCCGTTCCGAATCTGCAACGACACACACCACACACACACAACACACACAGAGAGGCTTCCCCATAACCTGCACCGACCCCCCAAAATGGCCGACCATGGATTTGCTGTCGTGGCGCCACATGGCGGGTTCGTTCTGGGAGATCATGTTAAGGTCGTGGACGTTCTGAATCATCTGCTTCTGGTGCAGGTGGGCGTGGTCGCCCGTCTTGCCCCAATCCATGCAGCCAGGCGAACCGTCAAACATGATTTCCTCGCCAAACTCGTCACCCTGACGGCGATGGAAACACATTCACACACACAGAGAGGGCGATGGGAGATGTCTCTTCATGTGCATCAACCACGGTGTGGGCTCACTTGGAAGATCATGGGCACTCCTGCTCTGAACCAGCACAGGGCGGCCATGCCGACCAGCTGCACATGGTTCTTGAACTCGGTCAGCAAACGGAGCTTGCCTGATCAGGGGACGACAAGACAAGACAGACAGACGCGTGTGTGCGTGTTGATGTGTGGTTAGTGTGGGTGCCGACCGTTTGAGCATTCGTCGTGGGTGTTGTATGCGTTGACGTACTTCTCCTCACTCCTGTCGTGGATCAACATCTCAACATGCTGGATCAGCCGATACTCCACAGCTGCAGTAATGGGCAGACAGACAGACAGACAGGCAGACACACCCACACACAGACATGTGGTCATGATGCGCACACACGCACACACACACGTGTATCTGGTCTTGCCCCTCCCCTACTGGTTCTGATGTAGTTGCGCATTCTGTGCATCTCGCCGAGGTTTTGGACGTAGCCAAATCCAGCACCACCCTGCCCAACCATTGACACACACAGACCCACACCGATTATGTACGTATCCTTGTACGGGTGTCGGCTTGCTGGCTGACCTTTTCGACAGGCACTGCGAGCCTCCTGAGGACCCTCCTAGACTCCTCGGCAATGGTCACAAACGGCGGGGCCGTGTGAGCCAACCGACTGTGCAGATCCCTGAAGACATAACACGCATACGGAGAAATGGAGAATGTCAAGGGAGTCCCGTGTGCAGCGCCGAGAGGGAAAGGCGTACCGTACCTGTAGAAGTGGATTGTGTCGAGGTCGATGACTTCGCTGAGTTCGTATCCGCTCATGCCGATCTCGTAGAAGCCCACACCGTTGAGCAGGTCCCAGTCCTCCTGCCGCATACGACTCTTGTCATTCTTCAGCGGCCACCTAAACACACACACACACACAGGCAGAAACATACACACACGGTCATCTGTGTTGGCTGGTGTGTCTTGTGTTGTGTGTGTGCGCGTGTGTGTGTGTGTGTGTGCTGACCAGTCCCACTCTCCTCTGTCATAGTCGAGGAACAGCTGTGACGACACCGCGTCCAAACGGGCGCCATCGATACCTACAAACGCCACGCCACACTCACATGTCGACACATGCAGCGGCCAGCGTGCATTACGTTGCATCCTTCCTTTCTCAGTGTGTGTGTGTGTGTGTGTATATGTGTGAGTGAATGGGTACGTACCTAGTTCCCTGTACATGTATGTGAGGACCCCGATGAGGTAGTTGCGCACGAACTCGTTGCTGAAGTTGTACACGCGCGCCTTCCACTCGTTGTTCCACCCCTTGCCCCCAGAGTGGTGGAACAGGTCAGTGCCGTCGTAGCTCGACAAACCGCAGTCCCAATCCTGAACATTCACACGCAGAAACGGCCTGCGCGTCTGTATGTGTGATATATGTGACGGCATGTAGGTCCGCACCTGAATGCCGTGGCCGAGTGGGACGTCGGCAATGACGCCAATGCCATTCTCGTGCAGCGAGTTGACGAGATACTTGAAGTCGTCGATGGTGCCGTGCCGCTCACTCACGGCGTAGGGACACCCAACCAGGTAGCCCCACGACTCTGACAATGACAAAGTGAGTGAAGTGACACCAACACACACCAACCCAAAACACGCGCATACGCGTGACCCGGGGGAAGGCAGGCGAGTGTGTGTATTTACCTACCGTAGAGTGGGCTCTGCATGAAGGGCATGATTTGGACGTGGCTGAACCCCAGGTACTTGACGTGCGGCACCAGCTTGTGGGCGATGTCGCGGTAGTTGCCCTGCCAGAAACTGCCCAGGTGCACCTCATAGATGCTCTTCAACACACCAAGGCCGGCCGTCTGAGCGAGCAAAGCACCACGGTGTGCCACACATCACTCCCCCCACGTGTGCGTGGGCCGGGCCCCCTTGGGCACGCACCTTTTGTTCGCCATCAGCCTCGTCGCTGTCCGTCTTGGTGTCGACGATGTGTTTGTGCGTCCACTCGAATCGGTCAGGGTCGCCCACCACAGAATTGAAGTTGCGACTGCCATCAGCGCGGAACTCAGACTGACCAGACAGACCCGCACGCACACCACACCGCACCACCGTGTTGCCCAGTGTGTGTCTGCCCTGCCCTGCCCTGCCGGCCATACCGCGAGTTGGACAGAGAATGGGTCGATGCGTCCCATTTCGTATCTGTTGGGGAGGTAGCCCTTGTCGTTGATGATGTGGTACTTGTACTGATGATAGGTGAGGTCCTCCCCCACCTCAAGCTCCCACACGCCGTCACGCGTCCAATGCAGCGGCTCACCCTTCTGCCAATTGTTGGCTGATCGATGGACAGACAGTGGCAGGGGAGACAGACAGACACAGACACAGTAGGTCTACGCTCAATGGAGGGATGTTTGTGTTGTGTTGTTATTGTATTGTGTGTGCTGTATATGTGTGTTTGTTTACTGACCATCTCTGAGTAGAAAGACGTGTGTGGCTTCAGGCGCATACACCCGGAATGTGGTGGTCTTCTTCTCGCCGTCAACGTGGGCGCCAAAGAACTTGTACGGATAGTCCTGTATGCACACAGCCACAACACACCAACCACACACAAACATACATTCAACCGCACCACATGCACACTACGCTGCTCTTGGCCAGTGCTGTGCTGCCTACCCTCCTGAGGGTCTCTTCGCCCATCTCCTGCACATCCTCCTCCCCCTGCACATGCCCTGCATGATGCGGATCTATGCCATTCTCGTCGGCTGGTGCAGGGGACGCCAAAGCATCTCCCTGATCTTTGCTTGTAGCCGGCGGGTGCTCCTCTGACGCCGCTATGGTGATCTTCGGCATTGTGAATCAAGAGACCTTCAGTGGGCTAAACAGAGGATGTAAAAACGTTCCGTGAAACCGCTCTATCCAACCGGAGATCCCAACCGGAGATCTACGAGCGTTGGTTTCGACAACCGCAGCTCTCCCCACGCTCCCAGGCTTTCTTGCCTCTCCTCTCGCTGTCCTTCTTCTTCTCCTTCTTCTTCTTGCTCTTCTCTCTTTCTCGGTGTCTTTACTGGCGACTGTTCAGTCGCTCCTGGGTGTCGCGTCTGCTCACACGCCCGTCAGGTACGCCAAGACAGTCACGAAGGCAGACAAGCAGCACGAGATCTCTCCCTTGGTGCTGTGTGCGCTTCTGCGTTTCAGGTTTGTTATTAGTCTGGTGGGTCTGAGATGGCCGACACGGCCGTCGAGGACGGCACAGAGGCCAACAAGGCCGAGGCCACTGACAGCATCGAGTGGTGAGACGGGTGGCTCGACGGGCGAGGCCAAACAGCCGTCCGCCGAGGCGAGCAGCAGTGGCGTTGGTTCATCAGAGAGCGCGTGTGCACCCGGCAGCAAGAGAAAGGCATTTTGGGCTGCTGGGAACAGATGGAGGTGAGAGAGGAGGCCGGGCAGCTGCATGTGGGGATGGTGAGACGCAGCATGCATGTGGGTCTCAATTGTCCTGTTCTCTCCGTGCGTGTAGGTGGAGGCGGTGTTGCCTCGCTCTCAGAGGGAGCGAGGCGCGGACCCACATCGGCAGACCCACATCGGCAGACACACACACTGCAAGGTGAGTGGCCGCAACCAAGATGAGAGATACCATGGCCATTCTCGTCCTCTGGGCACAAGTGTACGCATGTGTTTTTACAGATGACGTCAATTGGATCACGAGAACGAGAGACGCATCCATCCCTGCTGCATGCCATCCACCTTTCATCTGCGCGGTGGCGCCTTCACTGGCTCGTGTACGTACGAACCTTGCATGACGTGATGTGACGTGATGTGTGTAAGTAGGATGTCCGTGTGTGTGCATGTGCCCAGCCGGAGAGGGGCTGGGTGGGGTTCCGAAGGCAGAAAATGGTGTACAGAGAGGTTCATTTGATGACACTGGCTTCGGCTGCGTGTTGTTCCGTTCTTCTTGCTGTCCTACAAGCATGGCCTGCTCTTTCTCCATCTCTCTCCCTCTCTGCTTGAGTCTGCCTGAGTCTGCCTGTCTGTCTGGCTGGCTAGTCCCTTGACGTGTGTGTGGTCGTGGCGCTAGTCCTCACAAGGGTGCAACCGCTGCTTCTCAGAGGCACTAATGAGACACAGTGCTTCTGAGATACAGCGGTTGGACCTTGTGAGGACCGCACACGACCAACACACACATCCACACACACACCCTCTGTCGTCACAGCACACAGACACCCTTGCGTGTCTGACGACTGACTTACTCGACTGGTTGCTTCTTGCTGCCTCTCTCTCGTCTGCTGTGTTGGCAGGGGTCAGCCAACGCAGTGCAGACGAGAGCGCTTCTGAGATTTCTCCTTGCACAACACAGAGCAGACGAGAGAGAGGCAGCAAGAGAGCTTTTTGGCCTCTGTCGGTCCACTACCACTTCACTGAGGGCTCAAAACACCCTCGCGGCCGCCCTTAATGTCTCGGCTGCCGCTGTCGTAGAGGGGTGGTTTTGGGGTTAGGGGGCGATGGGCGGGGGCAGCGGCACCATGCATGGAGAGGGAGGGGTGGAGGGGTGTTTAAGGAGTAGGGAGGATGTTGAAATGGCGCTAGCTTGAGTGTGACAAACTCAACATCCCGCGCCGTTTTAACGTCCTCCCTACTCAACCAACACCCCTCCACCCCTTCTTCTCCTTACACACAGTCAGTGTCCCCACAGCGATGCTGCGGAAGCGGCGAGATGAGCCGAGCTCGGCACTTAGACAGAGACAGACTGACTGACTGACTGACAGAGAGACAGTCAGGGAGCGGCAGCGATGCTGCGGAAGCGGCGAGATGAGCCGAGCTCGCTCGTCCTGCCACTTCATGTAGCACCCCTGCCGCTTCCTGACTGTCTCTCTGTTTGGTGAGTGCGCCAATGTCGGGCGGCAGCCACGGTCAAGGCCCATCCGCAGTCTGAGAAGCAATGGGCCACCACACACACACACACACACACACACCACACGGGTGGAACAGACAGACAGACAGAGAGAGATCTACGAGCGTTGGTTTCGACAACCGCAGCTCCACGCTGCAAGGCTTTCTTGTCCATCCTCTCGCTGTCCTTCTTTCTCCTTCTTCTTGCTCTTCTTTCCTTCCCGAGATGTCTCTGCTGGCGACTGTCAGTCGCTCCTGGGTGGGTGTCGTGTCTGCAGAGCTCAGCCGCCCGTCAGGTACGCCAAGGCAGTCACGAAGACACACGAGCAGCACGAGATTTCTCCCTTGGTGCTGTGTGCGCTTCTGCGTTTCAGGTTTGTTATTAGTCTGGTGGGTCTGAGATGGCCGACACGGCCGTCGAGGACGGCACAGAGGCCGACAAGGCCGGGCCACGACGGCGCCGAGTGCTGTGACGGGTGGCTCGACGGGGGAGGCCAAGCAGCCGTCCGCCGAGGCGAGCAGCAGTGGCGCTGGCGCATCAGAGAGCGCGTGTGCACCCGGCAGCAAGAGAAAGGCATTTTGGGCTGCTGAGAACTACTGAGAACCTGAGAACAGATGGAGGTGAGGGAGGAGGCTGGGCCCCTTTGCGCGGGGATGTGCATGGCGCATGCATGTGGTTCTCAATTGTCTTGCTCTCTCCGTGTGTGCAGGTGGAAGAGGCGTTCTCATGGTGAGCAAGGGGTGGACCCACACTGGCAAACACACACGATAAGGTGAGTGGCCGCATCCAAGATGAGAGACACACGACAGATTCTCTTCCTCTGCCGTGCACGTACGCATGTGTGTTGTGCAGGTGTTGTTGGTTGGATGATGAGAATGCATGCAAAGAAGACGTCCTCGTCTGCGGCAAGGCATCCGTCCCTCATGTGCGTACGAACTTTTCGTGATGTGGCGTGTTTGCATGTGTGCAGTGGGGGAGGGGGGTGGGGGGAGGGGTGGAGTTTAGAAGGCAGAAAATGGTGTACAGGGAGGTTCATTTGATGACACTCACTTCGGCTGCGTGTTGTTCCGTTCCTCTTGCTGTCCTACAAGCATGGCCTGCTTGTCCTCCATCTCTCTCTCTCTCTCTCTGCTTGAGTCTGCCTGTCTGTCTGTCTGTCTGGCTGGCTGGTCCCTAGACGTGTGTGTGGTCGTGGCGTTGAAACCGACTCAGCGGCAGTCCTCACAAGGGTCCAACCGCTGTTTCTCAGAAGCACTGGACCCCCTACACACCACACCCACTGCACACAACACACACATCCACACACCCACCCTCCCTCAGCACAGCACACAGACTGCGTGTCTGACGACTGACTTACTCGGCTGATTGCTTCTTGCTGCCTCTCTCTCCTTTGCTCTGTGTTGGCAGGGGTCAGCCAACGCAGAGAAAAGTCGCAGCTGCTCATTGGCACTTTTTGGCCTTAGCCTGTCCACTACCACTTCAGTGAGCAGCTGTGACGTTTGACTCTCAGTGAGACTCTGTGCCATTTGATGTCCCCCACACTCACTGAGAGCGTGCCCCGTGGTGTGCGCCGCGCGAACCTTTTGAGGAGTGTCATACTCCTGCCAATGGGTGAGTGTCGGGCTCACCATCATGGCTGCACGGGGCTTAGAACGCCCCCGCGGCCGGGCGGTCTGCGGTGCGGCCTGTTGCAGTGCTCCGTCACGGCGGGCCGTTTCGAGAGAGCCAGGCACTTAGACAGAGAGACAGACTGACTGACAGACAGTCAGGAAGCGGCAGGGTGCTGCAAGAAGTGGCAGGACGAGCTCGGCTCATCTCGCCGCTTCCGAAGCATCGCTGTGGGGACACTGACTGTGTGTAAGGAGAGGGAGGGGTGGGATGGGGTGAATATATCGTAGGGAGGACGATATATCGTAGGGAGGACGTTGAAATGGCGCGGGCGTTTGTCAACCGTTTTGAGTTGAGTGTGTGCGCGCCAATGTCGGGCGGCAGCCACGGTCAAGGCCCATCCGCAGTCTGAGAAGCAATGGGCCACCACACACACAAACGGGCGGAACAGACAGACAGACAGACAGGCAGACACGGGCTTCTCTCTCCCTCTCTCTCTCTCTCTCTCCTGCTTGGTTGACGGTCTTGTCGTTTTCCTGCGTGCGTGGATTGCGTCTCGTTCTGTCTCACGTCTTCTTGCCAGCTGCTGTGTTGCCTCTGTCTGCCCTTGTTCGTGATGTAGAAGTGTGGATTGGATTGGATTACATGAGCATGGTGGACCATGTGGTGTGATGTGTGTATGTTTATGTTGATATGGAAGGAGGGACCTACTTATCTGTGTGATGTCCTTGCGTTTAATGAACGGCTTAGAACACCACAATGTTCGCTGCAAGAATGAACCATTGATTGAGTCAGGTCAGTGGGTCGGTCACGTCGGTCACACCTCTATCCTCTGTTTATCTGACTGCACTATCTGTGCGGCAATCCGGGAAAACAGCCCCTGCAGGTCCCTCCGCCGCATCGAGTCTATCGCATCGATGTTGCTCGGACGCTCACCCTGCACACATCCATCCATCCATCCGTACATCCACTCACAGAAAGAACTGCCCACGTTGTGCACCCACCCGTACCTCTGGTAGGACATCGGCGTTGAGTCGGATGAGCCGCCGCAGCTCGCCGTCCGTGAGCGCCCCGTCGGGTGAGCTGGGCTCCAGCAGACGTGCAGAGGAGGCTGGGCGATCCCCTGCTCCTCCTCCCCGCCGTCTCCTCTGCGTCACTGGGTGGTCTTCCTCTGGCGGCATGTCTTCGTCGACTGACACCCAACCGTCGCTCGCTGAGTCGTCCTCGTTGGATGAAGGAGCAGTGTCTTGCTCAGCCGCGACAGCTGACCACACCACACCACACAGACGTCCACATATACATTATGACGTTGGGAGCAGTGCGTGTGTGTCGATCGATGACGGCTCACGTTCTTGCGGGATGGGAACCGGAGTCTTCTTCTCCTGTGGCTGCGGTGGCTCCTCTTCTGGTTCTTCGTTGCCGTCGTCTGCCTCTGGCTCATACTGACCTATACATGCGTCGGATATCGCCCGCCACAATAGCGGCCTGCATGCCATGCACAGACAACCACGCAGCCCTGTCTTTGTTCGTACGGCGGGGGTGCATGGTGTGGTGTTGTGCCCACCCATTCTCCCCCGTCATTGATGAGAACGGAACTGGTTGCCATGAGGGCAGTTGCAGCTCTTCGCGCAGTCTGGCGAGGTTGGCGTCACGCTCAGAGGCTTTGAGTCTGTCCACCTTGGTCGCCGCTACCAAGTAGGGCACATCCATGCTCCTGCACACACATAAACACAGACACACAGAGATAGACCAGACCAACACAAAGATGAAGGTGGGTGAGGACAGGGACACCTATTACCTGAGGTTGGCCAGGACGTCCGCATCGACTTCCTGTGCGGGGAGCCGGGAGTCGACCAGCAACAGGAACAGACGAAGCTCCGCGCGTTTACGCAAATACGCCCTGCACAGGCAGGCAGGAGAATGGGAGCACAATGCAGTTCACCGCATCGCATCTATGTGCTCATCCGTCGCCGTGTAGCTCACAGGAGGAAGCTTCGAATCTTCTTAGTGTCCTCCTTGCTGATGCTCCTCGTGTAGCCATAGCCAGGAAGATCAACCAACACCACCAGACCCCTTTTCCTGACCAGTAAACGGTCAAATGCGGCCTCTCTATCTCTCTCTCTCTCTCTCTGCCCATGCCCCCATCCGGCCCTCTCGTGCGGCTGTGTATTGGGCAGGTTGGCTGTTCGAACTGACCTTCGGTCGCTGAGTCTGAAGAGGTTGATCTGCTGCGTCCTGCCGGGGGTTTTGGATATCCTCACCTCCGCCCTCTCAGACGCACGCGACTGCACACCACACGCAACAACACAAACACAGAGCCGGCAGCACATGTGTGCGAGAGCCCACCGCCCCCCTTCCCACCCACCTGGAGTGAGTTGAGCATGCTCGACTTGCCCACATTGGACCTGCCCAGGAAGGCCACCTCGGGCAGCCCGGTGGCAGGCAAGTCACGGCTGTCCTCGTAGCCGCCGATGAACGACACGGCGCCCACGTCCTCCCTCTCGAACGGCCGCACCTCCACAGCAGACGAGCCGCCAGACACCTCCACCGCCTCGATGAATTGTAGGCCTTTGGGAACAGCCTTGGCTGAGGGAGATGATGCTTCGGGAGTGTCATGGGGAGAGGTGGATGCGTCTGTGGCTGAGGATTGCTTGCGCTGTCTTGCGAGGCGACGCTGGCGGCTTTGCTGCAGCCAAAGATCCCATCCAGACACACAGACAGGCAGGCAGATGTGCAAACGTGAGTCCATCCATCAGTGCATGTTGGTGTGCGTACCTCCTTGGCTCGTTTTTCTGCCTCCTGCTGCCTGCTCTGCCCCCGGGCAGTCTTCCGCGCCACCTTGGCCTTGTACTTCTTGATCAGCTTCGACTCGTGACGCTCGGACGCCTTGCTGCGGGCCGGCATCACTGTCAGCCTGTCCACCGGTGTCATTGGCTGACGCATGCCGAAGGGTCTGCCGTGCACGAGGGTGAAGGCATGGGCGCGATGAATCATGGCGTCGATGAAGCACAGTACGGTCAAGAGAGCGTTCCAAACGCTGTGGAAGCACTTAACTTTCATTGGATCTTTGACAGCGCCTCTCCAGACCTTCCTCTGCGGTCCAGGAGGTGGAGGGCTGGGCATCTTCTCTGCCTCACGCTAAGCTCGCAGATCTGCAAGCTCGCAAAGGAGCGTCAAGGCAGTGGTCCAGATGCTGGCACAAGCACAAGCTCCAACAGCTCCAGCAGCTGATGCTAGCAGCTCCGCCGCTGCCACATCCGGCACAGCCACGACCGCACCAGCGCCAGCACCGACGCCGGCTCCCAACCCGATGGCGATGATGGCAGGGATGATGCCCATGATGGCGGGCAGGGGTATGGGGGGCGTCATGCCCTTCATGCCCAACATGATGGCACAGATGATGGGCATACAGGTGCCAGGTGTCGCGCAGACCGCCACACCGGCCGCAGCGCAGCCTGCGCCTGCGCCAGCTGCTCCCGAGGTGATCTTGCCGCCTCCGAAGGACTACCCGCCCAACCAGACTCTGTACGTGCACAACATCAGCACCAAGATCAAGATTGACGGTCAGCAACAGAGGGAGGAGGGAGGGAGGTGGAAGGGTGGCCGGCATGCACCTGTCTGTCTGTCTGTCTGTCTGCAGATCTGAAGAGTAATCTGCATGACGTGTTCAAGTCCTACGGCAAGATACGCGAGATCATCGCCATGAAGTCGCTTAGGAGAAGGTCCGTCCGTCCACAGATGCACACATGTACCACACTCTGTACACACCTTGTGCGGCTGTTCGTGTGTGCCTGGCTGCCGTGATTATTGTTCAGGGGTCAGGCGTGGGTGACATTCAACAGCATCGAGGAGGCCACCAAGGCCAAGGAGGCTGTCCATGGATTCCCATTCCGCAACAAACCACTGGTAGGTAAGCCGGGTTTGCCTACAACCACACACGCCACAACACACACACATCTCTTGCCGCCCTGCATGCCCCCCGTGCGTGATCAGCAAATCGAGTTCTCCAAGAGCAAGAGCGACCTGATAGCCAAGGAGGAGGGGACGTTCGTGCCGCGGGCCAAGAAGCCCCTCCCACCCAAGGAGGTCAAGCCCAAGGCCCAGGCAGGTGCGGGTGAGGTGAAGGTCAACGGTGTGGTTAAGATGGAGAATGGGGTGGTCGTCAAGAAGGAGCCTGTCGACGAGGACATGGACATGGCCAAGGAGGACAAGGCAAAGGGACCATCGCCTGGAGGTACGGTGGTGTTGGGGAGGGCGATGGGGCAAGGGTTTGGATACACATACCTGTTGGTTGGTTGGTGGGTTGGTTGGTTCGTTTGACGTGTTCAGGTAAGCGGCCGGCTGACGGGTCGCCCACTGCGGCTGCTGCTCCGAAAACAAGCAGACCATTCTTCCAGGTACACACTGACAGACAGACAGATGATCAACACACACACGCGACTGAGGCACCATTCGCGTGTATGTTGGTTCTTCGTTCCTGCAGCCCACTCCTCAGGTTGCGCCTGTGGCTCCCGCGGCGCCCCAGTTCAACGTGGTGATGCCCAACAACATGCTGTTCGTCGAGAACTTGCCCGAAGATTGCACAGACACCATGCTCACCGCCATATTCGCACAGTAAGCATGGAAGCAGAGGAGGCAAGGGACAAGGAAAGGTGGGACGGATGGATGGATGGATGGTACTCTGTCTGTGTGTCAGGTTTGGCGGTTTCCAGGAGGTTCGGCTGATTGCGGGTAGGAGGGTGGCTTTTGTCGACTACGACACCGAAGTGCAGGCCACTTTCGCCATGAACGGTACGCGGCAGCCATCGAGCATGTGTGTGCGTATGTGTGTATTTATGCGTATACACAGGTTTGCAAGGGAAGGAGCTGAACGGGCTGTCGATGAAGATCAGCTACGCCAGGAGATGAGTGGAAGTGACGTGGGCAGAGAGAGATGCAGCCATCGTGGCTTATAGTACTACTCATTGGTGTGCTTGATGACGCGCTACTTATGCTTTGTCTCACTGCTGGCAGCCATACAGACACCAAAAAAAGTCTCAAATTGAATAAATGGCCATGTCAGTCCCACAAACATCACTCACCGAGTCCCACCCACCCACCCACACACCCATCCAGGCAGCCAGGCCGCCAGATAGGAAGAAGGACGCTTGGATCGTCGGACTCCCCCTTTTTCAAGCTCGCAAAGAAAATCCTCGCCGACATACAATTCGATGACGCAGCATCAGAGGAAGGTGAGAGGAACCACAGAATGACAGAGGGAGATCTGATTTATCCTCTGTGTTATGATCAATTGGTTATGCTGCGCGTGTTCCGGAGCCTCAGGAATGTCTCCACTTGTTGTCGTGGTCGTTCTCTCGGCCATCCTTCGTGGTCACGATCTTCGTGTGCGAGATCCATTCCTTCCCAGCTTCCTGCAGCCTCCGCCGCACAGTGCTGTCATCTCCTTCTCACCCACAGCAAAGACAGCACTGAGAGGGACACCCCAGACGTCCTCCAACGCCGAAGGGAAAACACCAGAGTACATCGCCTCTCAAGAGCTTGTAGACCTGATCAGAATGGAACTCTCCGGTGGGTCGGTCTGTCGGTGTCGGATGCCCACACAACCGCGTCTATGTATGGCTATGTGTGTGCAGGCTAGGAGCCGAGCCGCCCGTACAGGCTGGCAGCTTGCCGCAATGACAGCGAGTGGCACGCAGCCAATGTCATTCAGTTGTACCAAGTGGGACCCCCCTCACACACACATTCATTCACTCGACACGTGCATCGGGATCGGTATGTGTCTGTGTGTGCCGACTGTGGGCCTGATGATCCTCAGTCAGAACTTGAAGGAGCTGAGCCTTTGGTGAGGGGACGGAACCGCCCCGCCCCTAACCGAATCTTACTCAGCAAAGAGGACAGCGAGCGCATTAACGAGGCTTTCCGCGACCCCGATCGTTTCATGGGCCCTCTCGTGTCACTCAAGGCCAATCTTTTCTCCAAGCTCGTGCATCCTTTACTGACGCGCCTGCAGCTGAGAACACGGCGTCGTGTCCGGACCAAAGGCAATATCACATACAGGCGTTGCGGGTATGGTTTGCGCGACCCAAACGAGGTCGGATTCTCCACACAGATATCGGAGTGCGATGACGTCATTGTGTCGTGCGGAGGCGAGAAGGTGCTGTTTATCATCATGACAGGCGGCCCTCTGAACGGCTGGCGGCACGAGCAGGCCCTGCTGAAGCGGCTGGTGGCTGACGGACTAGTTCACGGCTTTGTGACGGACGGCTCGACCTGGGTGGTCGTCGACATCGAATATCACGACGAGGAGAAGCGGCTGTATTTCGAGGGCGATAAGCTGTTGTTTCTGTCGGCCGACCCGCAGCTTGTGATGGACCATATTCTGGATGTGATAGAGAAACAGAGGAGGGGCGATGAGTACTGGAATGTGAACACTGACCCTGGAAAGACCCCATCGGGAGAGCCTTGTTTGGTTGACACGAGTAATGTCGAGAGACTGTCCAAGCTAATAATGGAGAGTACGACATAGTGATTTTCTGTATTGGACTTTTTCTGTATGTGTGTATGCCGAGTAAGTTTGTGTTTCTCCATGTCACTCACTCCCTGTGTGATCGTTGGATGTATGAGATCATGTGTGTGTGCCGTGTGTCTGTCTGTGTGGGATCCGACGCGTACATCCGCTGTGCTGTGTCCGTCTGTCTGTTGTGTGTGGCGTGTGTGTTGATGGCACATCAAGAGATTGCGAGTCTGGTTTTTAAGTTTGTTGCCTGTGATGGATGGTGATTGATGAATGCCATTTACACACACGACATGCGGTGCAGAGAGGGGAAGGACGGACCGGACCGACGGACGGACGGATACGTGTGTATGTATCATGCTTGAATAAATACCGTGATTCCATCCACACTTATATCATCCATGTCTCACGTAAAGTCGCGTTTCTCCTCAGATAGGACATCAATCGTCACATCCATGCCTATCTATGCATACAGACAGCCTAAGTGCTCGACCGTCTACCCTACCTACACGGCCCACGGAGGTTGTGCGTAGGACTCATGTGGACACAGCTCTCTTAACCGCAGCTCACCAAAGACGGAAGGCTGCAGTGGCGCAGTAGGAACAGCGCGATGAAGAGCGCCATCTGTGACGTGACCACCACAGCCGCTGCCAGCAGTGTCGTCAGTTCTGCCACCAAGTTGCATGAGGGCACAGCTCATAGAACGTCACCTTGCCGTATCGCTCATCGTGCAGTGCTCTTAGAATGAAGAGAACAATGTAAGGTAGAAAGCCGCAGATTAGCGAGGCAGAGGCAAACAGGAGAGTCACCAGCCTGTATTTCACCACACCGGGCTCCGTCTCGCTCCTCAAGATCGGCAGATTGTGCAGCCGCACAGAAATCTGCAGACATGACACACACACACGCAGAGACCCATACAGACACGACATTGGAGCCGCTCCCTTTTGATGTGCCTGTCCACCATGAAAAGGACGACTTCGCAGGCCAACTCGATGGCGACCAGGAGACACAGCCCGCCCAGCCTCTCGAACAGCCGGGGCAGCGAGGGAGACAGCAGCTGCTCCATCGATATCAACGACAGATTGATGAAAACAAGGAAGAGGCTCTCGGCCTGATTGTAGGCATGAGTTTGGTCCGCCAACGCACGAAGGTATCTCGGCTTGACGTCAAAGGCGATGAACTATATGGCACACACATTCACACACAAAGCAGACTCGTGCACATTGTATATCTGGCTCCATGTGTGGGCTGACATTGGATTGAAGATCGAGTGTCGACGTCATAGACGATAACCTGCTGGCTGACGACCGGGGCATTCGTCGGGCAGCCCTCATGACTCGTTGCTAGTACTGACTGGGCGACCGGCGCGGTGTCTCGGCTGAGCTCAATCGACTCATGGACTTGCGCGATTCCTCCCAGCTCACTGCTGCCGTGCTGAATGCGTCACTGCTTGTTGATTTAGCCGCCACATAGGGACAGTCCGCAGCCTTGGAATCTTTGCATGTCTCAGCCTTTTCTGCCTCCGTGGTTGACCGGGCATCCCGACTGATCATTCGGATGATGTTAGCGTGGAGAATGTCAGCATAGGGCACCGCCAGGTCGCCAAGGAGATCGTAGAGGGCGAACAACAAAGACGATATTATCTTGCTGCTAAGATTCTCCATCTTCGCCTGTTATAAGAAGGGCAGAGACATGAGTTACACACGGCTGTGTCTGCTGATGCATGGTGCGGGCATACATGCCTGGAGTAGCCGCGGCAGGAGTAGTGACCCGAAGCAGACGTAGAGCATAATAGCGTAGTTGCGCAGCGGCGGGCCGTCGCGCATCTTTCTGATTGTTCCACAGCCCACGGCCACCAAAGGCCAGATGATCAGCAGACACAAAGACGCCACTCGGGCCCTCTCGGTGTCTGTCGTGGCCGCCTCTGCCTGTTTTACAAAAAGTAGTCCCCACAACAAGACGGCGACGACCGAGAGCAGCAGGACGAAGAACATTTGCAGCGCATAGAGCCACCTATGTTTGACGCCCTCCATGCTTCCCGCAGCACGTCCAAAGAACCAGCCCCACAGCAAAGATCCATAAGAGGTGTTCGATCGCAATGAGGACCCAGGTGTAACGCTGCCAGCCGACTGCGACTAGGCCCATGTACGAGAAGGAGACCGCCGAGGGCAAGAGGAACACAAGCCACGTCTGTCGAAGTCGTGCCCACATCCTACACAAGTGCATCCCCTCCACGATAAGTAGCATCCACATAATAGCTGCCACGACCATCACAGAATTCCGCACGTAGTCCACCGCTATGCCGACTAGCGCACTCTCACTTTCGCAGCTTTTCCAGTATGCAACTAGAATGCCGACCCACGGCAGTGCCATCATAATGGAAAAGAAGGCCTGGAAGAAGACCGCTGTGATAGCACGGCGCAGATATTGAGAGAAGGGCTCTGGCAAAAAGCGAGAGCCAGCCACGACCTCCCTCACGTAAACGGTGTCTCCGTCATTTGTCACAGTGGGTTCGTAAACCAAGTGCGAGGTGAATTCCTTCAAAGGCCGCCGGGTACCCTGCACATCGGTGCAGCCAAGCAGAGGACTCATAAGGTTTGTACTGTTACCAGATTAGTGCTGTGTGCCCTTGGCCCCTTCATTTGGCTCACCGGCAGCCTTCTCGAACTCCGTCTTCATGACCAAAATAGCCATCTCCTCAGCCCTCAGTGGCGGCCCCTCTTCAGTGATGTCCGGAAGAGTGGTCGAATGTGAGCACGTGGGGTGAGTCAGATGCGGCTTCGCCTGTTCCGCGCCTTGATGGTTGAAGTCGTCGCTCTTGCTGAGATGCGGAACTGCGGCCTGCTCGTCCTCTGTCCTGAGCTCTCCTGGCTGAACCCTCTGGCTGCATGGCGGGGGGGTGCAAATGTCTGGGTTGCTGAAGTGAATGAAGATCTCTGTGTCCCTTCTGAGAGCAGATCCATAGCTCCCCTCAGCTCTGTCGGATGGTTGTGGCTGCACATGGTCTTCTTGATCATCGCCGGGGCTGATCGCATCGCCGTACGGCCTGTTGATCATGTGTTCAAGCGGGTCGTGGTGAAATGGTGAAGCAAAGAGGCACTTTGGTGGAAGAACGCTTGGATCGTCCCCCTATTTCAAGCTCGCAAAGAGAAGGAGCAATGGTGCGGTTCTTCATCTCACAACGGATCAAATGTTCCCCTCATCGCTTGTGCTCGTTGAAATGGGTTTGTTCTTCATCACCGAGAGGGCATGAGGCGACAATGGTGGGTCAGCTACAATATCTTCCGGCCGTTTGACCATTGCAAATGAGTGATACGTACACATCTGTGTACATACATACGCTGTGTTTGACATGGTCAGGCATTGTGAGGCCAAGCCCGTCGATACATGATGATCCCAGCCACGATGCATCTCATTATCGCTCTCTTGGCCCTTGTGTTGGCGGTCGGCGGCTTCCACACGGCCTCCCGCCAGCATGCCCGCCAGCAGACGTCTGTGGAGCCCGACAGCCTGCTCTATGGCGTGGACATGGTCAGAGACTTCACCGAACCTCTCGTGGCGCTGAAGAGCTCCAAGCAGATCTCCATCCTGCCCGCCAACCCGCTGCCGCTCGCCGCAAACCGACGAATCACCAAAGAGGCCATGGACGCGATAAGCAGACCGCTCACTGCAGTGTCAACCGACGGATGCCAGGCAGCCGACTCGTGTGTCGACGAGGTGTTTGTCGATTACGACCCGTGCACCGACAAATTCCTGCTGAAGCACTCGCGCGGCCCGCTGACCATGGCCTTTGCGGTGTTTGACGACAAGATCAAGCAGGCGGGGTGGAGCCATCTGCGTGTCGAGACTGTCGAGGGGCCTGTCAAGGCGTGCGACGGTGCATCCATCCTTCACGCCGCGGACGGCGTCGTGGCCTGGAACATGAAGATGTACGCGGCCGGCGCTGCCGAGGGCTACCTGACGGCATCGCGCATCAAAGACTTCTACAGCAGCGCCGAAGCCCTCGAGAAGCGGCAGGACAAGGCACACCGCTCACTCGAGAACGTCCGCACCATGTTTTACTCGAGCATCACTCTCATCCAGCAGCAGGCCGGCTGGCACAAGGACGCCAAGTCTGTCTTTCACACCGACGAGTGCGCGTCCGACCCGCCTGTGCGGCACGCGAGCTGGCTGCTCTTTCAAGTGTGGGGCGTGATGGACGGCTACAACGTGCGCATTCCCGATGCGGCGGCGGAGACGAGGCTCAATCTGCTGGCGGTGTTCTTCATCAACTCTGACGGCGAGACACCCGAGCTGATGGAGGCCTACGACCCGCAGTACTTGTCCAAGCGACAGGAGACCTCGCCAAACGCGGGAGCGTCGGCTGTGCAGCTTGCTCAGACGGTGTCGCGCAGACGCCATCAGTCCAAGCAGGAGCTCATTCGATGGCTCAACCGCCTGCACGACCACGGGTGAGTGACGAAGGTTGTCTTCTCATCTGTCTCGATGCAAGTGCTGTTTGGTTCGCTCAGGCGTTGCTCAGCCCTGATTCGGTTGGTCGACACTCAGCACGCGCCCAACCACGACATCATGGTCGGGCATTCGACGTGGGAGAACTTTTCTGAGATGTTTCGCATCTGGAAGGTCTACCACTTCCAGCTCCCTGACGCAGCCGCCAAGTGGATCTCCTTCTCATCGTACCCAGGTGAGTGAGTGAGTGAGTGACGGGAAGACGAATGCGCATCGGCATTTGGCTATCCTCTGTGTGTGTGTGTGTGCAGGTGCGGTGACGAGTACCGATGACTTCTATCTGACAGACGCGAATCTCCTCATCACGGAGACGACTATCACCATTATGAACGCAGCCGCATATGTAAACGTCCTCGACAGTAAGCAGGCAGAGGCACACCCAGACAGCCTCGTCTGTGTCGTCAATGTTCGTGTGTTGTTTTCCAGAGCCTCACGTGCCCGACTTCATGCGCATCGCCATTGCAACGCGACTCTCCAAGACGGGCGAGGAGTGGATACGCCACTTCCGCAACACAGGTGACGCATGCCATCCCTCCTTTGACAGATGAAGACGACACTTACTGGTTGGGTTGCTTTTGTCTCTCTATCAGTGTGTCTGCGTGACAAGTGCGGCGATCCCGGCACGTACAACAGCCAGTGGATGATCGTCGACTACAACAGATTCAACGAGGTGCGCAACAAGGACAGACCGCTGCCGGAAGGGACCTTCTATGTATATGAACAAGTGCCGGGTAGGTGCGGCGGCTTTGTCTGTGAGTTCGAATGGATGCCAATTCATGGTTCGCTGCCGTGTGTGCAGGTAGCGAGCAGCAGGCTGATATGAGTCGGATTCTGAAGAAGTTTGGCTATTTTGCGTCCTACAACAGAGCATGGTGGGCGGCGATGCACGAGGTTCGTCATCCTTTCTTCTATCTGTCGATGTGAATGCCATGTCTCAGGTTCCCGATGGACTCAGCCAGCCTCGGCGAAGTAGCATCGATCGGGAGCAGTCAAGGCAAGACCGGCTCGGACAAGTACCTCGAGACCGTCTTCAAATGGAACGAGCAGGCAAAACTAACGAACAAACTACCAATGCGCACAAATGCACGCGCATCCATGTGCCCTCCTTTTGTGTGTGTTCAGTCCCCGACGCGTCGCGGCCAGGACTTTGCTGGGCTCGCTCCCAAGGTCAAGACGCTGTGGGGCAATCCCAAGGACCCAACGTCCATGAGCGCTGTGATGCAGGTAAAGGCACATCGATATATATGACTCACATAGTCATTCACCACCATGGCTGCCGTGTCTCGTTGGTTGTTGGTTTGTGTGCAGTGGAATGACGTAGGCAAGGACCCGCGAGTGCCGCCCGACCAGCAGGAGCAGATCGCCGCCCGCTTCGATCTGTACGACCCAGACAGACTCGACGGGGCCGTCGACAGCAAGGTCACGCACAAACATGCAAATTGATAACGGGCCTCCTTGCCACATTGGATGAATGGATGGATGGTTCCAGATAGTGAATACGTGTCTGTTCGGCAAGCTGCAGTGCGACGCCATCTCGGGCCCCGAACACACATGGCACAAAGCATTCGACTGGTCACAGGTAAAGCATGGATCGGCCACTCAGCACACACTGAGACTGCCTATCCTTCTTTTGCTTGGGCAGGCGTCTGCTGCAGTGGAGTACCCTCATGCGCATCAGCCGCTGCGCTGGGATTTCGACTGGTGGCGCATGTCCCTCGACGGCATGCACCCTTCACCGAAGACAGAATGCTGATTTTGCTGCGTCTGCGTGTGAGTTGCTGGCGATTGTTGCTGACGCAGAAAGAAAGAAAGAAAGAAAGGAAAGCAAAAGAAAGGAACGAAGCGACTCATCCATCCACTGTCTGATGACTTAGATTGACTGAGTTCGTGGTGTGTGTCGCCTGTTGACAGTGCATGAGTGCATGGTGCACCATGCATTGCATGACCCATCCAGCCGACGATGCAATGAAGGTTGCGTGTGGGCGGACGTTTGGAAGAGTTGCGTGTCTGTTGATATAAATGAATGCAGTCTTTCACTCAGGTATCGTTTCACCGGCAAGGTGGTGTGGCTTGAGAACCACACATACACAGACGTCCAAAACACGTACACACATGGATACGTACATGCATTCCCGATCACACATAAGAGGCAGCCCCACTCTGCCCGCCTCGCTCATGTTCATCTGCTGTCTGTGTGTCTGCCTGTGTGTGTGTGGTGGATGTAGCAGACATACTCAGCCAGGCAGCCAGGCAGCCAGGCAGCCAGGGAGGGAGGGAGGCAGCCAGGCAGGCAGCACCTCTTGTCATCGGTAAGAGGTACATATGTACATGGACGGAAAGGTGCGTGTATTGCATCCCCTCAGCCAGTACTGACGCATTCGCTACATACATACGACCGACATGAAGAGGCAATGATGGCTGTGTCAGGGTAGCAGGATGTCTGTCGAATCCACCTCGTGTACGGATCTGTACAAGTTCATTCGGTGCAACCCACCCCACCCCATCACGAGAGCAACACTAACATGAAGAGAGCCAGCCAGCCAGCCACACAACAAACTACAGCAGTCCCGCTCTCTCCCTCACACACCAACTCGTCACCCATAGACCAACCACAGGCCTGCAGTGGGCTGACTGGCCGACTGACTGATACGGATGGATGCGTGTGCGGTGCGGTACCCAGACGCATGAACCTGTATCAGTCAGTCGGCCAGTCAGCCAACCTGTATATCGATATCCCAGGTTGCCTGACTGGCCATCCCCCTCGCTGGCTGCCCCTCCTCCACGCCGTCTGTGCTAATTGGCCGGTGGCCCGCCCGCCGCTGCGCCCATAGGTGGCCCTCCCGCCGGCTGGATGGTGCTGGCGTGTTTGTTCCGGTTGTTCTTGCCCGGCCTGCACACCCACGCGAGGCCGGTCTCGTGGATCTCCTCGACGTCGTTGAACAGCGCCAGACTTGCCAGACCATCGGCGTCCTCCTCACTGTGGAACATCTCCCACCGAACAGCCTCGAAAAACTTGACCTGTGGACAGGCACAAGGCGTCCATGACAACGGGTGTGTGGGTGTGCGTGGGCGGTCTGCTTGCTCACGATGGGCTCCACGAGTTGTTTTTCCTCGTTGGTGCCGCTGGTGTAGATGTCGTAGAGGAGCTTGTAGGGTCGCTGGATGTGGTGCACCCCGCCCATGAGCTGCTGAAGAGGCAGGGTCAGAAAACTGCAACCACACACAACACACACAGAGAGGGGGGAGGTGGTGGGTACATGTAGGTGTGTGGATGTGTGGACGGCTGAAGATCCACTCCTCACCTCACACACGGGGACAGGATGTATTTGCCGAGGGCCACCAGGCCTGACACGGCAATGTCCGGCGTCACGACCAGGGGGCGGCCCGGCCCCCCATTGTGGTGTAGCTTCAACGAAATCACCTGCATACACACAGATCCACATCAACACATACACACACAAGGCCCTCCCCCTCACTCCCTCCACAGCTTACGGCGCTCTTCTCGTCGATGTGAACTGTGGTGAGGAGGCGGTAATGGTGAGTTGCGCTGTCCCCCTTCTTGGCCGCTGCATTACCCTCCTGGACGGGCTCGCAGATGCTGCCATTTAAATGGACGCCACGCACACACACACACACACACACAGAGAGAGAGAGAGAGAGAGGGAACCACAACAAAACCATTGTGTGGGTGCGGTGCATTCCATCCATCCATCCATCCATCCATTCATCCATCCATGGGTGTGCAAGTGGGTATGGTATAGAAGGCAATCACAATTTGGGATACGTGTCGAACCAGACGTGACCGTCGCCATGTGCCTCCCGCTGCTGCTGCTCTCGCCGGTCGTAGTCAGCAGGATCACCCAGCGTGGTGCCGGCTATCAGCGGTCCAAATGCAGTAGTAGGCTTGTCCGACTCGCTCGAAAAAAGCCAAAACTGACCGATGACAACACACATACACACACACACATGCACGCACACAACGATTTAGGCCTTGTGTGTGTGTGTGTGTTGGTGTAATGTGACGGCACAAAAGACCTCTGTTCGTGTCCTGTCGCCCGTGAAGAGCTGGAACAGCTTATAGATGCGCTGAAACTCGAGCTCATCATTGTAGGGAGCGCCGTTGTACTCCCCTACGCACAGACACACAGACGTACGCACAGTCATACGCACACACAGCAGGCCAGTTGGTGCACACACACGCATCCCATCGGCCCGCTTACGCTTTGGACGTATCCGTTGCCAGTCGCCGTTGCTGTCCTTTGCCATGAATTTCGTGTTGGCGGTGATGGTCTCGACGGGCAGGTCGGGAATCTCGCTCGCCGTGAGGCCCTGCTGCTGCCCCGACATCAAACCGAAGCTACTGCTAGACGACCTGATTGATGCAGACCAGCGACAGACACATCACACAGGCAGCCAGTTGGGTGCACTGGACAGGTGGGCCGCTGGATGGATGGGTGGATGCATCCAGTGTGTTGTTACCCCTGTTGCGTGTGGCTGCTGGTGGATGCGATCGTGTGGAGTGTGGGCTCCGCAGACGAGTCGAGTGCACCTGCACACACAGCCAGCCAGCTGCACCACACACAAACACACCCTCCCTCCCTCCCTCCCTCCCTCCCCATCCACACGCACACACATACCTGTCTCCTCGATGGTGAGTTGGTCGCTGCCCCAGTTACACCGCACGGGACGCTCAGGCGACCTGACAGTAGACGACGAGGGCACCAAAAACCATCAGCAGCCAATGAGCCCACCCACCCACCCACACGTACATACGAAACGATCGTGGCGTACCTGTCTGTGGTCACCAGTGGTTTGAGAATGGGTATATGATCTACCTCAAACAGCGTAAACCCCGTGCCCCAAGCCCAGCTGATGCCATATCGGCCAGTCAGCCCCTCGATCGCGTCGCCATTGGTCCTCTCCTCCACCAGCCGCTTGAAGACAGCTCCAGGTAGTGCCTGGAACCTGAGCTCCATGAGGCCGCGGATCTTGAGCAGTGACCTGACGCACGCAATGCCGAACTCGCCGGCCGCATCACTATCAGCCAAATCCTCAGGCACTGCAGGCAAGGACACGCAACGAAGCAATAGCAGGGACAGAATGAGCGGACAAGAAATCTAGCGGCTCACCTTCTACGCTAACAAACATCTGCTTGATGGTCGGAAGCTCTTGTGCTCGATCGCCCCACGTCAGCCCCTCCTCACCATCGGTCACCACTGTGGCCTCGAAGCGCTCCAGCCGTCTGTCCCCGCCCAGCGCCTCCAGCATTCCCACCGCATCCGCCTCTGGCGTGCCCCTCCAGAGGCTAACCCGCCGCAGGGCGGGCATCTTCGGCACCAGCTTGCGGCCGATCACAAACCCCTTGGGGGGACGCAGCGGAAGACGCGTTTGATTTCCGATCTCCAGCGACGATGCAGCGGGGAGTGCGTCCTCAGGCAAATGGTCGAGCACCGCCGGGTCGGGCTGCTCTGCCTGCGCATGCTGCAGCGGATTCATGCCACCGAAGTTCATGATGGTCACGCTCTGTGCGATGGGGAACGTAACGGACTGTGCGAAGGCGACGGCAGCGGGGCTGGGTGAGTCGAGGGGCGCGGTGAATTGATGGGGGTACAACTTGAAGAATACGTGGGGGCTGCCGGATGCCAGCTGCTTGAGCCGCTTCTGCGCGAAGGGAGAGGGGTCCGGGTGTGTGGGCACATCGCAAAGGAGACCGACGTCAAAGCTGCGGAGACATGCGTCCACAGACGTGTCCACAGATGAATCGACAGGGATGTCGGGGCCCATGCACACGCTGCGCGTGAAGGCCTCGATGGCCCGCAGCGTCTCGAAAATGCGGCTGTCGACGCCGGCGATCTTGAAGTCCAGGCGCTTGATGGATCGGCAGCCGCGCTCGACAAGTACGGCCTGCACACAGACACGCAACTCACAAGCAAGCTCTCGCCCACTCTCTCCATCTAGATCTTGTCTGGTTCATTGCACACCTGAAGGCGCTCCAGATCCGCATTCCTCCAGCTAGCCATGCTGAGGGTCCCGATGTCCTCCAGCTGTGACAGCAGCCCCGTCTGGCCCGCCTCTGTCACAGGGATGTCCGCGAGCGAATGAGCCAGGCCGGCAGGAGCGCACTCCACACGCAGCTCCTTCAGGCACCGCAACGTGCCCACCAGGTCCTTCAGGACACCCCCCCTTCTCGTCGCACTACTATCCTCCCACGGCGGCAAGTAGAGTCCCGACACCCTCCCGTCTATTTGCACCCTCTCGAGAGACGGCAGCTGCCAGTGGCGCCCGCGGCCGAACTCCCTCAGGCCGTTCTGCCAGGAGGGGCCGCCACAGGGGATGCCGGCGATGGACGTGAGGGAGTGGAGGGTGGGGGAAGGGTCGAGGGGCGGGGAAAGGCAGCCGCCTGCTGTCCGATCGCCCTCACCTCTCGATACTCGTCACTGTCGATGAATCGCGTCGACAAGTCGATTTCGTTGAACTCGATCGACTCCAGCGTGCTGTGTGGTGATTGCCCAGCTGCCGCCGCTGCCGCCCCGGCTGAGGGCCCCTCACAGTGCCCCTCCACCAAGACGATCACATTGCCGGCCACTTTGTCGATCAAATCCTTGGCGTATGCTTCTCCGGTGACGTAGGGCAGGCCGCTGGGCTGCGGAAAGCGAATGACAATGGCTATGAGTTGGGTCAGCCGTCGGCCCCATGCGAAGGCGTCAGCGAACGGCAGGCGGCACCAGAAGAGACGCTCAGCCCTGCCGTAGGTGTCGATCACCAGCCGTGTGATCTGTGAGGACACGCGACGGCACAGCCCCTGAGGTAGTTGCGCCAGCAGATGGAGGGGCAGGAAGGAGAAGACGCACCCGATGAGAACAGGCTGCATTGACCGACAGCACACACCACACAACAAACACAAAGCAACGATGGGGGAGGGGAGGGTAGGTGTGCTCGCCCGCCAGTGGCATTAAGTGCCCGTGCAAGCAACTTACAATTGAGCTGAAACGGTGCGCAAAGGCACGCATGTCTACAGTGTGCGATGCCGTATTCTCCTGCGGGCCGTCTTGCAGATCCTCCTCTTCCTCCTCGTCAGAAGGCGCCCGGCCAGCGTCCATCGCATCGTCATCCGCCACGTCAGCCATACTCCGCCGCCTCGTGGGGCCAGCCTCACTCATCCCGGCTCAATATCTACTGCTCATTCGCTCGTGATGCTCGTGAGCCTGTGTGTGCCGATGTGTTGCGCGTGTTTGGAAAGCGCCACGCGACATGGATCTGCCAGTTTTTGCGAGCTGTGAAAGCGTTGCTGCTTTCTCAGCAGCGGCTGTCAGTAGGCTCTTGGCCGATGCTTCTCGGTTGCTTTTGTGGACACTGATACCTGCATGCCAAGAAAGTAAGCAAACCTCACTCACAAAAACAGAGCCAGGCAAGCAATGCACGGACATCTCCTGTGTGTGCCGTGCCTCTGTTATGCAGTTCCTTTGACGCGTTGGTTGACCGTGCAACCAGCTCCCAAGGGCTCGAACACGTGGGCACGAATTATCGTACAACATGTTGGATGTGCTGCATTCATTCGTTCATGGCTTTGTGTTGCTGGCGTTCAGGAGGTTGAGAACGCCGTGCAGCTGCTGGAGGTGCTGCTCTCACAGAACGGCACTGTCAGACAATATGCACGCCAGCTGCTGCTGACCAGGGTGAGATCAACCAACATGTTGCTGAGCCTTCTCACGTTTCCTGTCCTCTCTCTATTCCATTGTTTCTCAGGCCCGGCATGCGTCTGGTGACCCCTCTCTGCGTCCATCCACGCTGCGCCGCCTTCTGCAGGCGCTGCAGGACCACTCAAGCGATGACCCACAGATCGGTCAGGGGCGCCACACACACACACACGCACACGCAGCCACGCTCATCTCTCGGGTTGTGGTGGTTTGATGTGGTGGTTCAGACGCCGCCGTTCGTGAGCTCCAGCGGTCCGCTGCCACATCCACAGCGGACGACTCATCGCACCGCCGGAGGCACTCAACACCCCCAGAACCTCCCGCTGCATCGTCAGGTGGGCGCACCACACTCGCAGTACTCATGAACGAATGACGGCATTGTTCTGTTGGTGTGTCAACAGACCCCCCAGCCCTCCCCCCTCCCCAGCGAGCCGCAGCATTCGAATCGCAGCATGTATCGACGTCCACGTCCAGCCACCGAGGCGGCCCGCCCGGTCGCCTCTCGCACCCCGTCACCGTCGTCAGTGCCCCGCTGCCCACATCCCCACCGCGCAGCTCATCGGCATTCATCGAGTCGCCACGCCCGCCGCCAGAGCGGCTGAGAGGGTCCGGCATGACTGCTGGTGTGGAGGACGGGAGAGGGGGGGCTGATGCGCTGGGGCCGCTTCCATCGGCGTTCCAGATGCGCTCGTGGAAGGGGCGGGGCGGGTCGCCACGGAAGGCTGGCAAGAAACAAAACGGGGCTAAGGCTGCGGCGGCAGGTGCGGATGTGCGCGCCAGCAGGGACTCCGCCATGTCGACGCAGGCGCCGTCTGTGGAATATCCGCCACTGCATGGCGAGGCATCCGGTTCATGTAAGTGAATGAGACGATCAGACATGGACGGGACTGCCATGAAAGGCTGCCTGTGTGCCATTTTAGCGTTCTTGTCCATCTCGATCGACCGCCAGTCCAAGGGCGCCTTCTCTCCCCTCCCCCCTCCCCTGCCCCCTCCACCCTCATCTCTCTCGCGTCGGCCGCGCTCACCCCGCCGTGCGGACAGCCCCCCCTCCATGCTGCGCCCCAGCCGGCATGACGCAGTGGTGCGCTCCTCGTCGGCCATCAGCCTGCCGCCCTTCAGCAGGGCCGACGTCATGGTCCCCTTCGCCCCCATGCACGTGTTCACCACCCCTCAGACAGACAGGCGCTTGTCCATGGCCGGGTCCCGCCGCCCATTCCGGTCGCTGACGCCCGTGCGGGAAGAAGCTCTGGAGGACTCAGATCCGCGCCATCGGCTAAGGCTGGTCGCCCACTTTTTTCGAGCTTGGGCCGGCAGGGCTGTGGTGGCGAGGAGGGAGCGGCAGGCACAGCATGTGGAGGAGTTCGTGGATAGAATAGCCCGATGGTGAGAGCCACTGAGATGCTGAAGGCGACATCCGTGTGAAATGGCTTGCCTTACGCGTGTGTGCGTGTGGTGCAGGGCTGTGCGTCATAGTGGTTTCTTTCGGCGTTTGGCGGCCGTATCAGCGGACCGTGACGGTCTCGCGCGGCTCCTTGCTCGCATTGCTGGTGTGGAGAGGCGGCACGTGGGCACCAACACGCTCTACCGGGGTATGAGTAACGCCGTGCTGTCATTCACTGATGATAGGTGCGGCCACGACGGGCGGAGAGGAGGGATTGGTACACACACGTGTACACAATGTATCGGCTGTTTGATGCAGGATATCGTGGGATCAGTTCATGTCGGGCCACTGGCACCCTCCAGACTCGCCTGTTCCTCAGTGGTACCGATCGCTCCTCCAGAGCGCTGCCGTCACCACACGGGCAGAGCCGGCACAGGCAGATCGGCATCGCGAGATCCGCATCTCGAGACGGCTGCGCGGCTTGAGACGTCTCCTCTGTCGGCTCAACTCATCCACGCAGCTGGCGGCGGCCTTCGACCACTGGAGAGCCATCCACAAGACACGGCAGGCTGCGAGGGAGTCGATGCGGCAGGCAATGCAGACAGCTGAGGGCCGTCAGACGATCGACTCACTTGAGGGGATCCCTGCTCGTGTGACGGTCCGGAGGGCCCTGTATGCGTGGAGCCAGACGGCAGCCAGACTGAGGGGTGTGGCCTTGTTGACGGCTCGATGCGATAAACGTGTGCTGTGTGGTGCGTTGCGAGGGTGGCGGCGGAGGGCATCTGTGGCGCGGAAGGGCCAGAGGGTGGTTCAGAGGAGCAGTGGGCGGATGCTGCGGCGGGTGTTCCAGATCTGGCTGCGGGAGTACTACAGGTGCGCTGAGTGGAGTGATGGAAGTGTTGTGTGCACAGACGAACATCGCTGTTCATCCATGGAAAGTCTGTTTGTTGTTTGTCTGTGTGCTTGCTTCAGGCAGCAAACGTCGAATCTGATGCTGTCGCAGCTGCAGTACCGGGGCCAGCTGTCGCGGCTCGAGGCCACCATCCTCCGCCTCAAGGCACGATGCACACAGCACGCCCTCAACCGCCTCGCCACCCTCCTAACGCAACGGCCCCTGCTCAAACACGCCGTCCTCCGCCTACACAGCCACGCACAGCATGCTGCTGGGAGAGAATCTGCCATAAGGCGGACACTCAGGCGGATCGTGGTCGGCCGGCGGCATCGCATGGAGGCGACAGCCTTCCGCATATGGTCAGCTCAGCTGGGCCAGCATCGGCGGGCGGTCATGGATGAGCAGACAAGAGCGGCAGCGGCAGCGAGGATGGCCCGTGTTGCCGTGAAGATGCGCACACGGGCGGCCCATGCATCAGCCAGGAGGGCACTCCACATCTGGCGAGCAGCCCTCATAGCCCATCGCAAGCAGCACCGGCACATGACAGCCACGCTGCGCGCCGCATTCATCGCATGGCGGCAGTCATCTCGGCAGCAGGGACGTGTGAGGCAAGGCCTGCTGTCCCTCTGTCGTGTCACCCGCGCCCACACCCGCCGCTCCCTCCACCAGTGGCTGTCCGCCTGCGCCCTCGTGGCCATTGAGGGGCCTATCAACGCGAGGCTGTCGGAGATGTCTGTTGCCCGTGAGGCCGTGGAGAGCAGAGCGGCCAGTCTCGAGGAGCAGCTGGTGCGCACTCGTGACCAGCTGCGTGACATCATCTCAAGGCGGCTGCGACATCTGGTCACCCGCATGGGGAGGGTCTTGGAGCGCTTCGCCCTTTCTTCGGCATTCGACAGAATAAGAGCGGCCTGTCTTGCCGAGCGGCGTGTCCAAGCTGCGGCATCACGGCTCACACCCGCTCTATCTCGCCCCGCCCGTCGTGCGATGGCCATTGCACTCGCCTCCCTGGCACTGCACGCGGAGTCCCACATGCATCGGCAGGCTTTGCGCGAGAAAGCGCTTCATCGGCTGGCCAGACTGATCAGTCGGCGTTGGCTGCAGTGGGGGTGGGAGGGGCTGCAGAGGGTGATGGGTGCGGTCATGTCGCACCAGGCCGCAGCGGCCATGCGGGCCGACCTGGACAGACGGGCGCAGCGTATAGACCACCTGCAGGCCAGCCTCAGGGACCAGGAGAAACAGTGCGAGGAGCTCCAGGTCGGTTGGGTCGGTCGGGACATAGACAGACCATACCCATCACTGTTGCTCTTGTCGCCTCAGGCGTCGTTGGAGCGGAAGCGCGCCGAGGAGGCCAGCCGCCGAGCGGAGTTGGATGAGCTGCAGAGCAACCTGCAGGAGCGGACCACAGCCCTGCATCAGACGCGGCACGAGCTGCAGGACACCACCGACAAGCGGGAGATAGAACGGTCAGTCCCACACACACGCAAGACGCAGACCAGACACGTCCAAAAGTGTCTGTCGATGGATGTGTGCATCACACCGGTGGCTGTGCTGTCGATTGCATTGCGCTTTCTCTGTCTGTCAGGTTGGACGCCGAGGATTCGCTCAAGAAGCTTCAGGACACCGTGGCAGAGCTGACAGAGGCGCTGCAGGTCCAGCAGGGGGAGCTCGAGACCACACAGCGAGCCCTCGAAGACGAACAAGCCGCTAACAGGTGGGTGACATGCAACGCAATGGGTAGACAGACAGACAGTGCAGGCCTTCCTGTGCTTAATCGTTGCTCTCTGTATGTGTGTATGTGTATGCATCAGGTACCTGATGTCCTCAGCCCAAGACGGCCAGGCCGGTCGTGTGGACCTCTTCCAGCGCCTCCAGACCCGCCGCCGCCAGGAGGAGCTCAACGAGGACGAGAAGTCGGCCTTCATGGCCCTGAGATACCACGCCTACCTGCGATCCACTCTTCGTCAGACCGCAGTGGCCGCGCATCTCAGACACCGCCGTAGGACATTCGCAGGGCTTCGGAGGGCCGCACTGCATGTCCGGCTAAGCAAGATGAGACGGCGGACGGCTGTGCTCCAGCTGGCCGCCACAGTCCAGCGTGTTCACACTGCCCAGCGGCTGGCGGCCTTCGGACACATCAAGAGCGCCACCCTCAAACGCGGCCGCACGGACGCCGCGGCACGAGCGCTGCACGGGGCCATCTCACGACTTTACTTCCGCCACCACTGCCGCCCCGCGCTTCAGGTGCTGCGGCGGCATGCATCTCGCTGGCTGCTGATGGACGCCCTGTCAGCTACACAGAGGCGTTGTGTGTATCGGCGTGCAATGCGGCGGTGGCGTGAGGGGCTGGCGCGTCGCAAGGCGGCGGTGAGGGTGCAGGACATCATGCGGCTGGGGGCACTCAGGCAGGGGCTGCAGCGACTGAGACGTTGGTGCGAGGTCAGTCTATAAACAAACAAGGCAGACGGGCTGGCGAGGCGACAGACAGATTCATGACAAGTGTGTGTTTGGTCTATGTATGTCAGGCGTCGCGTAGCTGGGCTGTGCAGGACGTGTGCTCGCACGAGGCCACCCTCTCTCGTGTTGAGTTCCGCACACAGACTCTCCGCGTCGCCCTCACCATGGGAGCACTCATCGTCAGGGGTCTCTTGAGGCGGTCGCTCGCAAGGCTGCAGACACACGCACACCAGTCCCGCATGCAACAACGGCTCGTCGACGTCACGCACTTCCCACGCGCGACTCGGGCCATGACCAGGCGGTACTTCGGGGCGTTGCGGCGGGTGGCGAGGCGGCAGAGGGGTGCGGTGCGTTTGGTGGGTCGCTTGAGCCGACTGATTGAGAGGGACGCCTTGTGCGTGTGGCGTGGTGAGGCGAGGGCTGTGCACATGCGGCAGCAGAGGGCGGAGCGGCTGCACTGGAGCCTGGTGCACATCGTCAGGCGGCGGCTCAAGATCGTCTGGTTCGACTGGTGCTTCAGACATAAGTATGGGCGAATGTAGGCATGCATGTCTGTGGGGGCGGACGGACACTCACGTGTGTCATTGCTGGCGTCTGTCTGTCTGTCTGTCCAAATGTGTGTTGGTTGTGTCAGGGTGATGGCGCCTAATCGCAGCACCCGTCTGCTCAACCTCTCCTTCCGCATGCGCGCACGCTACCTGCGGGTGGCTCTCATGCTCTGGAGGGCTGACACGAGACGGATGGTCCAGCTGCGGCGCGTCGGGGCCATTCTAGCCAGATGCATCGCAAGTGAGCCAGACATCAGACCGGGCCATCCCGTATTCCCATCTGTTTGTTTTGGGTCGATCATGTCTGTCTGCAGGGCGGGGCCTCCGTGTGTTGCATCAGCACGCCCTGTCGGCCGCCACAGAGGGCTGGTCCAGGACGGCCCTCGCTCTCGTCCGCCGATGTGACGCCTTCGTCGACATGATCAACCACCAGGCCGACCACCACACGGCACACGAGAGCCGCCTACTCCTCCACACCACCCTGCACGAATGGCGCAGGCAGGCAGCCGCCAGTGCAGCGCGAAAACACGAGCGGCGGAAGGCACTTGGCCGCATCGGGTCTGGCCTGCAGCGGGCGAGGCTGCGGCAGAGTGTCAGGCAGTGGCAGCGGGTGCTGGAGCAGTCGAGGCGGGATGGCGAGCGTAAGGCTGCGCAGAGCATCGTGGTGCAGAGCGAGAGACAGCGGGGGACGCAGAGCATTGCGGCAGCATCACGCAGCCTCCTGTCGACGCTCCGAGTGGCCACACGCAGACACCTCGCTACCGCCTTGACGCGCCTGTTTTCACACGTGAGGCACACACGGGATGACAGGCACGCCTGCCACGAAGCAAAGGTCTGAGTGGTGCGTGTATGCAGGCGCATGGTGAGAGGCTTCGTGCGACCGTGTCGAGTCACCGTGATGCCCTCGCTGCGGCCGAGAAGCGGCACGATGAGAGTCGACAGCAGCAGATGGCGGCCATCGAGGCCGTGAGGGAGGAGCTCAAGCGCCTGCAGGTGGGTCCTCATGGGCAACGAGTGCAGAAAGGCAGGTGTGTCGACGTGTCAGTCATGCGTGAATGTGCGTATTCAGGAGTCTCGTGCCGAGGACCTTGAGGAGGAGGTGGAGAGGCGGCTGCAGGGGGAGATCTCACGCAGCAACGAGCTGGAGGACGCCCTCGAGAAGGCACAACAGGCCGTCTCTTATTGGGAGAGCGAACACAAGGTACAGCACCACCTGACACACCTGCAGGCGCGTCCACGTGTATTCCTCCCCCTCCCCCTCTCTGTTGTGTGTCATGTCAGCGTGAGCTGGACCGCAACGAGGCGGCGCAGACGGAGATCTCCAAGATCGGCAAGTCCGTGGAATCCCTCAGACAGTCACACGCCAAGGAGCTGGCGGCCGTCCGGCAGGACCTCGACAAAGAGCGGCGCACCAACGAGACCCTAACAAATGAGGCCTCGCAGCAGCGGCAGGCGTGTGGGTCGCTTCGCACCAGAGCATCCGAGGCTGACGAGGCGAAGCGAGAGAATCAGCGGCTGCGGTCTGAGGTGGAGGGGCTGAGACGGCGGCTGGATGAGGCTAATGAGGAGAATGCGGCGTTGCAGGAGAGGATGCGGGAGGAGATAGAGCGCGTCAAGCACTTCGAGAGCTCCATCCTTAAGGGACACAAGGACGCGGAAAGCTTCAAGAAAGCCGCTGAGAAACAGGTGCCTGACTATAAAGCCATACGTGTGGATGGATCGATCCATTTGAATGTGCCTGTCTGTCTGTCTGTCTGCAGGTTGAGTCCCTGAAGCTGGCTCTCAAGGCGTCCAAGGAGAAGGCCACCCTCTATGCCGAGCAGGTGTCTTCACTGTCCACCCAGCTGTCGGAGTCAGCCGCAGAGCACCGCAAGAAGGAGCGTGCACTTTTGGAGGAGAAGATCCAGCTGGCCCGCACCAACCTGAGCGCCCAGGCGTCCAGCAGTCTGACCATCGTGCCGTTTGGTCAGGTGGCGCAGGGCACTGCGAGGGAGAACAAGGGCAAGAAGAAGAGACAGCCGTGATTGGTGAGTGCGTGGGTGGGTGGGTGGCGCTGCATATGTGCGCACTGTATAGCTCTAGAGGGGGCGGGGCGTGTTTGTCGGGTTGCTGGGGCGTGGCGTCGTTCCTGCGTGTTGTGTTGTGTGTGGCGAGGGTAGTTAGCCAATCAATGGCGTGTCGAGTCCGTGTGTGTCTATGCATTCATGCGAGCATACATGACAGACACGGTGGACAAACAAGCATCACCTTACTCACTGCTGTAACACATTTGTGTATACTAAAGATCTATATAGAGGCGTAACGACTATCATGAAAAAAGCCAATCGAACGACTTCAGCACAGACGCACGCAGTACGTACGTAGCAGAGGAGAATAGTACATTAGTTGTCACTGGCCCCTGTCCCTCCCTCCGCCAAGGAAGCCCCCACCTATTGTAGTAGCGTTGCTTTCCGTGGTCAGCTGCCTGTTTGATGATGATGATGATGCAACAGGGGGGTTGCAGACTGTGCGTACGGGGCATTGGATGGGCATCTGCAGCTGGCTGCCGTAGAACAGGGCGTTGAATTCTATGCGGTAGTCGACGTCAAAATACAGCTGGGTCGTCACGGGGGAGGGATCCGCATCCGTGTCACACTGCAACACCTGCACGCATCAATCACACAGGCACTCATTGATGTGTGGCTTAATGCTCTGGTGGGTGGGCTCACTAGAGCTGGGGAGTCACCCAAGCCATGTGTTGCCTGCATGAGGAGGCCAACACCACAGGAAGACAGACATGACAGACAAACAGACAGACTGGCAGACAGCTGCACGAATGTCTCGTGTCCATCTGTGTCTCGCCCTCGCCCACCTTCAGGAAAAGTGACCGGTCGTCGTTGATATGCAGGGGGAATTCTTCCGTACGTGGCTCGAGGCACCACGTATCGTTGCACATGTCGATGCCCGGGTCGAAGAAGCCGCAGATGAGTGGATCTGGCTCTATATGTAGGAAGGCGCTGTATGGGGCGAAGGGCCGTCTCCGCTCCCCGCCTGCTGAGCCGTAGACGGTCAGATCAGCTGGGCACTCCACACTGATGCGCGGCATAGGTCGGGGGTCTGGGTCTGACTGCAGGTCGCTCGGCAGTGGCGGGCTGCGCAGTGGCGGGCTGGGCGTAGAAGACGGCGGCGACTCGGTGGGCCAGTCGGCTTCACACACACATGCAGGCAGTGAGGTAGCCAGGCAGGTGATGGGTGTGTGATCAGATGGAGTAGGCCGATAGGTCATTGATGAATACCTGTTTGGCAGTTGGTGATTAGTGTGCACACGATGTTGCCCGCGTATGGGTCGGTGCTTCCGTTGATGTTTGTCACCTCCGCGGTCAGATAGAATCGGAAATTAGTCTCGACGAGGCCCAGCTTGTCAGCTTCACACGTGAGGGTCAAGTAGGACGGGGACACATCATCCGCCTTCATACACAGACAGAGAAATGCACACACACACACACATGAGCGACGCGGGGGTGGAATGGTTGTCGGACATCACATCACATCACATCACTTGCCTCGGTGAAGCTGAGTCGTCTGTCCATGCTGTCGACGTAGAAGATGAGCGGCTCCTTGCAGTCCGCGTCGCCGAGAGCGCAGAGCTTGAAGCCAGTGACCTTGACGTCCGTCACCGTCTCATCGACATGAACCCAGTCGGTGCCCGGGAACATGGGCTGGCTATTTGTGATGCTCTTTCCCGAGAGCAGCAGCGCCACTGTCTCGGGGCACTTGACGCTGAAAACTGCACACACACAGCCCCACTCAAGGGAGTGCACTCCCCCTCTCTGGGTGCACGCGTGTGTCTGCCTACGATCATCGGACGGCCGCGATGTGTTGCCTACACACATGCAGATACACGCACAGAGAGAAGGATTGGAGTAATTCTGTGAGCGTCGTTCGTCTGACCAACCTGTCTGCAGTTGGTCGCCCTCATCGACATTCGGATTATCAAGCACTCCAGCGGTGACAACCCTTGCACTGCCCTGCGGCATCATTCTGAAGTCGGCCAATCCCGTGGAGGGATCAACGGCATTGGTCCCGTGTACTTTCGGCCCGCCCTCGCCGCCATCCCGCTGCACAGTGAAGTTGGGGTACCTGGGCACCACGAACTCGACTGACAGGACTGGGACGTCGCCGCGATGCACTTGAGCAGGGACGACCCCTGATTCCCTATTGAGAACGGGAAGGCGATATGAGTAGGTCCCATTGGGGTGGGGCACCACAGTATCCACAACCTCCATAGACGTCTCTCGTATGATGTTGACGCTGTAGCTGTTGACAGCCGACTCACTCTCCTCCCACAACCCATTGGAGTTGCTGCACGAAAGAGAACGGAAGGAAGGAAGACAGCGGTACGAACTTTGAACACTCATGAGGTCTGCGTCTGTACGTGTCGAGAAAGACCGCGCCGACGATCCAAGCCTCTCCCTCTCTCGGAACGGCTGCAGCAGAGTCTAGTGGGCCGGACTCGAACAGCGGCTGCCCACCTGCAGAAACGGACAGATACAGAGAACCATCATGTTGATGTCCTTCACCTTTCGTCACCCTCAGTGAGAGTCCCACCGGCTTGTCGTACGTGTAGACAAACAAGAACTACGAGAAGTACTCGAAAGGAGAGGCGAGAGGCCATCTGCCACGAGTCGGCTGACCAACGGCACAGTGACTGTTGGTGTATTATTTCAGTTTCGATCCGTCGGTATTGTTTCAGTTTCGATCCGCCACTCCCTTTTTTGAACGCCATTCGTGCAAGCCCCCTTTCTCTCTGCTTCCCCCTCCTCACTGTTCCAACGAGAAAGGCCTTAGAAAATGGAGAAGAAGCACGAACAGCAGATCTCACAGCAGACCCCCATTCAGCAAACACAGAGGGCAAAAGGCGACCATTGCAAGAAGCGGGTGACATCTTGCGCAGAGATGAAATGACGGACCCCATCCACACCTCAAGGCTCTTAAATTATTGGTCCTTTTTGGCTATCGGCGCTGCTCATCTCCTGTACCCCCTACTCATCTGGCTGTTGTGGAAGCTTCCCCTTGAGCAATACACCGATTCGGACGTCTTTCCCGCCTACACTTCAACATTGCGCGCTGGAGTCAGTATTTGCTCAATCACAGGTCGGTCAATTGAGCACGAAGGATGTATGTCATTGGGTTGTATTGCGTCTGCTCCTCTTATGAAGGTGCCGTGACGCTTCTTGCTGTTGCGTTCTCATCTGTTGCTGTGCTCGGCTTGCCGACAAGAGAGTCACATCGTCAGGTCCAGCAGACTCCGGTCATCATCATTGTCGGCCTTATTGCCGCATACGCCTGTCGTCTCTCGGGTCTTGTCCCCGTCTTCCGAGAGCCGCTGTTTGGCCGGCCGGTTGATCCCACCAAGATCTTCGATTGGCTGTTGGACTGCCCACTCCTCTTTCTCCAGATTGGCGGGTGTCTCTTTGAGCTGCCTTTCTGGGAGGTGGCTCTTCCTGCATGTCTCACTGCGGCCTACTGTGCACTCGCGATCGGGGTGCAGTTCTCGCCGACTCTTCCCCTGCGCGTTGTTGGCCTGGCTGTCATTTCCGTCGCGGTAGTGGTTACAAACGTGTTGCAGCACCGATGGAACACCAAAAAACACCAGGCTCTACTCCAGAGGATCTCTCAAATGCGCAACGACCCCGTGACCAGCCCGTTCAGCGGTCTGCTCGAGGGTTCCATCAGCAAGGGAAGCGCGGAGACACACAGGCGACTGGCAGAGGACTCGACCGATGACAGCGTAATGCAGTCGCTGAAGGTATGAAAGCTGCTTGTCTGTGCAGCGGGCTGGTACTAGTAATGGCTGCTTGCAGAATACAGGGGCGTGCAGAAAAGTGCAGCAGCTGCAGAACGAACTGAAAGAGGAGCACATCATGCGAGACTTTCATATCTTCTTTTGGCAAAGCTCAACCAATTGGACCTTCCTCATCAGCAAGCTTGTCTTCGGCCTGCCATTCTGTAGGAATGAGAGTGGGAAGTTGAGGGGTTTGTGTGTCCTTGTATGTGTCTGCTGTCAGTGCTGTCTATCTTCAATCGCCTTCCTCCACACTTGGAAATAGCCATCTACGCCTTCCTCGAGCTCGCCAGCAAGGCGTAAGGGAGCGCTGCTTGTATAGTGTCGATAGCTGTTTGTCATGCTGGCAGCCAAGGTCTCGCTTCTCTCCCTTTGTAGGCTGCTTTCCATCTTTTCAATGAGTATCATACTTTTGGAAAAAGAGAGAGACATACACGAAAGGGTAATTATTCGAAGACACGAAAGAGCGAGGGAGCGGTATGACTTTCCATCCTTTGTACGCAGAAAATAATCCGCCTCCGAGTAATCCCAGGTCTGTCATTCAAGGAAAGAGTTCTGGGGGGTGCAACTGAGTTGTTTTGCTTCCTCTCTCTCAGTTGAGCTTAAGAACGATACCCTCCACTGGATCATCCAGGCACTCAAACGGGCGGACGAATCGAAGAGGAGATTTATGCGCTACATCTTTCATGAGATTCGAGTGCCCATGCACAGCCTCACTGTTTGTATGGAGCTACTAGATGAGAAGCTCAACCACAAGGAGAAGCTGCTTCAAAACATGATTTGGTCAGCAGGAAATCGCAGGCGTGTCATTACATGGCGAGACTGTATTTTGATTGCTCACATTTGCGCAGGTCGGTTGAGCTGATGCGCGAGACGCTGAATGGTGAGACCAGCAAAAATTCACGGAAGTCACTTGCGACCCTCTGCCTGCTGCTGTATCGCTGTTTAGATGTGTTGCTCGTCCACCAAATGGAAGAGAGGGGGACGCTTCCCCTCACAAAAAGGTTCTTCCGACTTGATGACTTCCTCGCGCAAACAGTGGCGCGCTTCCAGGTATCGCACGCGAATGCAGTCAATCCCATAATGAATCGATGGAAGATTATGCTGTGCTCAGGGCGGTGCACGTCGAAAGAACCAGCGGCTGTCCATTGAAGGGTCTGTACCTGCTGTTCTTGTATATGCAGATGACCGCCGTTTAAGCCAAGCACTCGGTTGGCATATTCCCTGCATGCCTCCCTGCAAATGGTCTGAAGTGATGGCAGGTTTTCTTGTTAATTGTAGGCAATGGCATATCCAACAGCATCAAAGCCACTCCAACAGATGGCGAGATTATTGTCCGAGTGTCATCCACCGACTTCCCTCCTGGTGTCAGCAAGGCACGAGTGGAAAGAGATTACCCTGACCTAGCCTTGACGACCTTCACCTTTCAAGTATGAACGAGGACGAGACATGCAGAAGCTGCGCTGACGCCCCCTTTTCGTCCCGCAGATCACAGACAACGGTGTGGGCCTGTCAAAGGAGCAGCTGGATCGTCTGAATAGCTTCAACCCCTTCCAGACAGAAATGGACGCGAATGCCACTCTCGAGGAGGACAGCAGCGGCCTTGGCCTTGCCATTACCAACGAGGTGTGTCGGCGGCATCATGGATCATGCCATCTTTCGTCGCCCGGGAAAGGCAAAGGCACGACGTTCACCATCGAGACTCCATTGGAGAGTATTTTGGCGAGCGATGTCGAGAGACTCTCCGCCCGTCTGCGCAAGTCAATCGAGGACAACACCGCTCAAATGGTAAAACTTAGAGAGAGGACAGATATCAAAGCGGGCCAAAGCTATCAGGCAAGACCGTCGACAGATATAAGTCCGGCGTCGAGGCTTCGATTCAGTCTCGTGGATGAAAACGAAGTGAGTCGACAAGGTCTCTCACTGAGAACGAGTGGGCATCTTTTGTCCTCCCCTTCTTCCCCCGCTGTGTGTCTATGATCGTTGCAGGATTATGAATTCTTTATTGGCCACGGATCTGCCGCTGCCTCTCCCTGTTTAGCCAAGAGAAAAACGGGTCAAGGGACGGGAGCAAGGAACAGATCTCGTCCGCCAGCCAGCAGGCAGTCGGAATCGGGCGAGCAAATAGAGCCAATTTCCATTGACAAATCGGCGACGGCTGTAGCGGCCAATTTGCCGCTGCAGAAAGATGCGAAGATCCGCTGTCTATGTGTTGACGACGGTAAACGACGGTTACACACTTTCAACGAGACTGAAGGACGTTTGCGCTTTTCCACGTTCAGACGAACACTGCCTTGAAGCGACGTGTGAGAAAGAGAGGGCTTGATGCCCATTGATAAACGTCACCATGAATGCATGTCTCTGTATTCCTCCCTGACAGGTTTGCTGCTCAATTATGCTGTGCCGAGGATACAATTGACAGAGCCAACAATGGTCGCGAGGCGGTCGAGCTAGTGAAGCAAAAAGCATATGATGTCGTCTTGATGGACGTGTGCATGCCGATTATGAATGGGACTGGTAAAGAAGCACAAACGAGATACCCACCCGCATGAACACGTGGCTGAAAATGATGCAGAAGCGACCGAGAAGCTGAGGGCTCTTAGGTTTGCCGGCCGAGTAATCGGGCTTCCGGCTAACGTCATCAGCGAGGACCGACAGAAGATGGTGCAGGCAGGTGCGAATGAGGTGATCGCAAAGGGGAGTCTCAGCAAAGAGTTTGTGCGCGAGAGATTCACGACATACTTCCCGGATACACTCGCTACATGCCAGCGGGCACGCACAGGAAGCCTACTATCTACTCCAGCTCTACTGCCCACGCACACGGAAGAAGCGCCCCCAGAAGAAATATCCGCTCTGCCTCGTCTACCTGTGAAGAGGAGCACGAAGACGTCCTCCCAAATGCGACGACATGCATCGATAAAGACCGCCCTGCACCACACGGACAGGAGGAGTCACCGAGAGGCACAGAGAGAAGAGGAGCAGACGGTGCTTGTTGTCGACGATGACGAGACATGCCGCCAAGCCACAAGTCTGTTGCTGCAGTACTGCGGTCGTCGCTACAGGTTGCATGTCATCGAGGCTGCAGACGGCTTGGAGGGGCTGGAGATCGTCAAGAAGTCCCCACAGAAGCCTGATCTTATCTTTATGGATCTCTTGATGCCTCGAATGGACGGGCTAGAAGCCACCAAGGCCATTAGGGAGTCTGGCCATGCGGGCGCCATTCTTGGCTTGAGCGCCAAGTGAGCGATAGACGTGCACAGACCTACACACATTGATTGTCTTGTCTATTATCTATGTGTTTGTCCCTTTGCATGCATCAGTTTGTTGGAGGAAGATGTCGAACATCTGCTGAACGCTGGTGTTTCGGCCGTCATCGCCAAAGGCCAACGTACACTCACTCACACAACCAACACAGCCGGCTGCATACCCTTTCTTGACCGGTAATCTGTCTGTCTGTCTACTTCCCATTCAGTTACAAAACAAGTCATGACGGAGCTCCTGGACAAACATTTGAGTACCACCGCCGTACAGCCCTCTCAGCCGATGTCCAGCGAAAGCACGTCGCCAAGAACCAGCAAGGAGAAGGGCTCGCGTGCCTTGCTGCAAACGCTGCCGGAGACATCGGTTGACGAGGCTGCGTTGTCATGCACTACGTCGCGCAAGAAGCTTCTTCAGGCAGCCATGGTGTCCACCAACAAGGACGAACGAGGCTTTTCGCCCTCGTGCCCTCACTCCCCGCGATCCAATATTGAGCACCTGGCCACGCAAGAAAGGAAGGAGACGGTCTCAAAAGAAGAGGCGGCCGTTTTGAGTGTTCAAGCCGATGCGTCGATCAGCTCCCAGGAAGCGAGTGACGAAACGTCGATACGCAGCCAGAAAGGAGCGATGCCAGATGAGGAAACCTTGGACGACATTCACCACCAAATGACAGAGACAGACGTCAATCGCGACGTGTTCTTCGACCTCAAGCCTGTTTTTGTCCAGAAGATCATAGAGAGCGTCCACGCTCACAATCTGCGGAGCATGAGCCACCTATGGTAGGGTGTTGCGCTACATGCTGTATGTTATTGTGCTGTCCTTCTTGTGCAGGTGCTCGTCCAAACAGGAGATGATTACAAAATGGTGCCGCAAATGTGGTACGATGGCCGCCTCTTCAGCGACAGCCAAAGGCTGAACCCTTCAAGGACCTCTCCTGCAGACACCCTCAGTGATGGAGCTGTGTGGACACACCACAGGTTGGAGTTTCTGAAGCTCTCTTGATCAGCCTTTTTTTCGATTTCTGTTCATTGTGGTCACACAGGTTGTTGGAGAGTCTTTGCGCACGTTTCCGTGTTGTCAAGACGCGTGACGTGACGGAGACGATGGAGCACCTTCTGACAAACTTCTTGCCCGATTTGCTGGTCATTCTTTGCACGGTGCAGCCTCGAGGGCTTCCCGTTGGCTATGAGGCTCTGGCGTATCAGGCTAGGGAATACGACGACACCATCAAGACAGTCACTAAGGTGAGAGTTGGTGCCCGTTGCTCATCCATTCAAGTCTGTGTGTATGCAGATTCGGAAGTTTCTCCCACTGGACTTCTTCAGTCTTGTCGTCATATCCTCTGTCAGCTTAGCGGACGATGGAGAGCCTGCAACCAACGAGAGCAGTGGCACTTCTCTTCGTGGGGGCAGCGGCAGGCTGAATCTCGGAAGGATCTTTCAGTGCGGCGTCTCTGCCCACACTGCCATCGGTTCCCTCCCATATGGAGAGCAGGACGACTATGTACGTATCACATAGCAGAACAGACGCGTCTCTCGCATTTATCTGCTTTGTTTGCACTCAGATGGTAGTGTATGAGCAGCTGATGAGCCTGGTGCATCAGCAGAGGGCTCGCAATCGTCGGCTGGTGGCTGCCAATGCGCAAACCCAGGAGGCGCAAAATCTGCTGGCGAAGATACTGCCAATGGACATCATTCAGAGAATGCACGACGGAGAGCAGCTCATTGCGGACGCTCATCCAAGTGTCACAATCTTCTTCAGTGACATAGTTGGGTTTACTTCGATTACAAGCCAGGCAAGACGGGCACAGAGCCACTAGATGCGGCACGAGCAAGGCGAGGATAATAACCTACGTGGACCAATGCCATCAGGTCCCAACAGCCTCGATGGTGTTGTTTCTCAACAAGGTACGAAGCCGTCCTCATTGATCATCTTCCTCTCCTTTGCTGGTTGCCTCTCCCCGCGTTTACACGTGCAGCTCTTTGGCAAGATGGACTCGCTCTCGGACAAATATGGCTGCTACAAGGTCGAAACGATAGGAGACGCCTACATGTGCGCCAGCGGACACGACGGGAAGGCTGATCACGTCATATGCATGCTGAAGTTTGCAATCGCTGTGCAGCAGGAGGCTTCCAAGTGAGCAATCTCTGGCGCGGACCAGTGTACGAGACGAGGTGTCTTTGGACATGCTTGCTTTGCTGCTGTCGTGTCAGGATGAAACTTCCAAACGGAGAGCCTCTGAGGTTCTCCATTCCGAAGAGGGCTCATTCACACCGCCAAACTCTTCCAACTTTCGTGTCAGGATGCGAGTGGGGCTTCATACGGGCCCGGCTTTCACGGGTGTCGTCGGGCGCAAGTGTCCTCGCTTCTGTTTCTTTGGCGACACCGTGAACACGGCAGCGCGGATGGAGCAGACGGGGATGCCACAAGTGAGAGCCGAAGGTTCATCAAGTGGATGGGGAGAGGTCACTTCTCATCTCGTCGTGTTATCTTTGTGCAGTGTATCCATATCAGCGCTCGCCTTCGTAACGGTCTAAGAGACATACATGACAAGCGCCCACAGACCGTGAAGGCAGCGCCACCCGACAAGACGCGTCAGAGAAGAGCGAGCGTCGACAGCGACAATCCTTCAGACGGATCCTTGCAAGTGACGTCGCCGGCAGCCAACAGGTCGTCACCAGGTGAAGACGCTATGCAGAGTGAGACACTGCACTAATTCAGCGCGGGAGGATCAGAGTCAAGGGGAAACCAGCAATGTGGACATACTTTGTCAATTATAAGGGCTGTCCGCAGAATCTGGCCGAGATGTGCAGAGAAGCTCGTGATGGAGGGGATCTCCACACGCCAACTTTCTATGGAACGCCGACACCAGAAAAGAGTGATCGCGCGGTAAGCGGGATAGTCACACTGATGTACAGAGACATGCAACTAAGGCTCACTGCCTGCCTCACTTGTGTATGCATGGCTATCAATCCTAAGCCCTCACCCATCCCATCCCTGATCCTTGAGGGCCCGCGGACCAAGTCGATGGCTGAGCCCTGTGTCAACGTGCTTCCACCGGCATCCAGCCCCCCAGTGATCCCCCAGCCCAGCCCAGCGCCAACAACCGCGGAGGGAAATGCTCCTATTGCACTGGACAAAACAAAGTCCCTCGACATCCCTCAGGACGTCCTTTTGGAGAGGAGGGCTCAACCCCCCGCTGAGGCGGGGTCCCGAGAAGAGCAAGATGACAAAGACAAGACTCGGGAGACGCTTGATGAGAGGCACGCAGCCGACCTGCCAGCGGAAGACAAGCCGGAGACCGACAAGGCGCTTGACGGCTTGGCAGCTTCCTTTTCCAGACCACCCCTCTCCAGCGCAGCGTCCTCCTCAGACCAGCTCTCCCGAGAGCGAACAGGATCGATACTCAACTACAGCGAGCGCGCAGTGCTTCATCAGTCCTTCATATCAGCCTCTACCAGCAGCACTCTCCACCTGGCGCAACCTGGGAAGCGACACCCTCCATTTGGCATCTCGCGTCTGCTGCATCTGTTTGGGGGAGACGAGAAGGGTGGCAACAGCGTCTTCTGTGGGCTTGCTGAGGGGGAGCTTCTACGGGTGTTGAAGGGGCTGTCGGATGAGACACTGTTGAAAGGGGTTGTCCTTCTGGCCAAGGCGCAGCAGCAGGCAGATGCGCTTATGATCGAGCAACTCTCGCAAAAGGTGAGCAAGGGCGAACACATGCAAAGAGAAGGAGACATGATTTGCCGCATCTTTGTGTCTCCATGCAGCTCAAGGCAGCTCACGACCGCGTCGATGCGCTGGAGGCGAGCGACATTGACCTCCGCCGGACCATCGCCTCGCTTCAGATCCTCACTCAGCTATGCCGCGCTCAGCTGCAGGCCGCTGCATTAGCTTCGTCGGCGAGTGGTGTCTCCTCTTCTGAGGACCAGGACGAGGCAGCCAAGGGCGGCTTCAATGAGCTGGAGCACCCCACATGGCTCACTTTCTGATACGTACATACGAGTGTAGACGACAGCAAGTGCGTGACTAGACGGACAGTGCATGGTAGAGACAGCACTATTTTTGGATGCAGTCCGCGTCTCGGCAGCGTGAAGAGCCCGCCAAGTGCAGTGTAGTTCAGTATAGTATCGTGTAGCCGGTGATATGTATTTGGGTCGGGCGTAACGTCGTGGCGTAGCGGCCCCGTCGCCTCTGTTGATACCGCAGAGATGCATTATCAGTGCATACCCATTGATACAGGTCCGTTTTGTGACCTTTCTGGTGCTCATGGGGGTCTTCGCGCGAATGTCAAGGTCTGAACTTGCGCTTTTGAGGCGTCAAGCCGCTGGACTTGTACGACTCCCACCCGGGGGGAGATCAGTCCGAGGAATGACAATTCATCGTCACAGCATTGTTCACATGAATGAATACAGAAACACGTGTGTCACTCGTGTTAGCTAATATAGCACTCTCTTCATATTGTACCACAGCAGCACGGCTCGTCTCATGCCCTGACCCATGAGGAATGAGTCGTGTGGACAGCTTATGCGCATGCACTCTGGGAACCATTCCGACCTGACTCATGCACCATCAGGGCGGCGAGAAACAAGCGACAGCACACTGAATGAGCAAGCGGGCGTACAAGAGGCAAGTCAAGTCAGACCTATACACTCATCTAAGTCACTCGCCCGCCCCAAACCCCACCTCTACAAGTGCCTTCTCCTCTTCGCCCCCATCCACAGCAGCAGCAGCAGCAGCAGCAGCGACGGCACTGTCTTCCGTCTTGTTGCTGCTGCCTCTCTTGCGGCTCTTCTTCTTCTTGATAGACACACCGCCCGCATAGTTGGATGAAGGGGTAGGGGCGGCACCGCTCCCCGCTGCTGCTGTGCCGCTGCTGGCTGGCTGCGGCTGGGATGCAGCCGTGCTGTCAGCAGTGGACTGGGAGAGGCCGTAACAGAAAGGGGCGGGGGCGATAGGCGGCATCAGTCTGGTCGAGAAGTTGGCCCGCAGCCCCTCCAAGAGATAGTCGCGATGGATGGGGTGGCCCCGATGCTGCTCGAATGTGGACAGGGCGTTGTCGAGGGTCATGTTGCATCGCAGGCACAGGTAAGAGACGACGAAGTAGCCGGTCCGGTTGACCCCATGTGTGCAGTGGATGGCGATGACGCACGGGGAGGGGCTGTTGCTGGCCGTCCAATCCCGGCGGATGCTGTCGACCATCACACAGAACGCCTCTGTGTCCCCTCGGCTGGGGGTCTCCCTGCCCTTGACGGCCATCTTGTGATGCTTCACACCACTGTCCTCGAACGTACATGCATCATAATATCTGCACCGCCACACGCAGACACGAAAATGGGGGATGTCCTTATCGCCCTGTGGACATCTTCCTTCTTACCTCTTGGTGTCGCAGAGGTCGATGATGGCCGAGAGAGGCGCGACAGAGGAAGCCATGTGTTTTATGAGGTCCGCGGGATAGAATCGGTCGTCGTAAGCAGGAATAGCCTGGTCGAAGGTCTTCTTGAGTGGCACCTTGTGCGGCACCATGAAGGCACCATCACGCCCTTCCCCTTGCATCCGCAGCAGCCTGATGGGTGTGCCCACCTTGGTGTACCGCAGCCAGCCAGTTATCATGCTCTCGCCTGCACAGAGGGCATTCAACGCACAGCAAGGCAAGCAGTGGGACACGCGTGACGCTCTGATGTAAGTGCCGACCCGACACTTGCCTCTATCTCCGTGGGTGTGCGAAGGCCTTCCTCTTCCTCTTCCTCTTCCACCGCGCCCCCTCCCTCCCTCCCAGCCTCTCCACCCACCCCGTCCCCTGTCGTGTGCGTCACGATGGTCCTGACGCTGATAGGGATCACGCGAGAAGAAGGCCATCCGGTCATACAAATCACCGGAGTGTGAGCCTGGGTGAGGTGCGTAGGGATCAGGTGGATATTGGGGAGGATAATGCGGAGGATAATGATAAGGTGGTGGCTGCTGATGGCCTTGCCATGGCGCGCCGTCCTCAGTCATCGTTTTCCTCTTCAAGCGACTTAGCTCGCACCGGGATTTAGGATCACATGAAACCGCTCCCTCTGATTTAGGGTCACGGAACGAATGCGTTCACATCTGCCCGTGGTTCTCTTGACTAATGGTGAAGCACAAAGGCGGCGGGAGTGCAGCCCGCTACAACGCCACTGCATCCAAGCCGTCGCCTGCAGATGATGATATTGTGGTTTTCAGCAAAGGCGGCGGGAAGAGTGGCGGCGACAAGAAGGTGACTGAGTGTTCAGCACACCCAGACGCACAGCTGACATGAAGAAAACATGGCAGATCTTACTGACTGTTTCTGTGTGCTACGCTGCTTCTGCAGGAGCGTGATGTGCCAGCCAAGCCGAAGCCACCATTGCCCGAGAAGCGCGTCCACGAGAAATGGCCAAAGCAGCTGCTGCACGAGATGTGTCAAAAGACGAAGCGTCCGAACCCACAGGTACACAACCTTCCTTGCTTGACACACCCGTCTCGCTGCATGCGTGTGTGCGTGTGTGTGTGCGTGTGTGCGTGTGTGTGTGTGTGTGTTCTCTCTGCAGTACCAGATGCGCAAGTCGCCGCCAGGTCAGTTCTGCATCGAGTGTGTGCTGACCAACCCCAAGGACAGGGAGAAGACTGAGCGATTCCGGCCTGAGGAGGCATACGATGACAAGTTCGATGCTGAGAACTGCGCCGCCCTGCTGGCCTTGGTACGCGACGCACGCGCACACAAGTAACCGCCGCGCATCAAGGTGCCTTTGTCTGCTGTGTGTGGGTGTCCCCAACCCAAACAGCATCACTACAAAAGCGACATCCCTCTCGAGCGGCTTCTGCCCGAGCGCTACCGGCCTCTCTGGCTGCAGCTTATCGGAGCGACTCAGCAAAGCCAGCCGAGCGGCGGTGGGCCGAGGCAAGAGGGGCAGCCGGCAGACGAGAGCAAGGCCAAGGGGAAGAAGGGTTGGGCCAAGGCAGCCAGTGCCATCGCAACAGGCAACGGTGCTGCTGCTGCTGCTGGTGCCGGTCCTCCCTCCTCTGCCAGTCAGCCGAGCGATGCAGCGCCTGACCCACCGGCCCGTCCCGCCCTCCCTGCGCAGCTGACAAGGGCCAACAAGCACGTGTCTGAGTATACGCGTCAGCAGCACGCGGCAAAGCGGGATGCTGAGAGAAAGAGAGGTGCCCGAGATCGAGAGACCGCCATCTATCACCGGGAGAGTGGTCGAGCAAGGGTACAGATGAGCTCGACCGTGCGGCAGCGTGTGAGGCAGCTGCTACAACAGCTGCTGCCCGGCCGCGGAGATCTGGTGCAGCCCGTCTTGACGCTGCCAGCCCCTCAAATCCGATCGAGACTCGCCCACGACCCCCGCGCTCTGGCAGCCGTGCGACAGCGGCTCTCCTCTTTCGGCTTTGATGCCTCCCAAGTAGAGATGGCCATCACATACGTCACGGAAGGGGTGGAGGACTGCGGCGCTCAAGGGCGGAGGGAGCGTCTCTCGGAGAGGGCGCTGGGTGTGGCTATGGACGCGTGTGTGGACTTTCTGGTGATGAACGTGGCCGAGAGTGCTGTTCCTGCGTCGTTCAATCCCCACGGCAAGTCGGTAGAGGTGGTCCTGGCCGGCAACGAAGATGTGGAGCTGCGGACATCCGATGAAGACGGCGAAGACGAGAGGGATGGAGGCGAGGATACGGATCTCGATGTGCCCGCCTTCCTGGCCAGCGTGGCTTCTGCGGCCCTTCCCTCAACCCAGGAGCTGTCGCTCAGCTGCGACTCGTTGCTCATCTCCGTCCTGCCAGCGGCGAGTGGCGACCAGCCGACCCCTGCAACTGTCCATATGGGGCTGTTCCGCTCTCTCGTCGGTAGCCTAGGTCTTTGGGGGTGGGTCGAGCCGGCAGTGAAGGAGTGGGAGGACCGTGGCAGACAGAATGACGTCCTTGGCCTGATTTGGAGCATGTACAGAGACGCGGTGCTCGAGGCGGCGTCGCGCATCAGCGGACACAATCTTGTGGATGTTTATGTGACTCCCGGCCCTGCGTGCCCCCCGCCAGAAGACGAGCCACTGGTGCTCGATTCCATGTATCCTGAGTCTGTCTTCACGCCGCTCCCCAGCGAATCTGACCCTTCACCCTCCCCCCTCCCTGCCGAAGGCTTCCCGGTCTCCGATGGGTTCCATTGGGTGGTCCGGATTCCCGACCTTCACAACAGCTCCCACGTCCTATGGCTTCATCTGTTATCCCCTCCCCACGCACCCTACCCCTCCACCCCTCATCTCGCGTGGGTCAGCAACCGGCGTGGCCTCTCCCTCGACTCTGTCAGCCACCCTGAGAGCGAGGAGGCTTTACGGGCAACTGGCGAGAATCTGCGGCTGACTGTGGGGATGCTCGCTGACATGGCCGCACAGCTGGACGGACAGGGGGAGACGGCGTACGGCGAGGGTCACGGCATAGCGATGGCGACGTGGCTGGCTGAGTCGGCACAGGCCGTGGTGCACGAGGCATTCCCGCAGAGAGGGGAAGCGTATTTGCGAGACACCTGGAGGGCGGGGGTCGGATTCATGTCGACTGACGACGTGGGGACGAGCACCGCGGACGGCGAGGCAGAGCGGAGATCATGTCATGAGAATGAGCCACCTGCGGCGAACCGTGAGCCGGCGGGCATGGACCAAGGCCAGGCATCGGAATCTCGGGAGCCCCCACGAGAGCCGTCAAGCCGTCCAGGAGTGCCACTCAGGAACGAGCTGACAGCGTCGATCAGGGAGCGAGTGACAAAGGGCATGACCACTCAGGTGACCAGGACGGCTATGCAGCGTCTCAACACGCGCAAGAGGGCCGCAGAAATAGTCACTCTGCTGGAGGGGCAGCGGGGGGAGGCAGGTCATGGCAGCCGCGTTCTCGTGCTGCAGGTAATTAATTGAGTATGGTCGCACTCACTGGTGTGCATAGAGAGAGGCATTTCTGTTTGTCGCTCTCGCAGGGTGAAACCGGGTGTGGCAAGACGACACAAGTGCCTCGATTGCTTCTGGAGGAGGCCGTCACTCGAGGATCGTCCGATGCCCTCATCCTGTGCACACAGCCGAGACGAATCGCCGCCATCTCCGTGGCCGACCGGGTCGCCTTCGAGACGGGTACGTACCTGTGTGGCTGGGGAGGGAGCCAAACAGGTGATGAATAGGTGCTGTCATGGGGGGTATGGGTGTGTCAGGCTGCGACGTCGGTGATGTGGTCGGGTACCAAGTGCGGCTGCAGAGGCTGGCTGGCGATCAGACGCGGCTTCTCTACTGCACCAATGGCATCCTACTCAGGTGGATGACCACCGACAGGGCGCTTCGGGGGGTGACACACGTGGTGCTTGACGAAGTGCATGAGCGGTCAGTGGAGATCGATCTGCTCTTGCTTCTCCTCGCCAAGGCACTCCACCTCAACCCACAAGTAGGCTAGCTAGCTGGCTGATCATGATGACACACACGCACACACAGCCGACTCGACTCGACTTACACCTCACTCTCTAATTCCCTTGGTCTGTCTCCCCGGTCAGCTCAAGGTGTGTGTCATGTCCGCCTCCCTCGCGCCAGATCTCTTCGTCAACTACTTCAAGCGATGCGGCCACTCCACTGCCTCCCTCATCATCACTGGGCGAAAATTCGAGGTCACCCACCACCACGCTGACGACATCAAAAGGATGCTCTACGGCGAGACGGGAGACGACACACCAGAAGGAGCACAGGCGGAGGATCACGCCCACAGAGACGACACATGGGAGGAGCCGCCAGATGCCTGGAGTGAGACGGGGAGTGGCAGTGGCACTGGCAGCTCGGATGAGTCAGCGAGCGACGAGCAGCCGAACAGGCCACGAGGGAGGGAGAGGCCTGCAGTGCCGAAGCCCACATCGGGCAAGGGTCCCGCCACCAGTCGAGACCCCAGGCAGGTGTTCGGCAGCCACAACGTGCTCGGCGTCATACGCGACTGCGTGTCGTGGGTTCATGAGCGTCACCCGATCGAGGCGGCTGTGCTGATCTTCGTGGCTGGCATACAGGACATCACGGCGGTGTGTCGACACCTGAGGGCGGCGGATGGGGGCTTCCATGTTTTGCCCTGCCACGGCAGCCTCCCGCCAGAACAAATGAGGCAGGTGCGGTGGGCAGAGAGAACAGCATACATAAGACACACAAATGCAATCAATACGGCGCATGCCATTCGCCTTGTGTTGTGTGGTGTCCGTCCGTCGGTCCCTTGCTCTCTGCTGTCAGGTCTTTGTGCCCCCTCCCAAAGGTCGTCGAAAGATCGTAGTGGCCACCAACGTCGCCGAGACCTCCATCACTATCGAAGACGTGCGGGCTGTCATCGACTCGGGACGGCAGAAGCAGATGCAGTGGGACGCCGTCCGGCGGATGGCCTCGCTCAAGGAGACCTGGGTCTCACAGGCATCTGCCATCCAGAGAGCTGGCCGAGCGGGGCGCGTTGCTGAGGGCGTGTGCTTCAGGCTATACTCGCGGGAGGATTATCGACAGTTCGATGAGTACGAGGCCCCCGAGCTGCATCGTCTGAGTCTGGAAAACACATGTTTGACTCTCAAGGTGAGTGACAAAGACGCGTGACACGACCCACACACGACCAATAATCACTTCTCCCTCTGTGGTGTCATTGTTAGACCATCTTCCCGAAGGTGGGCCTCTCGTCCCTTCTCAGCGAGTGCCTCGAGCCTCCTAGCGACATCAGCGTCAGCGCAGCCATCGGCTCACTCAAGGCGCTTCGTGCCCTCGAAGATCTCGATGTGGATGAGGGCGGGGCAGCCGAGAGGCCGCCCAACGAGCGCCTCACGCCTTTGGGAGCAGTGATGGGTCAGCTGCCAATGGACGTCAGACTGGCCAAGATGCTGGCATTCGGCGCATTGTTCGACTGCCTGCCGCCACTGCTGACCATCGTTGCACTGATGTCGTGTGAGGACCCCTTCCTGTCGCCCCCCGACCGACGTGAAGACGCCAATCGGAGCAGACAGGTGGGGGAGTTGAAGGAGATAAGCGCAACATACGTACCGCACCTCACAGATGTGGTATTGTATGCTCTGTGGTTTGATTGCCGTCCGTGCACGGCCGTGCAGGTCTTCTCCAACAACCAGTGCGACTTCATGACCAAGGTCCGGGCGTACAGCTGCTGGGTCAAGGAGCACCGCAGGGGCCGTCAGGAGGAGGCCAGGTTCTGCGATGCCTTCTTCATCAGCAGTCAGCGCATCAACACCATCCACGACCTCCGCCGCAACTTCGCCATCCAGATCGCCGCAAGCGGCCTTCTCTCCTCGCGGCCGCACCACACACGCAGGGCAGCGAGTGGTCATGATGTGGAGGGCGACCCAGAGGAAGACGACCAGTTGGCGGATCTAGGGCTGGAGGAGCCGGAGCAAGACGTGGACACGGCCACTGGGGGAGCGGGGGAAGAGACGACGAGAGAGCGCATCGCCGCATCGCTGGTCAAGGCATGTGTCGCTGCCGGACTGTATCCCAATTTCGCGTGGGTAAAGAACCCGCCTCCAAAATATCAGGTGAATGAATTACCCTGCGTGCGTGCGTTTGTGCGTCTTGTGCATCCTGCTCCCACTTGTCTCGCTGCGCCCATTTGTCTATGCGCGTGTGTGTGTGCACAGGAAGGAACGTCTGGCACCATTCGAAAGGCCCCATCTGCAAAGGAGCTCAAGTTCTACTGCCGGCCGGTGGACCTCAATCCCTCATCGAAGGCACCCTCTCCCCCGCCCGAGCTGCCGCTGAATCGCGTGTTCATCCACCCGTCATCTGTCAACTTCCACGAGGGCAGCTTCCACACACAGTGGCTGGCCTATCTGGACCTCGTCGAGACCACCAAGCCTTTTGTGAGGACCACCTCTTCCGTGTCTGTCTTCTCCCTCCTGCTCATGATCGGCGCTCGTCTGCGCATTGGCCCTGCCCGCGAGCCGCCCCCGTTTCTCAAGCAGTCCAAGAGCTACAGGTCCTTCCGCCATCTGTTCGAGTGCACCCAGCTTCTGGTGGACGAATGGCTGCAGCTGAGATGTCCCGGCGTCATCGGAGTCTATGTGCGGCTGCTCAAGGAGCTGCTGCAGGCCGCCCTACAGTCCCACTTCGCACGGATGCTTGGCAGGACGGGTGTGCCGACGAGTGGGTCGGACGGTGCCTGTGTTGCATGCTGCCCTGCTGTGCAGAGGAGGATCTTGGATGTGGTGGAGGGTTTGGTGGGGAGTGAGGGACATCGGCTGTTGTAGGCAGGCAGAGATGTGTCATGGGAGACGAGCAAGGTTGCCGTCCAGTGCAAATGCATAAATGAAATCGCATCAATTGGTCGCCTGGGGCTCAGGGTTTAGGGTATAGGGTATAGGGTGTAGGGTACAAACCCGACGACACCGAGATCTCGTCCCAGACGCCAAGCCGCATAGGAATCTGATGTGGTTCGTTTCCGTCACCGTCGTACTGTCTGTCGAGGCGCTGTCCATCAGCGCTTTCCGACATGCCGTCCGCAGCCATGTAGGACCACACTGGTGCACTCACGAGGCCAGATCTCCCCTAACACATTCATCCCATGACTTGCTTCGTCCTCTGTGATGTCCGTGTTGGTGCTCAGGGAAGCTCAGCGTTTCTGCAGACGGCTTTGCCCACTGCTCGCTCCCATGGTGTGCGCCGCAGATTCATGAGTCCATCTGCAAGGCATCAGCGGTCGGTGATGCAGTCGATGGTCACACCCGTGGCTGAGGCAGAGGGGTTCGGGAGCAGCCCGACGACTCAGAAGAAAGACGTATGCGTCTCAGAGGGGCGGGGAAGGGCCGTACTCGGTGTCGTGAGTGGGTCACATGCCGGTCGGTTCGGTGTGTGTGGTGTTTGTTGACCGATCAGGAGACGTACATCGCTGACATTCAGCTGACGGAGGAGAGCGACAGGGTCATCATCGCATCGGTCATACTCAACGGCGACTACACTAAAAGGGTCAGTCGGTACATATGGATGGATGGCGGAAACACAAACAAGACTGGCTGGGTAGATCTGATTTATGCACAGGGCAGGCCGCATTCCTCCTCTGTGGGTGTGTGGGTGTGTGGTGTCCGTCAGTTGTGGGAGGACGTGTTGACTGACTTGAAGCGTCAGGCGCCCGAAACCTGGATAAACTCATTCGGCCGAAGAGCGCTCACCAATGAGTTCCTGCTGCAGACTGTCGGCGAGGTCAGCGCGCTGCACGGCGTCCCAACCACTACACACTCACATCCCCATGTCACCTGTCTCTTCTGTTGTCCAGGACGAGCTGCGTGGCTTGTGTCTGGGTGTGCTTGAGGGCCGCGTGGCCCAGCAGGTGCAGGCCGAGAAGGGTGTCACGCTGGCCGGCATCCCTCGACTCATCGGAGACCCCATGGCCGCCAAACGGGCTTTCAAGCCAGGCCAGCCCTTTGCTTGCGACGTGAGCAATCGGGCCAGCCGAACACGCACACCTCAACAAACGTTTCGTTTTGGTGTTGCGCTGTTGTCACCTTCCTTCTCTCAGCTGGAGCTATCTCGCGCGCCACGTCCAGCGTGGACGACCGCAGCGGCGTACCGAGGTCTGAGGATTGACATCGAGCGGCCGCCTTTCGACAGGCAGGCCAAGTCTGAGCAGGTGACGCAGCTGCTGCGTGAGAACTTCGCCGAGAAGAGGCGGCTGCCGGTCGACGGCAAGCGGGCCGCCAGGAAGGGCGACATGGTGGTGGTGTCGATCGAGGGATATGTGCTGCCCCCGGACACTCTGACGTCACGGACACTTGCAGAGCCGCTGCCACGGGAGATGGGCATCGATGGCCAGGTCAGTCAGTGTGACTATAGGCCAGGCCACATGTGCCACCTGTGCCCAGATCGTTGTTTGTTTTGGATGTGTGTGTTCTCTTCTCTCTCCTTCATCAGCGTATGGAGGTGGTGCTGCAGGCGGGTCGCTACGCGGCAGGTCTGGTGGAGGGCATCATCGGCATCTACGAGGGCGAGAGCAAGGAGGTCGAGCTCAAGTTCACTCACCGAGAGGCGGACTCATTCGAAATGGCACGGATGATCGACAAAGTCGCCATACTCAACGTCACCTGCCACGAGGTACGTCGGGAGCAGACACACACACACACACACACACACAGAGGCAACCAGGCGGCACACGGCAAGTGTGCTGGCCGTGCCGTCTGGTCAGATTTACGAGGTGCTTTTGCCCCCTCTGGATGAGAATTTCGCCAAGCGGCTGGGCCTACCTGGTCTGAGGCAGCTGGTGGAACAGGTGCAGATGGCTGCGGCCAGGGAGTACGAGCACACGATGCTCGCAAAGAGGAACGCTCTCCTGGTGAGTTTGATGAAATGAAGGAATGGACGGATGGGTGGACGGATGGTGCAAACGAACGAGTCTTGGTTGTCAGGGCGAGGCATTGCTCAAGGCATCAGACTTCGAGCTGCCAACCGCGCTGGTGGATCAAGAGGTCCGTCCCCCACACACGCACGCCCACATGGATCCACATGGATGGGTGTGCTAATCTGTGTGTGTGTGGGTGTGTGTCCGTCTCTCTCCATCCATTTGTCAGGTGCGCAAGGTGTTTGAGCAGCAGCTGCTGTCCAAGTACCGCACGCCCCAGGAGCTGGAGCGTGCCGAGCAGGAGTTCCCCCTCTTCGACAAGGCTGAAAGGGACGACATCGCCAAGGAGCTCAAGCTCAGGTACATCCTGGCCGACGTGGTGGACAAGGAGGGAATCACCATCCCCGACGACGAGCTGGACAGGCAGTACCAGCTCTACAAACAGGTGCGTCTGTGCGTCCGTCATGCACTGAGAGAGGGGGAGGCGTGTTTGTGTCTTTTCATGTGTGTCTCTGTGTGTGTGTGTGTGTGTGAGCAGTATGCCCAGTCCCAAGAGGCCTCTCGTCCGGATGACTTCAAGACGTCCATGTCTTTGGACGACACCATGCAGAAGCAGAACCTCAAGCTCACCATGCTGCAGAACATGGCCTTTGACGCCGTCGCCAAGGTCAGCTCAATCGTCGTCACCGACGCGCCACCGCCCAAGAAACACAGCTTCTACAAACCCAACGAGGAGGAGCAGTACCAGCTGCGGAGGGCGGGGGTGGGCAACCCGTACGCATCAGCTCTGCTAAGCGGCTGAGCCAGTCAGTGAGGGATACAAATCCACATGGCTGGATGGATGGAGGGTTTAAGCAGTAAGAACGTTCTAAGGCAAATAAGTGCGTGGGCGTAGGAAGGTTTTCTGGTGTGGTGTTCGCTGTGTCGCATATCCGCTATGGCTACCGCCAGACGGTGTGTGGATGGTTTGCTGCGGGGTTTGAGGGGTGTTTTACATTTCTCGGTGTGACGGCACGCTGTAGATAGAGAGACAGACAGACAGGAGGTATTTACACCAGTGGTGACAGACAGACACATTATCGCAGTCAACGACAAGGGCACAGTGTTCACCCACATGGTCGGCAAGACCCCACAGGATGAAAACACCTCTAGCGAGACGCATGCATGTCTTCGCTTCCCACATCTGTCAGCGAAACCAACCCACCAAGGTTCATTGTCAGACAATGCCTGCCACCAAGAGGACACTGGTCGCTTCGTGAGTCCACACATCAGCCAACACCGACCCCTCGACACTCCCCTCTCTGAGCTCATATGATTTTGCCGCCCTTCCTGGCGATGTCCTCCACCCCACCCACGTCGTTGATGAACGACCGCAACTCGCTCACCAGCGACGGCGGCCACCGTCGGATCTCGCTCACCCAGTCCAGCTGAGTATACCTGACAGACGCACACACGCACACGCACACGCACACGCACACGCAGACGATCCAAACCCGCAGATGGACACAGCACTTCGTCTGTATGTCACCTCCTGCATCCTGATTCGATTCTCGTGCACGCGAATTGCCACTCCTTGAGGGCTCCCGGCAGGTCGTTTTCGCTGTATGCGTGTGCCGCCAGCGCGACATGCATGTCGGTGTAGGCAGGCTGCCGCCGCACGATCTGACGCATCACCTTTACGGCATCATCTCGTCTGCCCGTCTCGTAGAGAGCCAGGGCGAAGTTGGCCCTCGCATCCGTCGCGCGAGCATCGTCTCGCCTGTGCGACACCAACCACAGACACACCAGGTCAGCTGTCGTTGCCATGAGTGTGGCTGCTGCTTACAGCGAGAGAAAGAGGTCGTCCGCCGCCTTGTAGTCGACGAGGGCATCGTCATAGTTGCCAAGCCGTGAGAGGGCGTTGGCTCGGAAGACTAGAACAAACGGGTTGATGCCCTCCCCCCTGCCGCCGCCCCATAACGAGATGGCTTTGCTGTAGTCCTTGACGGCGGCATCCCAATCTGCCAGGCCCTCGTACGTCAGACCCCTCTGCACAAAGGCGTCTGGGTACTCCTGCACACACATGCCATAGTAAGGCAATTTGATGGCATGGCCATTCTCTGTGTGTGTTGGCATGTATATGCCGACCTGGTACCGCGCGATGCCCTGGTCGTTCTCGCCATCGGTTTTCATGAGGTCGATGGCCCTGTTGTAGTCCTCCAGCCCCTCGGCGAACCGCTTGCTGTCCACACGCACGTTCCCCCGCACCTTGTACAGCGTCGCCAGCTCGTCGCGGCCCCCCTTGCGGCCTCCACGGTACAGACTCTCCCACTTGTCGATGGCGCGCGAAAAGAACCGATCCGCCCTGTCGAAGTCCTGTGCAGACGTGATAGGCTGTCTGTGTGGTGGATGCGCAAGTGTGGCGTTGATGAAGGCGTACGTACCTACCTTTGCGTCAAAGTACTTGAAGGCTTCTTGTACCGTCTGGATGTCTTTCGAAGAGGGCTCAAGCGACGATGCGGACCCTGGACAGACAGATCAGTAACATAACCCGCCAGTGAAGCTTACTACAGACAAACAAACGCACATACCTGCCTCTGCAGTGTCCTCTGCTGCTGCATCTGCGGTACGCTGCAACACAGTCACAAAGAGCAGGCAGGCACTGTCGTTGCGTTGGTTGCGTGGTCATCTGTCTGTGTGCGCATTCGGTTCGCTGCCGGTACCTCTGCAAGTGGGAAGGCAAGCAGCAGGGCGCCTGCAAATGATGTAAGGCGCTCTCGACGCTTTGCAGGCCTCTCCAGCAGCGCGGGATCTAGCGCGGCACGGCTGTGCAGCCCTGAAAGAGAGTCCCGATGCCGCTGCTCTGATGTGGTCCGTCTTGGTGACAAAGGAAGATTTGAGGGGAGATGGAAGCCAGCCACTGCTGTGGCAGACAGAAGAGCAGACAGTGCACTCATCATCTTCGACCCATGGGTAGTTGCGAGCTTAGCTCCGACAGCTGCCACTTGCCATTGCGGAGGCCACCGAAGGTGGCCGGAGCGCCGACGGTGGGTCAGTCAAATGGCCTAGAATTAGAAATGGCCTGCTCGTGCCGCATCTGGAAGATCATGGATCCATCTTCAGTGCTGCTTCCCCTCTGGGCGTACTTTCTCTGCGCCCTGACTTGTGCTGACGCCGCCGGGTTCATCCACTCATCGCCATTGCGGCTGCGGCAGCTCACCAGGGCCAATGCGGTATCGACAGCCACCGGGAGGAGCGAGGCGGCGATTGGGTGGGGCAACCCGGATGGAGTGACGCTGCGGGAGGTGACGGACAACGTGTGGGAGGCCAACCGGCCATTTCTGTGGAACACCATCGACGTGGGATCTCGCATGGTGCTCATCCGGCTCAAAGGTGCGTCCTCGCCTCAAGAGCAGAGGACACACACTGCATTGGTGTCTGTCGTGCGTGTGTGGGTGTGCGTGGCAGATGGCAGCCTCTGGGCGCATTCCCCCGTCAACCTGGGTAAGGTAGTACAAGCGTAGGCCGCAACGCGCCCATAGTGCGAACTGACTGACTCGCCCGTCTATTGTGCTGCATCTGTCAGACATCCCCACCAGGGCGGAGGTGGACGCACTCGGTCCGGTCAAGCACATCGTGTCACCCAATTTCGAGCACCTCAAGTATGGCCCTCTGTGGGGCCAGGCGTACCCCGATGCAGTGACGTATGGGTGCCCCGGGTTGATGGCCCGCGAGCCGTGGTGTATGCAGGAAGTGGCCAACGATCCACCTGACAGGTGCGGTGCGTGAGGAGGCGAGCCGGCATCGTCATTCATTGTGTGTATGGTATGGTGTGTGCAGCTGGCTGGATGAGTTTGAGTGTTGCTTCATCGACTGTGAGCAAAATCCTTTCACTAGGAAATCCTTCTTCAACGAGGTTGGTGTGGGGATTGCAATGATGTGCACCATGCGTGTCAGCCACACGAGTGCGTATCTCTCTGTCTGCAGGTGGTGTTTTTCCACAAGCCGAGCAAGACCCTTATCACATCAGAGTACGTGAGCAACGCCGCCACAGCACCCAATCAATCACATATCATCCACTGCTGTGTCCGTGTGTGTGTGTGTGTGTGCGTGTGTGTCGTTGACGGCAGCTTCTACTGGAATTATCCCTCCACAAGTCCCTCTCGCCCCATCCCCCAATCCACCAGGCTATGGAAATTCGGAATGGACAGGGTGAGTCGACAGTCTGAGCCACTCTCTCCCACTGCATATGTGTGTCGTGTTTGCGTGTCGTGTTTGCAGGTGTACTTGCCCTTCTACAAGAGGCTGATGATAACCGACAAGGGCCGGTTCAACGAGCTGGTTGAGCGCGTGTTGGGTTGGCGGGCGGAGCGGATCATCCCCTGCCACGGCAGCATTGTGGAGGGGCGGGATGCGTGTGAGGCAGAGATCAGGAGGCAGACTGGACTGACTGACTGATGGATGAATGACCCGATGTGGTCATGCACGTCAAGATCTCTGGGTGGGTGTACGCCTCTTCAACGAATTGACAGCGCGCATGCAGTGGAAAGTCAAACGTGGTGGGTACTTCAAGGGTCCAAATGAGCAAAAATGCTGTGGGGGGAGGGGTGGGTGGAAAGAGAGCCACACAACAGGGTGGGTGAAGGCACACACAACACGCACACACACACACACACACACAGGCGTGCTTACCCAAACGCAACATGCACACGCCACGCTGTGTGATTAGAAAATAGGCGGCCATGTCAGTCAGAAAACCCCCAAATCAATCCACCCCACTGCGTCTGTCTGTCTGTCTGTCTGTCTGTGTACACTAGAAAAGCCCGCCGGGTCTGGATGCTATGTGTCTTGCTAAGTTGGAGAGGGTAGGTGTTGTTGGGTGAGCACAGGGAGGGCATTAGTTGAGAGGGAGTGGCGTGGCGTGGTTTTGGGAGTTGGGCATTGGGCGGTAGGGTGGGCGGGCTGGTTAGTTACTTCTTGCCCTTGCCCTTGCCCTTGCCCTTGCCTGCAATACATCCACCAAGGAGACATCACGCACAGAGAAGGAGAGAGGCAGATGCGCTTGTGGTGTTTGCATGGCTGGTCTCTGTCTTTTGTGCCCTCACCCTTTTTGCCCTTGCCCTTCTTGCCCTTGCCCTTCTTGCCTGAATGCAGCACATAATGCCACACAAAGAACAGACATCCATCCATCAACTCAGGCAGTATCACCATCCTCCTGTACTGGTCGACAGACTTACCCTTGCCCTTCTTGCCCTTCTTGCCCTTTCCTTTGCCCTTGCCCTTCTTCTTCTTGCCCTTGCCCTTGCCCTTGCCCTTGCCCTTGCGGCGCTTGCCTGCAGTCACAACCATGCAGCACACCAGACACCCATCCACACACACATCCGAGTACGTAAAGCGTGCGCAAAGTCGGGTGCTGGCGTACCTTTTCCTTTGCCCTTGCCCTTCTTGCCCTTCTTCTTCTTCTTGCGGGCGCCGAGCACCTTGGAGACTGCCTTGAAGGCGGGCTTGGGCTTGAACTTGGCGTCGTACAGGAACGGATGGTCAGCTGATGGATGGATGGATGGATGGACACACACACCGACACACATACACATATACAAAGACACATTCCGTTGCCCCCAGCCACCCAGGCATCCACCGACCAGGTCGCCAGGTCCACTTGTCGGAGACTCCCCAGGTGATGTAGCCGGAGCAGTTGGGGGCCTTGAGGCACACGCGAAGCAGTCCAGCGTAGATTTTGGCCTGCACACACACACACACACACACACATATACCGGTGTGGATTAGGGGATTGTTGGTGTGTGTTTCGCGAACTGACGGACCTGTATTTTGGCCTTTTTGGGAGTCCACTTCGTGCACTTCTTCCATCTACCGCCGACGGCCCGGCCGCACATGACGTCCACCTCCGTCAACTGGACCTGCATTGCGCCCCACCATGAGAACCCCACAGAAATGCACCCACCAGTCAAGCATGTCTCACCCCCAAGCCCTCCACCCCACCCCACCCACCCCACCCCACCCACCTCGACGCCCATCTTGCCGAGTCGTTTGAAGTTGGCCGCTACACCCTGCCACACGCAGACACACATAGATATCCGAAGGCATGGTTTGGTACGGTATTCATCCACTCACTCGGTAGTCATTGAAGTCCAACGAGAAGTGGCTGACACAAAGAAGGACACCGAGAGAAAAGGCAGCACCACACATCCATCCATGGCGGGCGTGTCATGTCTCTTCTCCCTGTGTGTGCATGAGTGTGTGTGTGATGGCGAGAGGGGGTGCGCCTTCTTTCCTCCTCAATCACCTCTGGAACCCAACGCCGTCAATGGGCGCACCACTGACACAACCACAACCACAACCAAACATTCCCGCCCCTCCACACAAACCCACACACCCGGTTTTGGACTCACCGAGCTCTGCCCTTTTTGCAGATTTCGGCAATGGCGTCCGCCTTGCCCTTGGACCAGCCGCGAGAGCTCTCGGCGCCGTAGTCGTTGTAGAAGAGTCGTGCGGGCTGTTTCTTCTTTTTGGCGGCTTTCTTGGCGACGCGGAACAGGACCTCGACGTGGTCGGGGAACTTCTTATACAGCTTGCTCTTGCGCCAGTTGATCTTCTTACGCGGGTTCTTCTGGATTTGCTGCAGCAAGGGGGAAACAACACACACACACACACACACACACACACGAATGGATGGATGGATGGACGGATGGATGGACGGTGTGATGGTGTCGCGGGCCTGCTGACCTCTAGTGCCTCGTTAGCGACGTCCCATGACTGGACGCGTGGCTGTGCGTATCGCTTGATGGAGGCCTTGGTGTGCGAGATGAAAAAGGCGCGGAACTTCTTGGCGGGCAGCTTCTCCACCCATCGGGGCGTGGCGAGGTACCAGGCGATGGCGTGGAATCGGAAGAACTGGCCGTTCTTCTTGGCGAGCCGCAGCAGGTCGTCGCACCACTTCCAGTTCATCTTGCCCTTGCGGCTCCGCACCCTCATCATTTTGCACTCAGACGTTGCCTGCACACCATCCATCCATCCATCGGATCTTTGCCCCCCCCACGTCATTGGTGCCTGCCCATCTCCCCCCACCCACGTACCACAATCATGTTGAACTGGGAGGCGAGGATCTTTTTGTATTTGCGGATGTTAGTGTATGCGCTGGCGGCCGCCCCGAAGTAGAGGCGCTTGCTGTGTGCGGCGGCGCGGAGGGAGCCGCGGGGGCCCTTCTTGACCATCTTCTTGTTGAAGAGCCGCTTGAAGTTGGACCCCCCGCGCTTTTTACCCTTCCCCTTGCCCTTCTTCTTCTTGGCATCGATGCCCTCGGGCGTCAGCACCAGGAACAGCAGGGCCAGCACCAACAAAAACCGCAGCCACGACATCCTGCCTAAAAACTCGCCTTCCGTGAGCGCCGTAAACTCAAATGCAAGCTTGGCCCTTTCCGGCGCATGTGTGAATTGGTGTTAAGTGGAGAGGAGTTAACTCCTTCATGATTGGACTAGTCAAACCCATGACGCAAGCGAACATGTACATGTACTTAGTGTTTTCATGTCGTACAAACCATGTCTCTCGTCTCAGACACGTGTTGCAGCTGTGGAACGTGTTGCGCATGCAGGGGCGCCGGCCTCATAAACGCGCACGGGAAGACAAAGACGGGCAAAATATAAAGCACAGGCAGCGATTAAGATCAATGTGCCCCCGACAACGCCTGTGTCTCGCGTCACACTTCGTGGAGGAGACACAGGTCTTTGTTGATGTCTGCATAAGGCAAGTAGGTCATGGCGGCCTTATCGTCTGCTCGCACATGGCACAAAGTGAAATTGATCTACGTAATCGTTTCGTTCTTGCCTGGTCCTCTGGGCGAAGAGGCTCCGCCTGTGCCCTTAAGACGTACGAGGCGAGGAGAGAGCAAACTGAGACACCCCAATATAAAATGTAGGCGGCGATTGAGGCCGCGTGGGCCTCCTGTGGCTGAAACACACACACACACACAGAGGGAGGGAGACACAATGCATTGAAAGAATGGATCAACCCAGAGAGACCACACAGAGAGGAGGCCATGAATGAGCACAGCTGACAGCCGCTATGCCACCACCCTCCCAACTCCCCCACTGATCGATGGGCGGATGCATTCGGTGTGTGCGTACCCCTTCCTGCTGCGTATTACTTACTTGATACAGGGTGTGAGTATGTGTGTGCCGAGGGCATCCAGACCGGCTTGGAGCAATCTGCGGCGTGACGATCTCGGGGCGGTGGGCTCCCCCCCCACCCTGCCGAGAAACCGTAGTGGACCTTGAATGAGAACACCTGCATGGACACACACCCCACACCCCACACACAACACAACGGATACACACGCCCTCCCTCCCTCCACTGTGCGTGCCGTGCCCTCCTTCCCCTCCCTACGTTGCTTACGGCGCTCTTGTCGCCGATGTGCATAGTGATGAGGAGCCGGTAGCCGACGTCGCACTCGTTGATGCTGCCGTCCATAACGACAACACAAACACACATCTGTGTGGGCGCGGTGCGGTCCATCCCTCCATCCATCCATTCATCCTTGGGTGAGTGAATGGGTATTTATGGCACTTACAAGTTGGGATGCACCTCAAACGACACACTGTCGTTGCTATGGGCAGCCTTCTGCTGTAGCTGCTGCTGCTCGTAGACGGCCGGGTCGCGCAGCGTAGAACACGATATCAGCCGGCCCGACGACAGCGCGTCCCTGCCATCCGATGGAACCGGCAAACGGAAAAACTGACCAACACTCATTCCACACAACATAAATTGAGCCTTGTGTGTGTCTCTGTGCTGGAGGGGAGGGGTGTGGGTTTTCGTGCCCATCATTTTGTTGAGGAGCCGACAGCAACACACACACAACGATTTAGGCCTTGTGCGTGTGTCGCTGTGTGTGTGGGCGCAAAAGGCCTCTGCTCGCGTCTTGTTGCCGGTTGCCGGTGAAGATCTGGAGCAGACGGTGAATGCGCTGGAACTCGACCTCATCATTGTAGGGGGCGCCGTTGGACGTGCCTGCACACAGACGTACACACACACACGCACCGCAGCCACCGCAGGTCACTTGGTGCACACACACTCATCCCATCCGCCCGCTTACGCTTTGGACAAATCCGTTGCCAGTCGCCGCTGCTGTTCGCCATGATTTTCGTGTTGGCGGTGACATTTTCGACGGGCAGGTCGGGAATCTCGCTCACCGTTGTCCTTGCCCACCCTGCACAGCCACGCGACGGGTGTCTCGTGGATGTTGTCGACGTCGTTGAACAGCCCCAGGCGCTTCTCCTCCTCGGCGTTCTTCTCGGCGCTCTTGTTGTCGTCACGGTGGAACATCTCGTACCTGACAGCCTCGAAAAACCTGACCTGTGGACACACAAAGGCATCAAATGACAGGAGGGGAGGGGGGCGGTGGGGAGGTCTGCTCGCCCGCTCGCTCACGATAGGCTTGACGAGTGCCTTCTCCTCGTTGCTGCCGCTGGTGTAGATGTCGTAGAGGAGCTTGTGGGGCTGTTTGTCGTCGGGCAGCAGGTCGACGAACTTCTGTTCCCCGTTGGCGTCCTGTGTCTCGGCCACGAGCTCCTGAAGCGGCAGGGTCAGAAAACTGCAACCACACACAACACACACACAGAGAGGGGGGAGGTGGTGGGTACATGTAGGTGTATGGATG